CATCGTTGTTTAGATATCAACACATCTTCTGGAAAACATCGAAAAAAAAGGAAGGCGAAAATAACAAGTCTATTGTCTCATTACTCCTACACACACACACACACAAACACAGAAAAAACATTGGATCACAATCAAAACATTGGCCATAATCATCACCATCATCAATAATAATCATCATCATCATCAACCATTGTGAATGTGCAGCATATATGTAAATGAATATGGAGAAAATTTTTCTATAAAAATATCTTGTCAATAGATTTTCGATGAATTGATTAGATTTTTTTTTCAATCATTTCGCTAGATTGTTAAATTTTTGTTTCAGAAAAAAAATGAAAATTTTTTTCAAAAAAATTTTCACCAATTTAGCAATTGGCTTATCTCTATAGAGAAAAAAAATGAAAATTTTCATAAACACACAAAAAAAACCACAGACCAGATCATTATCTTTTATCATTTAAGATGAATGAATAGACAGGATAAATGGATGAAACAATCAAGCAGGTCAACACACACACACACAGATACAGATTATTAAAATAATTTAGATTACGATTATTACGATAATGATGATGTGAAAAAAAATCTTCTCGAGAAAAAAAAAGACAAAGAATATTGATCAATCAGCAACATCACATTAACAAAGGTTGTTGTTGTTGTTGAACACACCAAATTGAAATATTGGAAAAAAAATTTCAATTTTGTTTTGTTTTGCGGGAGAGGCAAAACAAAATTATGAAAAACAAATTATGCCCATTCTCTCTGCGTGTGTGTGTATTTCAGAAACAGTTGGCAAAAATTTACATGTGTTTCGTCAATGGCATTTATCATGTCAAAAACAAAATGATAAAAATAGTCATATATTCAATATATCTGATTTCACACACAAACACACACTTACACAAACATTGTAAATGAAAAAAAATTCTCAATCATTATTTTCTATGAACAAAACAATAATGACGATGATGATGATTAGTATAATTAATGTTTAAATGTTTAAGATTTGGTATCATTGTATCGACATTGTGTGTGTGTGTATGGATGTTTTAAAAAGAGAATCTTTTTTTCCAATTCAAACGATGCGAAAAATATGTTTTGAGAGGGAGAAAAACAAAATTCACATTATCATTATTATAATAATATAATTTTTACATTTTAATTTTCACACGTTCTTTTTTGTTGTTGTTCTTTTTGTTTTACATTTTTTTTTTGTTTCGTTCAAAATGTCCATTATGCTCAATGAGACCATTCACTCCATTATCATCATCATCATCATCATTGTTGTGGTTGTTGACTTGAAGTTTATTTGCGTTTATTTCTGTAATTTCAATTATTTCCCAGTTATGTCATCTTTGTTGATGACGATGACAGGTTTTGTTTGTTAAAAAGATCTTTAAAGAAGAAAATGTTCAAATGTTGGGAATTTTTCGTCTTCATTCTTTTTCATTGGACACTTGTTGAAATCTTTAAACGATTTCATCTCCTATTAATAAATAACAAGATAATTCTATTTGAAAAACAACAAACTAATCGAATTATCAACAACAACAAAAAACTTGACTAAAATGAATGAATCTTGAACAGACATGCCCACATACAAACAAAACTACACTAGAAAATAGATAATCAAAGATACGAAAATCCAATCAAAAAAAAAAAAAAATCAACAACAATAACAAAACATTATCATCACATTATGTTCATTATAATCAATCAACAACAACCGACGGATAAACAAAAACAAAAAAAACAGAGATAAAATTCATATTCATCATCAAATGATGATGATTAATTATATGAATTTTTTTTTCAACAAAACCCACAATGAAAAAAAAAAAAATTTCTATTACAGCATCAAATGGTGATGGTGTTGATAAGTAATCCTTCATACCTCATAGTCTTATTATCCACGCACACCAACAGGTACTTTCACTTACATTACATTTAAATGAATGAAACAAGAGTCTATGCAACAAGTGCATGTTACTTGATGGACATAAATAAATGATGATATCATGATTTTTTTTTTTGAAAAAAATGATGATGATAATCTCATTATAATCCATTGGGAAGTGGTTACATTTATCATCATTTATTTATTTACAGTTTACAATTTACAATTTATTTATCTAATCTTATACACTTGAAAGCCACTGATTTTTTTTTGTAAATAGAAATAAATCAAGAAAAATGAATGAAAACAAATGATTATGGATGTATAATCACGAATGTGGACCAGAAACATCTCTCCCCAACAACAACAACAACAAAAAAAAACTAATCATTATCATTCATTCTAAAATTAGAATGAAAAAAAAAATTAAGCACACTCACACACACACACACACACACATTTTTACCGGCATTTTTGACAAGTCGATTTAGCCATTATCATCAACATCAGTATCATCATCATCTTGCTAATAGATATAAAAAAAACACGGATATCCAATTTCATAATTAATAAAAATAAAAAAAAAATATCCATAAAATATAGATTGCTGCTATAGCCAGTCATCATTCATAAATGAATGAAAAGTCATTTATATGAAACGTAATTTTTTCGTCTTCGTCTTCATGATGATGATGATGATGATGAATCCAAACACGATCATCGAATAAATGGACAGTGTAGTACCGGTAGTAATAATTAGAAAAAAAGGATAACCATTTGTTACATAATCATAATACCCTATTAACTAATAACACAGGTGTATCAATGATTTTTTCAAGACGATAATAATAATACATGGATATCTGATATAAAGAAATTCAATAATCTCTAAATGTTTTAATCGTGATGGGAGAAAGAAATTCAATTTTTAGTAGGTTATATATAAATGAATTCGAAGTTACATTTCGGATCGAAAAAAATGTGGCGTCTGAAACAAAAACGAAAAAAAATAAAGAAGCAAAATATGAGAAAAAAAAAGAAATTTCGACACGGTAGCCCACAAAAATAATGAAATTGAGGAACAACAACAACAACAACAAAAACCGTAATAAGATTTCAATTCACTCCCAGCTACTGAATTAGATTTGGATCGATGATGTTTACAGCTTTTGATATTTCTACATCATCATCATCATCACCATCATCGATTGAAAGAGTATCGTAAAAAAAGTAAAATTTTTTCTAGTTTACCAAAAACAACAACGATTGGTGTATGCAGTCCAAATCATCAAATCTATCTAAAAGGAAATCTAATGAATGAGCGAATGAAAACAGGAAACATAAACAACACAACAAAGTCTGGAACAAATGAATTTTCTCTTCTTCTTCTTCTTCTTATTTTGGATCATGAATGAAAATTTTTAGTTATAGTAGTCAATCACTTGGCACATATGTGTCAAACGATGACCAATGAGGAATATGGGGTTGAAAAATTGAAAATGCCAAAAAAATACTACACTATGGTACAAAATTACAATAAAAGAAATTGAGAAAAAGAACAAAATATGAAAATTTGTTCCATCAATGATGATAATGATGGAACGAACGAAATATGCATATTTCCATATAAGGATTGTGAATCATAATTTTATTATCATCATCATCAACAACAATGGTAATTTTCAAGCCATCATTTCAGCCGATAATATTGTTGTTGTTTGCAGATGATGATGAGATTGAAGAAAATGAAATAAAATTAGTCTACATTACTGCTGTGGTTGTATATCATCATCATCATTGAGCATAATTTTGGAAATGAGGATGAAGTGATGTTGACAACCTCTAGTTTAGATTATTAAGCATAAATGGATATAAATCATAATGAATTTTTTTCTACCCAATTACAGACTGTCATATTATTGTTTCAATCAATCATCATCATTGTCATTAAGACTGTTAAAAATTTTTTCATAGAATTTCAAATGAAAATCTCAAGTAAAAAAAAATTCTTTATTCTTTATCATCATTATTTTGTCAATGAAATCAAAATCAAATCAAACAAACCGGTATTGGTAGCATTGTCTTGTGTGTGTGTATTTACAAAAGACAATAGAAAAAATTATAACAAGACAAAACGCCGATAATTTACATGTAGTACTGTTGTCATGATTATCATCATCATTATCTTCTATATTTATGTATCGGTGTGTGTGTGTGTGTGTTTCTGCTGTCCATAACATAATAATAATAATGATAATCGATTTTTATTATTATTTTAAGCCAACTACAAGATATCCATCATCAATCAGCTTTATATATGAATGAATGATGAATCACATTTATGATCATCATGAATGAATGAATGAATGCCCCAAACTCTATATATATTGACCGTTTGATTCATTCATCTGTCATATATTCAAAGAAAAGAGAGTTAGACTTGAAAAAAGAGCTTATCATTGCTAGACAAACAATGAAAAAAAAAAAAAATAGTTTATCGTTGAGGAAAATAAATCGGTAATTAAATGGCCAAATAAATGATTGATTTGGTTTATATTTGCTTAAATCTTATGCGTAAAATAGTTGTGTGTATGTGACAGCATCATTGTTTAAAAAAAAAAAAAAAATTCCAATTTTGGAAAAAAGGTAGCACAATCGATTGATGCGGAATACAGTGTGAATTTTTCATTGAATAATATTCCCTCTGTGTGTGTTTGTCATTGTTTAGCAAAAAAAAACGTTGTCAACAAGATGGGAATCTCACCGAAAAAACAAAAAAAGGGTCAACGATCGTTTGAAAAACACATATAAACTGACCATAATAATAATAAATATTTGTTGTGGTCACACAAATTCACACACACACACACACAACAACACGGGAAACGAAAATTAAAAAAAATGACCAATCTAAACGAGTCACGTTATTTTTTCCTGGTTAATTCCGTAATCCCATATCATTCATAGGAATATTTTCATGAAAATGAATAATTAATATTGTCATGATCATTATGATAATCAGATATCATTATCATCGGCATTTCATTGAAATTCTTCCACCACACACACACACAATATATAAAAGGAAATGAATACCACATACCTTTACATTATCATAATCTTCATATGGAACAATTTCCGGTATGTCATCATAATACATAGGTGTTAAACATTGTTGTTGCATTGCTGCCGCTGTTGTCGATGATGATGATGACACCGACAATTGTCGCTGTTGTTGTTGATAATGATCAATGTTGGTCATCGAACTATTACCGATAATACTACTACTACCACTACGGTTATTATTATTATTATTATTTGACATTTTTGCAACTATAATTATCGAAATATATAAATATCATGATGATGGTTATCATTACTTTTCTTTTCACTTAATTTATATTATTATTTTAATTTCCAAAATATTTTATTACATAACACAATTATAAATTACTCATACACCAAAAAATAAGGTCGCCACAATGACGATGAACAAGAAAAATTAATTTTCGTTTCACTTTTAATCAAATTGATGATGTGTAGCAGAATGAAGACAAATTTGACAATTCAACACAAACACAATGGGCGTCAATTCATTTCACAATATTGTTCATCATCATGTGTTTGTTTTTCATCACACAAAAAGCATTCACTATTCATAATTTGTTGTCGTTGTTTGATTATTTTTTATTGATGATGGTCGTCGTTACTGTTTTTTTGGCCACAATTGATGTATATTTGTTATATATGTTGATATATTGCTACCACCACAACCACAAGGTTAAATTTATTTAGTGATTATCGACGATTGATGATATCACCACACACACACACACACACAACAAAACAATCGGATTATATTGATAAAATACAACAAATGAGCTACTGGTTTTTCAATTTTTAAAAGAATTCATCAGATAATGGCTAGATAAATTTGAAAAAAAATTCCACAAATTAGAAAATGGATATTTTCATTTTAAAATCAAAACACTTACCATTCATTCACATATAAATCATGGAAAGAAATTGGTTATGTTTTCGTTTTGTTTTGTTTTGTTTGTTCAATTTGGCAACCGTTGTATGATTATCACAATAAATTCATTCGTTGTTCATCTAGATTTCCAATCAATATTTTTCTGTTCGGAATGTTTATATGGACAATGTGTGCAATTGATGGTGATCAATAAATCGGACACACACACACACATTCGAATCTCTTCACATTGATTACAGGAATCCGGTCAACTTGATGATTAAAACGAATTGTTCACTTGTCATTATCATCATCTTGTGAATGCAATGTTGTTGACGCCTCAAATGATCCAGCAATGATGAAAACCACACAAAATGTGGAACAAGCCAAACAAATAAGGCAGATAGTAATTCACAAGTTTTTCATCATCACTTTTTTTCGTTCCAAAATTGAACAACAAAAATTTGTCTCTATCTATAGGCAAAAAAAAGACATTCGAAAATTGTCTGTCAATTTAATAAAAACGCAGAAAAAAAATTCATACCTTTATCATGTGGTTGTTGGCAGATGAAAAGAAAAAATTCCTAAATGAAATGTGATTACTATTACAGGTGAATGATTCACGAATTAAACAATGATGATGATGATGATGATGATGACAATGAAGAAAATTATTAATAAAAATCGATCAATGAATTAAAAAAAGGTACAATAACCTTCGAAGAATGGTACACAAACCACTACACATTAACACACACGCTTTTTGTTTGTTTTGATCGATTAATCTAGATTTGATTGATTAATTAATTAATGGTGGTTTTTGTTTTGAAAATCGAAGCAAGATAGAAAGAGATGGTTGAATGGATTCAAAGATCAATGAAGATTAAACTATCATCATTGATCATAATAATCAATTTATGAATGAATTCGAGAATTTGACCAGAACAGAATTTTTAGCGTTACTTTTTTTTTGTTCTTTATGGAAACTTTTCAACCTGATTCATTCGATGGTCATCATCATCGTTGACGTTGTCGTAATTATAATAATAAAATACGGACATAACATTGTTGTTGCTGCTGCTACTGCTGCTATTAGGTTCGTCATCATGTAACAATTATTAATACTACTACCATAACCATAATTTAATTTCACACTATCGATTGCAATGATTTTTTTTACACGAAAAAAAAATTCTGCATCAAAAACGGTAGTGGTTAGAAATTCCACAATCAACCACATGTTATCATCATCATGTTCATTGACCACTACATTTCAAACACACGCCTTGTTTTGATGCAATTTTTTCGTCTTTGTTGTTTTCACAATTGCAATCCATTTTCACCCAATTGATATCAAATGGGTGAAAATAGCATTTTTGAATTAAAAAAGAATTTTTATTTTTATTTTTCATTTTATTTTCTGTTGCATTCATGTAAAAAGCAATAAAATAATAATAATAAATATCAAAATGAACATGATGATGGAGAATATAGAAAAAACTCAAGCCAAATTCGAATCAATCATTACCGTTTATGAACATTATTGAAATGTTTCATCATATTACCCTTTTCAACGAAATGCTTCTCACATGTTGGATGTATACATTTGAATGGTTTTTCTTGGCGATGTATTTTGAGATGATTTTGTAGTTTATCATTACGCAGAAAACTAGCATCACAACCGATCCATGAACATGGATATGGTTTCACATGTGTATGATTTTCATAGATGTGTAAATCAACATGATATTTACGTTCTGATGCAAATTCACAATCAGGCCAATCACATTTGAATAATTTCTCGCCAGTATGTAATGCGCGATGTATGGTGAGACCACGATTGGTTTTGAAATTAGCTTCACAACCAGGCCAATCACAACGAAATGGACGATATTCTGAATGTGATTTTTTATGATGCCGTAATGAATCATTGGTGCGAAATTTAGATTCACATCCAGGGAAATCACATGAAAATGGTCGATCCCCGGTATGTTTACGTAAATGATTTTCATGTTGTCGTTTATTTTTCGCCGTATAATTACAGCCAGGCCAATCACATTGTATAAGATTTTCACCTTTATGCACCTGGACATGGGCACGTAAACCTAATTTCGACTTGAATAACGCATTACAACCAGGCCATGTACAGGGCATAAATTCCTTGCTCGCAACCTCGGCATGATATTTTTTCATATGATTATCTAATTCCGAGGAACTAAAAAACATCATTGGACATTGGTCGACTTTGCAGCCAAAATTTTTTAATCCCGTATGCGTCAGATTAATGTGTTCATTCAATGCCCATTCACGTTTACTTTCATATGTACAATTGGGCCACGGACATGGATGATAAGATGGATATTTGCCGTTACTATTTTCCACCATTTCAGATGAATCTTCTTCTTGTTGCGGATATTTCATTTTCGTTTTGCGTTTCAATCTTTTCGATCTTGATGTTGATGTGGTAGTGGTTTTATGTGTTTCATTCGAAATTTCAGCTGTTCTCGTTGATGATGATTTTGCTTTCTTATTATAAACTCGACTACCACCGGTAGTGGTAGAAGTAGATCGTTTTTTCTTTTCTAAATTATTCATCACTGATTTATCTGGACGATCGCTACTATCAACCGCAATCAAATCAAACATTGTAAATTTTTTTTTCGGTTTTCGTAGATACGATCCAATTGTTTGATCCACTTGTGATTGTTCAACATTTTCATCATCAATTTTGGCAAGCATTTGTTTTCGTTCATCATTCAATTGATTATATTGCGTGATTAGTGGATCATATTGAGCAATAAAATTATCAACAAGTAGATTATTTTGTTTCGAACGAATTAATGTCATCAATGATTCACTGGTTATTGGTGGTGATTCTTCATTATTTCCATTACCATCGCCACTAATCATTGTATGGATTTTATCGACAAGACAGCCATTCATTTTCATTAATAATTGATTCAATTGATTTAGAAGCGATTGATGTTTATAAAATTTATATAAAATCATTTGTAAACGTTCGATTTCACGATTTTTTGCCAAACGAATTTTTTGTATTCGATTTGTCTCAGATGCAGATGTTGTTGACGTGCTGTTGGCGTTGATGTTGGCACTGGTAGTGGTGGCGGTCATTTTATTACCGGCCACCTGTTTATTTCGTCGCACGATTCTACGTTTTTTAAGCGGACGAAATTCATCATCATCATCATCTTCTCCATCATCATCATTTGATGATTTGGCTGATCGACGTTTTTTCGTCGTCAACGATTTATTTTGATGATCATCGTCATTGTTTTCATTATTATCACTTTCATCGACGATGAATTCTTCATCATCATTCATATAGGTTTCATCGTCGTCATCATTATCATCATCAGTGATTTTATTTACAGTTTTTCGCAATCGAAGTATTCGTGATGATTTTCGTATCAGAATATCATTTTCATTGTCAGTAACGGGATTATCTAATGAAAAAGAAAACAAGAAAAAATTGAATGATTCGAATTTTCAGTGACATCAACTTACCCTGTTTGGATAAAAGATTTTCCACAACATTCTCAACAACCATTTCGATTGGATTTCGATCATCATCGTTGTCATTTTGTTGTTGATCTGCAATGACAACATTATTAACAATTTCATTGCCATCATTACCATCATTATCTTTCATGGCTAAATGACTAGCTGATGACGATGGATTTTGTATCTGCATTAAAACTTGTTCGGCGGCTGTCAATTGTTGTTGTTGATTATTCATATCGTTTGATTCTTCTTCAGGATTCATTAAAATTAAATCATCTGAATGTTGTGATTGTTCTATCAAATCATTATTATTTTGCTGATTATCATCGAATGGAATTTGATTGTTGCCATCACCATGATTGGAGACAACATGATGATCATTTTCATTCGAAGCCATTTCAATCTGAAAAATTTCCGGCTTGTCAGGATGGCCGATGGAACAAATTAAAAAAAAACACCGTTGATTATTATGATGATGAGAGAATTGAACGTATATAAAATGCGGTTATTAACTGTATTTTTTTGAAAAAAAAATTTTCCTGTTTGAAAGAAAATTTTCAAAAATCTTCAAAAAAACGTTAAAATAAAATAAAATGAAAAATCACGATCTAGCTGATTTATTTTGATTGGGAAATGAAAAAAAATCCGATGTTTTCAACGATTTGAATTCGTTTGATTAAATTGATTATTTTTTTCGGGTAAAAAAATATTTCGGACAAAACAATGTTGCGACTGTAAACACGTTATATTATTGTTCGGTGTGCACTGTATATGTGTGTGTGTGTGTGTTTGCTCGAACTTTTACGCTCACACAAACCAATGGAAAATAAAGAAAAAATTCGATTTGGGGCAGATATACTGTAGAGTAGCGGACAAACAAACACAGTGTTGATGATTGAAAAAAAATTGGTAGTGGTTTGTGGCAAAAGTACAATAGTTCCCCACCACACATTAATTTAAATTGTTTTTATTTCTCGGCCATAGATGGCGAATGATGTGCTGTATTTTTTAATTTTGAATTTTTTTCATTCATTCATCCACCTGTTGATCATTCAATTATTCATTCACACATCCATCATACATGGAGAATGGAAAAGAAAAAAAAAGATTACCGGTAATACAAGAAATAAAAAAAAATATCATCCGCCGAAAAAAAGCAAATCATTTTGATATGCAAATTTCAACCATAAATATGCCAATCCAAGGTGGAAAAAAGAAAAGAAAATTCCATCATCATCATCATCGTCATCGTTTACTGGTTTATTGAGAAAAAAATCCGATAATAATGATGAGAAACTGAGAAAGACAAGAAGAAGAAAACCTGATTTTTTTTTTTTCATTACAATTCACCACACAACAAATGCAAAAAGAAAGGGTTCACCACCATTCAGGAAGTGAATTCTTTTTACTTCAAGTGCATTCAAGTTTTTCTCTTCCCCATCATCCATTCATTCATTCATTCATTTCATGACCACCTTATTTATCTTTTCGTTTAACGGAAAAATTATGAATCTTATCCATACATCCATCGACTGAATGAATGAATGAATGAATGGTTGGATGAGTTTTTCTGGTGAATCTGTTTCTGTTTCTTTTATTTTTGTTCATTTTAAAGATAATTATCATTTCCAATTCATCACTGGTTACCGGTTTGATTGTTTATGATTTATGGTTCCTATGAATCGATACCTGGCCGATCGATATAATCGATTATTTCATTTATCATTTTTTTTCTGTGCGAAGAATAAAGGTGTTGAAGATCCTGTTTGTTAACAAATACAAGAGTACAGATTTCAACGATTTTTTTTCAACAAATAATCGATCGATCGATCGATTGATTGGATGAATCGTTATTCCATATGTAAAAAAATCATTCCCATTGATCAAGAGTTTACTAGAAAAAAAAATCGCATCATTAACGTTTTTTTTCAACAAATTGTCCTTGACCATGGTCAAATCTAATGGTTTTTTTCCATTGTCGTCGCTGTTTGACTTTGACTTTGACTTTGGCCACCATCATCATCATCATCATCATAACACTGACAAAAGTTAATTGTCTTGTCATTTGAATTGAACATCATCATTGTTGAATCGATCGAATAGAATAGAATAGAAAATGTTTTTGGAATGAAAAAGACGAAAAATTTTTCGGAAAAAAAAATTTCAGATTTTTTTTTGTTTACCAGCAATTACCAGTGTGAATGTGTTTTTTTCCGGACAAAAATTTAAACACAGGATCATGTTGTAAGAGTGAAGAAACGAACGAAAAGAATGCCAATCATATATATCGACAGGAATGACCTAGTTTTGCTTTTGCCTTGTGTGATGATTATATTTGCAGGGTTAATAGATTGTCAATGTGTGTGTGTGTGTGTGTGTGTGTGTCTGCGTGCGTGCATTGAAAACAGGAAATTTCAACATACGACATTTCTTTTCATAAAAAACACCTTTATTTTTTTTTTTTATTTGATTCAGCTGTGTTTATATGGTTCTCATTGATATTTTGTTTTTTTTTGTATTTTGTAGTCGAATGATTTTCATATGGTTTACCCGATCAAATGAAACAAACAAAAAACGTTGGAAATTATAAAACGGAAATCTAGTCTGTCCGATAAAAAATCGGCAAAAAAAAAATCAAACTGATTTTGACAGCCATTGTGAATGAACAATAATCAGACATTTTTTTTCAAATGATTCACACACGAATGATGAACGAATTGCAAAAATAAAAAGTCAATTTGCCATTAATCGATTGTATCGAGGATGGATTTTCATTTCTTTTCGATTGATAATTAATTTATAAATGGATACCGTAATTATCATTCACGATAAACCAAATAAAAATGATAATGATTGTGATTATGAGTGGTAGTTAAGTGGAAAAAAGAAAATCCAAATGGATCTGGAAGAGAAAAAACCCAAAAAAATCGAATGTTTAAAATCTCATGATTGATTGATTGATTGAAATTGGAAAATTTAAATCTTAAAAATCCTGCTGTTTTCGAAGTTCAATCAATCCATAAAACGTATTGGATTGATGGATCGAATCTAACAGACACACACACACACACACACACACAGAGAGGATACGGACATTGCAACAGATGAAAAATGACCCATTCATATATGACATGATGATTGGAAGCAAATTTTTTTCAGCTAATTAATTAATTAAACAAAAAAAAACTTGATATGATCAACGAAAACAACATTGACCTTTTGGATCACTCACAACCATTATATAAACACGAATGAAATGAATGTCAGATTGAAATTGAAATCAACAGTGCTTGTCTGATGAAAATTTTATTTAGCAAAAAACAAAAAACAAAAAAAAAATTCATTTTTCTTCGAAAAAAAATTTACTGGAAATTGGCCGAAACAACAACAACACGTTTTTTTTCCTGTTCCAAACAACAATGGATCGTTTTTTTTAAAAACAAAAGGATTAATTTCATTTATCGTTTTTAAAACATTCGCCCATAATGTCCGATTGGATTGTCTCTATAGTGATCGACAAGAATGAAACGGACACAAAACACTTGTTGCATATAACTATTTAGACATAACAATCATTCAAATTCGAAATGGAAATCGAAACCAAATCAATCGATCAATCAAATTAAAAAAATTCCAATATATTCCAGTAATGACAATGGTGATAATCTGATAATCCGCAGAGAAAATGTCAAAAAAAATTTCTCTGATTTGTCCGGGAAAAAAAATGTCACAATTTTTGTCATTCATTTTATTTCCCCTCGCTCCTTGCATAGTAGTAAAATGATTCCGTAATGGCATCATCACGCCATCATCTTCATCATCGCTGTTGTTGGCAAGTTTGGCGAACTTTTGATGATGACAACGACAACGACGAAATATTAGTCTACAATAGACACACATGAATTCAATCCAAATCCAATCCATTCAGTATGCATATTCATTCATCTTTGCTGAACAAGAAATAGAAAAAGAAAAAGAAAAAAAATTGTCTGTATGGTGTGTGTGTGTGTATATATATTATTTATGTGTAAAGGTCATAGGGTCACGATCGTGAACTTTTTGTTATTTTGTTTTCAAACCTAGAGAAAGAGAGAGAGAGAGAATGGATTTTTTTTTCACTTGGATAATGATCTTGAATTTCTTTTTTTTTTTTTCCATCAACATCATCGTCAACAGCGAAACGATTAAGATAATGATGATGGAGCAATGATCATCATGATTGGGAGAGAGAGAGAGAGAGAAATTTTTCTGGAAAGGAAAGGCTGTGTTTCCTGCAAGTTTTTTCCTGTTTTGGAAATTTCCTTGTAATTAATGGAAATGAAATTTTTCAGCAAAAAAAAATTAACAAAATTTTTCATGAATCAGATTCAGCAAAATAATCGATTCATTTGATTAATCAACCCTAGACGAAAAGTTCCGCTTTAATTATTTCATGAAGAAGATGGGAAAAAATTCATTTTACCGAGACGAAACAAAAACAAAAATAATCTCAAGTTCATCATGATGAAAATTTTTGTTTTTCATTCTGTTTTTTTTTCTCGGAAAAAAATAAATAACCGGTAAATAACAAATGACCATATGAATGTGATATTTATTTACAATGTAAATGAAATGGTTATTGGTCTTTTTTTGGTTATCATTCTCATTCAGATAACAACAGTGTACAGGATAATGATGACTAAAATTAAATAGTCATTTATATTCTGCACCAATCGAGTCCTGAATTTGAAATTGAAAAATTTCTATTTTTTTTGTCTGTTTAATTTATTTATATTACGATTATAATGATTTCCATCATCATCGATGATCATTTTATGCCGTTATATATAGATGATGCTCAATGGATTATCGATCAAAATATTAAAAAAAAAAAAAAAAAAAAAATTCTACTGCGCATACACGGAAGACAATGTGTTATATGTGTCTGTGGCTTGTTTGTCTCTTTCTTTCATTACATTCCATCAGTCAAAAAAAAAAAATTCAAATTGATAGTAGCATTATGCAATATTATTCAATCACATTTTAATAACAAGAAAAAACAATAATAATAACCGTAGTAGTAGTGGCAATAATATATTATATAAATCTTATAAAATCGTGGGCGTGTCTTCTCCATTGAAATCATATGCATCTATTACAATTGTAAGTAATTTCTGCTGAGAGAGAGAGAGAGAGAGAGAGAGAGAGAGAGAGAGAGAGACGTTCGCCAACAGTGTGTGTGTGTGTCTGTGTTAGTGAACTAAAAGATATTGGATCTTCTTCGCGTAACACTCGCCGAATAAACATTCAATCGACCGACAGACCAACCAACCAACCAATGGCTAAAGGAAACTTGATGTAAAAAAGTTGAATCAAGTGTGTATGTGGAACCATCAAATCCAAAAAAAAACCAAAAGAAAAAAACCGATCAACCAAACTTTACTTATGTATTTACCAACCATTATGAATGATCATGATCAAACAACAACATCACCATAGTTGAAGAAAAGAGAGCCTTTTTTTTGATGGTGGATGATGATGATGATGATGGTGATGGTTCCTTTTTTCTGTTGTTTTGTTTTCGCTGTTGTTCACAAATATTTGACCAGTTCGTTTGCTTCTCTCATTCATCGAACATCGACATTTTTTTTCGTGTGTGTGTGTGTGTGTTTGTATGTTTGTAAAATTGTTTTGTCCGTCCATTTTTGTTGATCATCATCATCACCACACAACAACCACAACTTTTCTTGGATAAGAAAAAAATTCTCTCCTTCTTCTCATCGATCGAATTTGTGCTTTTTGGCATTAACAAATTTTTTTTTCTTGCGGATCGATTTTGATGTTTGGAATTTTTTTTCAAATTTTCTTTCGATTCGTCATCATCATCATCATCATCATCATTTGTTCTATGAATCACATACACACACACACATTTGAAATCTTTTTTTTCCTTCAAATTTCGATTCCTGTGTCTGTGTGTATGCTGTGCATCAGAGGCCAAGTTTATGTTTTTGCCTTATATCTGTGTTTGTGGCCCAATCAAATTGAAAAATTTTTCCTTTATTCAATCAATCAATCGATATCATTAATTTGATTTTTGTTGAAATCATCTACAGGCAAGAATCAGAACAAAACCACAAATCAATGATGGATAATGATTATTCAATAATACAATCGACAGCAACAACAACAACGACAACAACATTCAATAGTGCTAAGAAAAAACAACAACATTCGAATTGTCTTCGAACATCATCATCACTGTTCGTAGATGACGTAATGATTCATTCATATTTTTTCTGTTTGTTTTTTAGTCGTGTGTCGTTTCATTCGTATATTTATTAGATTAAATGAAGAAAAGAAGAAAGAAAAATTCATTATGATTTTATGCGTTCAATTTTTAAAATCTCATCATCATCATCATCATCATCATCCACCTGTGCCTAAATTTGATTTCATCTCCAAATAATAAATTCTTGTGTCGTGTTTTTCTTCTTTTTCGCTTTGTTGTTTGTTGGTGGGCGTGTGTGTCGTGTCGTGGCAACAATTTTTTTTTTCATTTGAAAATCAACAAATCAACAAAGCTGTTTTTTTCACCTCATTGTTTTATTTTTCATTTCATTTTTTTTCGTTGTAATAATCGTGTATCCGTCGAAAAAACGGAACCAACAAAATCTATCAACCTGGAATCAACAACTAGATTAACGCCACCGGATTCTTATATCCTACCCGATACATCATCACCGGGTCTACATACCACGATGTCGTCGTGGACAACCGGTTTTACCACAAAAGTGGAAATAGCACAACCACAGCCATCATCCGGTTCGATAAAAGGTAAAATTCAACTGCCAATCAATTTTCCATTTCCGTTTTTTGCTTTATTAGGATTTTCTCTCTTTGTGTGTGTGTGAGTGTGTGTGTGTGAGTGTTTGAAATGAATCATCAAACATTTTCAGTTTTTGGACATGATGTGTGACAAGTGTGAAAAAAAGTGACATGACATAACACACTTGAACAAATGAATTCAATTACGCCCTGTTCCTGGAAAATGTTTGCTGTGTTATTGTTCATTGCCTTAAACTTGAAATGAAAATATGGCTTGTGTAAAGAGAGATTTTTTTCATTTTTGATTTGAAAATCGATTCAATCGATCTATTGATTTAATCAAAAATCAGATTATGTGAAACAAAAAAATATATTCTTCTACCACGCACACACTCACACAAACACAAAACAAAATTGTCAAAATTCGACAAAAGTCAAGTCACGTTATTCGTTTGTTTTTTTTTTGGTTGAATGTTATACATTTACACACACACACAAAACCTGACCAATTCTTTCTCTACAGAATGTTGTCTTGGTATTTGAAAATGAACCATTGTCATTTTCAAAAATTCAGGCCATTGTGTGTTTGTGTGCATATAATATTCCGGGTACGGTACCAATTATACGAATGTTTTACATGATTATTCTATCTAATCATGTACTGACCGTTGGTTGTTTTTATTTCGTTTGAGTTTTCCAGAACCAGAAACCCTTACTCGTCATTCTCTCTTTTTTCAATTCAGAAATGTATGATTTGAATCTCATTATTATCATGATGATGATGATGAGATTAGGTTAAAATATGGTTTTGTTTGTTTGTTTTTTTTTCATTTCACACACATAACATGACATGACATGACATTATTATCATTTGACATGATGCGATAATTATTGTAATTATGAATAATGTTGACCTCATTGAATTTGAATACAATCTAAATATTTGTCCAAATCACAGAATAATAATTATTTATGATGATGATGATGATAAATCAAAAATAACAACTACAAAATAAAAATTTCAATCGCAAAAAAAATCACTCCATGTGTGCATGTTTAAGTCACAAATATTCAAATTCATCTGAAATAAATGTGTAGCATCATCATCATAATCACATTCATAGATGCATTTGTTGTCCAAAAGGTTTTTCTCCATCTATCGATATTCAATTTGTTTTGTTTTGTTTCGGACAACAACGAAATTTGTTAATTTTATTTAGCAATGATGATTGAAAAAAACACCAAACCATATATACATATTAGAAAACGAACAGGCAAAAAAACTACTTCCGCGTTTGCGCGGTAATAACTTTATTTCATCATAATCATGATGGATTTCTATTCACCATATGTATGTGTGTGTGTGTGTGCTATGGTTATCTCCAAAATGATCATGATGACAATAAAATATTTCAGTTAGTTGGATGTAGGTTTTTTGAATACAAATTGATTGATTGATTGATTGGCAATTGTTTGTGGAATTTGTTCTCCTCTTCGTTTTTGAATCTTTATGTTTAGCTCTTTTTTATCTTCGTCTTTTTTTTGAAATTCTTCAATTTTTTTTTCTCCCGCTTCCGGTCGATTTTGGATTGAATAAAAAAAATGTTGTTGAAAAAAAAGAAGAAAATCATCAATGATGATGAGGATTTTGTCTGACTTTATCATGTTTTTTTTGTGTGTTCCATTTCCACATTTTGAATAGGGAATTTTTTTTTTTTTGGACAGATAGAAAAATCATTTACCCGATATGATATATTGACCTAATCCATTAGAATTCTTTTTTTACAAATGACAAATGAATGCATCATTAATTCAATTCAATTCTTAGTTTGACAAAGTGATCATCATCATCATCATCGTCAAGAATTGAATCTCCGATCCCGAAACTGGAACAACAAAATTTGTGATGCAATATCGATTGTGGTTGTCGTACATAATGTAATTGTTGGTTTTTCATGTTCTGGCATGAATCCTGAATTGTAATTCATTCATTTATTCAAATTTCAATTGAAAAACTTGCTAGCAGCGTTCTAAGTTCATCAAGATATGATTTTAAACAAAAATTACCGCCACATTTCTTTATCGTTTTTTTAGTTCAGCAAGTTGAATGTATTTTTATATACGTCAAAAAAACACGAGAATCTAGAACATGTTTGCGAATTGGTGACGAAATTCTTTTCATCTATTACAAAAACAACAACAACTTACTACCGACTTTAAATCAATGTCATCAATTACACACCGCATATATTCAACAATTTTTTTTTGGCATCCATAACATATATATAGAATCCCAAGAATAGAGCAAGACAAATGAGGTCACAAAACAGTAAACGTATAGAATATTCTATGTTATTAGTGGAAATTTTTTTTTGTTTCATAATTAATGAGATTGATAAAATGATTCTTTTCTTCTTTACCAACCTAACCTCACACCATCTTTTAAAATCATATCTAGGACATTTTTTTTTCTCTGATCTTCACTGTGTACAATTGATGAATTAATGTGTGTGTTGTATGTCTTTTGGTATGATTGAAATTCTCAAAACCTGCACCTGGATTTCCGGTGTGTTAAGTTTTTTTTATTCAACAGAAAAAACTTAATTTTTTCTTACTTCTAAAAAAATGCAAGCAGTGATCCTACCTGACCAGTAGTAAGGCATATGCATCTCTATTATATTGCACACTTTTTTTCTCTTTCTGAGAAGGGTCAAAGGGCAACATGAAAGTTTAAGTTTTTTTTTCTGGTTAAAAATTTATTTTTTTTCAATTTAATGAATTTTTTTTTTTTGCTGCAAGATGCTATCTACGCGAGCATCTTTTGTTCATGCCGAAATCGAATGTAAAGAACATGTACACACACAAAAAAGTTCATTTTCCCACAGTTTGCATCCACACACATCATCCATACGATATTACAGATCATCATCGCCACAACCTTTTTACTTTTTGTATTTCCCTTTTTTTTCAACTCGAGTTTTTTTTGTAAGTTCCTGGAAAGTTTGTGAAAGGACGAACATACCTTTATACACAATACCTCCCTACACACACACACGCATGTATAAATCTAAAAGGTCGTGTCCTCTAGGGCCACACAATAAGAGGTTCAATTTTTGTTTTCTGGTTTCGTTTCCCAAACTTTTTTTTTCTGGAACAATCTTTGTGAACCCTCTGAGACTTGTGTGTGGGATTGATTTTTATTTTTCATTCACGGGACATTCAACTTTTTTTTTTGCTGCTGCTGCTGTTTGTTCCTGAACTCTGAACTATGAACTTGTTGATGATGAACGGATGTCAACAAGCACACTTAACCCGCTTTTTCATTTTTGTCTGTTAAAATGAAGCGTTTTTTTCGGACATCCATCACCTAACCCCTGGAAACTTTTTTCCTGTTTCCAAACTTTCCACACACAAAATTCCCATACACCTATTTGAATAACTCGATTTTTTTCGATAGATTTGACAATCTTGTTATCAGAAAATAAAAAAAAAATCTTGAAAAATTTTTTCTTAAATCAAACAAATATGCAAAAATCTGATTTCAATCGATGAGAGAGCTAGACAAAAAGACAAAGGTGTGTTTATTTATCAGGAAAAAAATATATCGATTGTTTTTAGATACAATCGATATTTTCGTTTTTGCCTCAAACTTTAATCCATTTCATTCATTTCCGCATTATTTTCTTTTTTTTTCAATTTGAATGTTTGTTTTCACCACCTTTTTTGTTACATAGTTTTATGCAAAAATTTTCTTTTTTTCTGCCAAAAAAAAAAATATTTTATGGTTGGCTACCAACTCTTTATCATGAGCAACAATATTTGAAGATTCCTAACCAAATGGAATGTCTTGTTTTTTTTCGTTTCACACATTTGTATGTGAAACAAACAAACACAAAAATAAAGAAAAACCATTCAAATATTTTGTTGATTCTTCAAACTAACTGCAAGAAAATTCAAAGCCAGTTCATCATGATGATGATGATGACGATGATTAGAAGAATGGTTTTAATAGTGTACCTGGTACGGTCTTATACCGTTAAACTTGACTTCTTTTTTCCTTCTTTTTTACATACAGATAACACAGCTGTTCAACAAGACTTAATCATCGACAATGCTGCGCGCTGGACTTGATGATGCTGTTGAACAGAGAAAAAAAAACTTGCGTAACAAGGCCTTGATAGTTTATTTTATGATCTGCAGTTATATACCTGTGTGATCATTATTATTATGGTGTGTGTGTGTATGTGGATGATGATGATGATAATGATAATGATGAACTGTTGCAAACTGTTGACTGATGTTGAGGGGCAGAGAGAAATGAGAAAAAATACCTGTTTTGAATGCATTGGATCTTGTTTTTTGTTTCTTGATAAAGAATGGAAATTTTTTTCTTTCTTATTTCCATTGCCATTATCAACCAAACACACACACACACACACATCGTCTCTTTTCAATGATCGTTAATTCGGCTTTTTCTCTCTGTGTATGTATGTAACTTCACGGTGCCATTCGTCGATATCGCCTTGACCTTTTCCTTGGATTTTTTTTTTCGTTCGTTTGTTTCCTTTTTATTTTTTTTCTTCTTCTTGGTATTCCAAAATGCTGTGACGATAATGATGATTATTGTTATGGTTATTATTACCACCACCAGTGATAGAATTTTTCTTTCTTTTTTTTCCTATTTGCTTCTGCTGCTGGTACTGAATATGGCGTCCTGTTATATTGATCAGTATGTGTGTGTGTGTGTCGGTAAAATAGGAAGTGAATGAATGATTGCTTTTGGCAGGTACAAAAACATTTTTTTTCTTTTTTCATAATCGATAATGGTCATGTGTGTGTGTGTTGTTTGTTAAGAATTTCGGAATCAATGATGAATATAATAAATGGATGTCAAATGTCAAAAAAGTAGTTTAATGATTATTTATTATTTGTTTGGTTGTTTGTTTGATAAACTTGATTATCACAAAGTGTAAAGTTTGTTATTAAAATAGTTGCGTTTTTCTTTTTCTTTTTATTTTTATTTTGACGCGAAAATTTCTTGTTGTTTCACTGCCTCCCACACACATACACACACACATAAATGTACTGGAAGTTATCAAATTTTTAAAAAGCGAAATAAAAAACAAAATGAAAAAATTTTCAAACAAAATAAAACACATGAATATAAAGATATTCAGATATCCACATATTTATCGCCATTCTTTCTCTCGTTTTCATCTCTTTTTCGTAGTTTTTCACCTCCTCCTCCTCCTCCTCATCATCATCGTCGTCGTCGTCGTTGTTGTCGTTTTTTTTATTTGTTATTCTTCCGGGTTTTGTATATAACAACAACATTGCCATCGTCATCATCATCCATCCCCAACCAATTCATTCAAGTCAGTCAGTCAGTCAGGCAGCCAAATAAAAAATTTTATATCTCCACACTAAACTGAGAGAATGAAAATAGGTCAAACATTATTATATTACTGCTGAGAATACGGGCGTCACACGCCTAGCCACACAGATATATAAACATTGTGTGTATGGCTTCATATTTTATGATCATACACCAAATTGGTAGTGGTATTCGGTATTTTCTGGTTAATATCTGGGTAATATCGTTGTTGGTTGGACAAAAAGTTCGTCGACCTTCGTTGTAATGATAGCCGTTATATGTGTGTGTATATGTTTTTTAGGTTCTTTTTTTGTGTGTTTCAAAAAGAACATTCATTCCAAATTTAATGGTGGTTGGTTGTTGGTTGATCATTTGGAACTGGTTTTTTTCGTCGTCGTTGTCATTGTCGTTGTTTTTGGTTGTTGGTTAGTTGGATCGATGGCGCCTAATCAAACTCTTTTTCTTCTCTTGATTCTTTTTGTCCAAAAATTTTTCTCGTTACCACCACCCATAATCGAATGATGATTGCGGCCTATAACACACACACACAAGCCTTAAACATTGACCTTTGCATTGGATCTTTTTCTCTTTTTATCAAAAAAAGAAGCTAACGAAAGATAAGTAAGTGAGTGAGAGAAAACAAAAAATCGGAAAAAACTTGTGTTTGTTTATTGTTGATGATAATGATGATGATGATGATGATAACTAAAAGCCGAAAAAAGTGTATGCAGTGTGTGTGTGTATTTTTTTTAAATTACGCCCGGCGCCATTTTGTTTCAATATTTTTTTCTCGTTGTCGATTGGACATGCGTTCAATGCGACAATCGATTATAATTACATTCAGATTCTTGTGAGATTTGTTTGTGTTTTTTTTTGTTTTTGAAATAAATCAATGGTGAAAGGTGAAAGGTCATTCTATTTTTAAATCCATCGCCGTCATCATCGTCATTATTCTGACATATGGCATTGATTTGGATGTCATTTTTCATTGTTTGTTTGTTTTCTTTAATCTTTTTTTCAGTTATTTTTTTCAAAACCTTGACATGGTTTTTTTTAACCCATTAGATTTGTGTGTGTGTATGTGTGAGAGAGGAACGAAAGGGTTGACCTTTGTCCTTTGAGAAATTTTTTTCTCACTTGCTTACTTGTTGTAACTTATCTATTATTATCTTAATATTTTTACCTGACATACGGCGATGACCTTATAATGATGATGATGATCACTGTAGCATAATGTGTGTGTGGTACATTTCCGAATGGCCATTTTTTACAAACATTTAGTTTCGGTACAGATATCAGATTCGATTTCCATTCATAGGTCAATAATCCTTTCGTTGTCGAATATAGAAAAGAACAAATGTAAGGGGGCGGCGGAAAAGGTCATCGCACATTATCATATCTTCAAAAAAAAGTTTTCTTTTCTTCATCTTCATACGACGACAATGAACGAATAAAAATTCAGGTAGCCATTGACCTGTGACTGGAGAAAAACGGAGAAAATTCAACGACCGTTTAACCGCCGCCAATATTTGATTGAATGAATGGATTTCTTGCAAAGAAACAGAGAGAGCTGATCACGCAGAAAAGAAAAAATGGATTTTTTTTTAGATTTCAAATAAGTCACAGGTAAACACGCGAACAGATGGCAAGATTATTTTTGTCAAACGATCCGTTTCGGTTTTTTTACTGATTTGGATTTAATATACACTGTACAGTTCAGTTCAGTTGAACATCTTCAACATGACGGTCAAAGGTCAGGTTTTTTTACTAGACCGCCCTCGCTAGTTCTTAGCTACCGCCCATTTTCTTCTTCTTCTGGTCCTTAGGGTCCATGGATGAATGAATGATGAGTCCAAGTTTTCAGTCTTGTTCGAGAGTCACATGGATCAACTACGAAATATTCAAGTGAATTTTTGTTTTGGTTTTTGAATAATCATCATAATGTTGACTATCAATCATCAATCGACATTTTCCTCGATTCTTGATACAGTGTTGGATCGTGAAATACGACAACAAAATGATTGTTTCAGTCATCATCATAATGATGAGGATGACAAAAATGTTGATTATCGTTCATTATCAACACAACAAACAACGACCACAACAACATTTGATCCGGATTCAACACATTCATTGATGATACCGATTAAAAGTATTAAGAGAGAAAAGGAGAGAGAATTGCACTTTTCTTTATTTATCAAATTATTTAGATTACTTATCAATGATTTTTTCTCGTTTTTTTTCGATTCAATTTATAGCACAAATAGAGATAATACCATGTAAAGTATGTGGCGATAAATCATCCGGTGTACATTATGGTGTCATCACCTGTGAAGGTTGCAAAGGTTTTTTTCGTCGTAGTCAATCATCAGTGGTGAATTATCAATGTCCACGGCAAAAAAATTGCATTGTTGATCGTGTTAATCGTAATCGTTGTCAATATTGTCGTTTACAAAAATGTCTGGCATTAGGCATGTCACGTGATGGTATGTTATTTATTTCTGATTCTGATTTCGATTCCATTTTCCCATGATGATTTTTTTTCACTCATACTATTTTAGCGGTAAAATTCGGACGAATGTCAAAAAAACAACGTGAAAAAGTAGAAGATGAAGTACGATTTCATCGTGCTCAATTAGTTAGGCCCGGTAGTGGTGGTGGTGGTGGTCATTCACAACATCCATCATCACAACAATCGACAATTAATAAAAATCAACAACAACAACCACCACCGACAATGATACAAACCGGTGGTGGTAATGGTCAATCTATATGTGGTATGACGCAAATCGTCACGGCAAGTACGACAACATCACCAAATGGTGGACAAGTGTTGACCGGTTTGAATGGTTCATCGAATAATAATAACAATAATGGTCCATTAATAACGAATATTGGTCAACAACAACAACAACAACCACCGCCGCCTTCCATAACCGCATTACATGGACAATTAAATAACGTATCTGCAGCGACAGCAACAAACGGTAATGGTGGTTGTAGTACACAACAAACGAATACTTCCGTTGTTGTTGCTGCTGTTGCATCAAGTACACAATTTGTTCAAAGACAACAACAACAACAGCTGAAACAGGAAACATCACCTGATTCATCGGTATTGGAACAGCAACCACCACAACAGCCTTCATCATCAAGTCAACATGTATCATATTCATCATCAACATCATCTGCATCATTAACAAATGGGTAAATAATTGATTTTTGTTTTGTTTTTTTTGGGATTTCTTCTGGTCATCATCCAATGTATAAAATTAGGTTGACCGGATTTTTTAACATGATAATTTGGTATGGTTTTTTCCCAAACACATTTTTGTTTTCGTTGGGTTTTTTTTCACTTGTTGATTGCACAACACACATACACACACACACATTCGAGGGTTCATACGCTCCACTGAAATCAATTTCGACGGTACAACAAAAAACCAATTTTCATTTTTCCTTGGAATTTTCCATTTGTTTGGCCAATCTTTTGCAAAAACAAAAACAAAAAAAAAAAATTCAATCAAGATTTTTGAACGACTAAAAAAACAAATGACTCACTTAAAGCAATCAAGTTTCTCTGCTTATTCAAGTTGATTTTGTTTGATAAATATGTGTGTGCGTGTTATTTGAACCCTTTTTTATGGCCATCATTAAATAATATAGAGCAACAAACTGTTTTGGCTTACCGGTTAGTTTGTAGGTTTTTTTGTTCTTGGATCAATAATGATACCGTAATACGATATTATCGAGAAGAAAAAAAAACCCAATCCTTTGTCGGTTTTTTTCCTTACCAATTTCTTTCGATTGCCGATGCCGATGCTCGTCTATACACGTGTAACACACACACACACAAACACAAACACGAAAGTCCTTGTAATATTTGGTGTGTCATAAAATAAAAAACAAATGCATTTATGACATGACATTTATTCGGTATCTATCCTGGTCAATCCTTTCCATTCGGTCACTAACCTCGCGTAAATGATTGGCCCAATTTTTTTAAAAATTATTGATTCATTTATTAAAAATTCTGTTTTTTCATTTCATAGATATTCAACATATCCAAATGGTGATTTATCCGGCACTGGTAATATCGGCCATAATAGTCCCGGTACAACAACGACAACGACGACAACATTATATCATGCTCAGGATAATAAACCATATACATTATATGCAGCCTATACAACAAGTGGTGGTGGTGGTGGTGGTAGTAATGGAACACAACATTCAACATCTCAACAACAACAGCAACAAGCGGCTAATAATAATAATATATTTGATATCATACCATCGTCAACAGATTTTGTTGATAGTACGACAACACAATTCGGTGAATTAAAACCCATAACAGCAACAGCGACAACGCAGAATAATAATAATAATAATAATTGTCAAACAACAACAACTACTAACGATCCAACAGCAACATCTTCATCATCAGCAGCAGCAACCACAACAATGTCACCGGATACAAATTGTGGTGGCGGCAGTAGTTTACATCCATTAAATTCAACAATAACAACAACAATGATTGGTTCACCAATCAATGATTGTTCCGGTGGCGGTGGTGGTGGTGGTGGTGGTGGATCATCAACAACAACAATACAACAGAATCAGAATAATTGTTTGGTTACATTAACGGCAAATCATTCACATCTAGGTTCGTTTATTGACCATTATCCTTCGTTTAATGCTGTATTTGGTCCAATAAATTCGGCTGCTACTACTACTGCTAATAATAATTCTGCCGCTGCTGCTAATGTTAGCGGAAACAGTAGTATAGTAGCAGCCGGTTCTACTATTATTGATGGTGGTGGTGGTGGTGGTGGCGGTTATAATTTTTCCATACAACATCCACATAATCCATTAGGTACCTCTCTCTCTCTCTCTTGCTTGCTCGTTCAATGATTCCCAAACATTTTTTTTCTGTTTAATTTTTCTTGTTTTTCTGGTTTTTTTTCAAAATTCGTTTATCAATTGTTTTTTTCTCTTTCACTGAACAAAAAAAAAACAAATTATTAACGAAAACGGTGGCCGATGCACATTCAAGAACTTGTCTATTGACCACCGAACAGATCATCGATTGTAAACGTAAACCAATGGATCTTAGTCGTGTTTTTGAATTTAAAAATCTTGTAAGTGATTTTTTCCTTTTTCAATCAAATATAAGTCAATCAATCATTCAATTCATTTACAGTCACATGATCAACAATGGTTACGATGCGCGGATAAATTGACCGACATGATACAGCAGATAATTGAATTTGCAAAAATGATACCCGGTTTTATGAAACTTTCGCAAGATGATCAAATTGTTTTGCTTAAAGCCGGTGAGTGTATTGCCATCCATTTGTTTTTCATTTGTTGAAAATTTTTTTTTTTACAGGAAGTTTCGAACTTTGTTGTCTGCGTATGTCGCGCTATTATGATCTAAATACAAAACAAGTTGTTTTCAATGGTGGCCTTATGCCTATCGATGCATTCCTAAGTCAAGGTTAGAAGATTATACTGGGGTTTATTTTGTTTGTCAAGCAGCAATCTAATTCTTTTCTCTTTCTCTTTATTTTTTTTATCTATTTCTCTGAAATCAGCTGATATAACTGAATCAAAATTAATCTCACAAGCATTTCAATTCGCCGAACATTTGGCTGATCTCAAAATGACTGAAGCCGAATTGGCTTTATTCTCTGCTTATGTGTTAATATCGCCAGGTAATATCATATATATTCTGTCTGATTCTCTTGATTTTATATTTCATTAATTCTCATCACATAGATCGACCTGGCCTAAAAGGCATTCTAGAGATACAACGATTAAATCAAGCCATAATGAAAGCATTACGCAATGAATTGAATCGTACACATAAAAATACATTTTTCATCAAAGGCGATGTAACAATCATCGATATCATTATTGCCAAATCGGGACAATTACGTGAACTATCGATATTGCATATGGATGCATTGAATAAATTTCGTCGCCAATCATCGCATTTAATATTTCCTGCCTTACATAAAGAATTATTTTCAATTGATCAACCAGATCAACAGATTGTTTGATTTATTTGATGATTCGTATTTTCACAACACTTTATTGTTCATCATCATCATCATCATCATCATGCCTCTAAAGCCACATCCACACACATGCAGACAGACACTGAAAAAAATTTGCATAATTATTACGAATCTTCTAATTCATCATCATTGACAATTTTTTTTTCTGAATTCCTTGTTTGTTTGTTGGTTCATTCACACACACCGACCCACTCGTACACACTTTTTTTTTCTCTCATACACTGTGGTTGTTGGCATCTTTCATCATCGTCATCGTATATAGATTTTTAATATATTTTTTCAAATTACAAATTTCATCATTCATTTTTAATTCAAAATGATCAATTATCGATTATTGATTTTTTTCGCTCTGTGTTTATATTATTGAAAATCAACGAAAAATCATCATCATCATCATAATTATAATTCGTTATTATTATGACAATAGTTCTATTTTACACACCCACACACACACACCCACCAACACACCCAAGAATAATTTTCATTCATCTGGTTGAATGATTGATTTTATTGATACATACATTTATTATTTGGAAGAAAACCATGAAAATGCCTTTGTTATACATATATTTTATACATTGATTACAAGTTGATGACAAATGATAGTTTCCATTATAAGAAAAAGAGAGTGAGAAAAAAGTTCATCTTTTCATCATCATCATTTATAAAACACCACACACAATGAGACATTTAATAAATTATTTAAATAATTTGTAATTTTTCCACTCCCACGCCTAACATTCAATCTCATTTGAAACCCATATATCCATGGTTAGAGTTTTTCCCTTTCCGTATTTGTTTTTTCATCATTTTGTTGTTGTTGTTGATTTTCTGTCTTTTTATTTAGAATTTTTTGAAAATAGGTATATTTCAACACACGAACACACACACACCATCCCTGGTAACCAAGAAACACATTGCTTTTGTCAATTCGATATCCGGATAATCATCATCAGAGTCAGCCGTTAAAAGTTAGAATCAGAATTTTATTTACCACGGTCAGGCATGCATTTTTTTTATACCCAATCGATTGGTTTTTTTTTGAATTGTAAATAATTTCCTTCCTAATTTACATTCATTCATATATTTCCTATACAATTTTTCAGTGAAAAAAAACCAAACACTTGAAAACTAGCAACAAGCTACAAGACACTGCCAATTTGATCGATTTCATTTCGAATTTTTTTTTTGTTCTACCCATTATTCGATAACAAATCGTGATCAAAGTCTTGTTTTTCTCTTTCTCTCTTTAGGATGGAGAATAATTTTCTTTTTTTTCGGAATTTCGTAAAAATCACACCAATACATGCAATGTCATGTCTTTTTTTTTGGGAAAAATCTAATTTTAGACTTTTGTTGTAAATATATTCAAAAATGGAAAAATTTTCTTTTTTTTGAAATTTGGTCGAGGCCTATTCACCTGAAAACACTGTTGTTAACACTAAACTAAACTAAACTAAACAATCGTTGTGATAAATTAATGAAATCCATGATGATGATGATGATGATGATGATTACCGGGATAATATTATTTGACCGAAGAAACTTTTTTCTTTCAAAAAAATACACAATTCTCAAAATCCGATCCATAACCATATTTTTCATTTTTTATATTTGTGTGTGTGTGATACCAACAACAAAAAAAAACCTTAAAATTCAAAATTTATGATCGGAAATTAAGCTAAAAAATACGAAAACTGATAACCACTACCACCACCACCAACACCAACACCAACACCAACAACAACAACGATAAACCAGATGGAAAAAAAATTTATGGAAAACTTTTGTTTTTATATAAAAAAAAATTTACAACCCGAAAAAAAATTCTTACACACAGACAACGGACATTTGATAATTGATGATTTCGATCGTCGATTTTTATTATTATAACTTGTGCTAATTATTATTATTATTATTATTATTATTAACTCTACTAATTATACATTATGTCTATTTGAATTATTATTGATTGATTGATTGATTGATATATGAAGATTAAAGATTATTGAAAATGAAATTAAATCGCTCATTCATTCACATTTTTTTCAACTTTATCATCAGTCCATTTATCCATTATCAGTGTTTTTTTGTTTGTTGAGTGATTGTGCATGTGTGTGCGATGTGTGTGTGTCGAACAATTTATTTTTATATATTTACATTCATTATATAATCAACATCATCATCGAAACTATATATTTGAAAAATCAAAAAAAAAAAAAAATGAACAAGAAAATTTGAAAAAATATTCAACGATATAATAAGAAAAAATATAAATTTCCTATTTTGCCATGTTTTGTTTTGTTTTGTTATGTTCCAATCACGGATTAACGGCACGTTCTTTATCATCCATATCTTGAACATTGTCATATGATGATGATGATGAATCGGACATTCCCACACCGCCACAACCATCTTCATATCCAGCTTTTTTCAAACCCATCACAACATCTTCGGTGATATGAACTTTACGAACATCAGTACCGGGTATTTCAAACATTGGTTCGAGTAAAACATTTTCCTATACGAAAAAAAAACAGAATGGTGAAAAAGATGGTAAAATTATTATTATTTGTCAATTAATTTACCAAAATGGCTCGCAAACCACGAGCACCAGTCTTTCTTTCCATAGCCACTTTAGCTATTCTTCTCAATGCTTGTGGTTCAAATGTCAATTCAACATTGTCCATTGAGAATAATTTCTGAAATTGTGGTATCAATGCATTTTGTGGTTCGGTCAAAATCTGTACCAACATATTTTCGGTCAAATTATGAAACGGTACTACCACAGGAAATCGGCCAACAAATTCCGGTATCATACCGAATTCAATAAGATCTCTAGATTCTACTGCATTTAATAATTGATCCTTTTCAATCATATCTTCAAGTAATGATGAATCGGCTGTTGAATAATTATCAGCAACATCAGCTGCAGTAGCTGCTCGTCGGCCCTGTGATTCGGATGATTGTGCACCGAAACCAAGATATTTTTCGTTTTTACGTCGATTAACTATCCGATCTAATCCATTGAATGCACCGGATGCAATGAATAAAATATTCGTCGTATCCACAACAATAGGTTCACCACGCATTTTGCGTGAATTTCTTTCCGGTATTGTTACCAATGTACCTTCGAGCATTTTCAGCATACCTTGTTGTACACCTTCACCTCCGACATCACGTAATTGATGTATACCAGGTACGGCACCAATTTTATCGACCTCATCAAGAAAAACAATACCTTGTTGTGCTTTCTCAACATTATAATTAGCATCCTGCAATAATTTTGCAATTATCGATTCAATATCTTCACCAACATAGCCAGCCTGTGTTAATGTTGTACAATCACAAATTGCAAATGGAACATCCAAACAGATGGCTACAGTTTGTGCTAGAAGAGTTTTACCACTACCCGTAGGTCCTAATAATAAAATATTTGATTTTTCCAATCCGAATGTCCGATTGATTTGTATCCAATAGAAAACTACCACGATTCTGTTGTTGTTGCTGCTGCTGTTGTTGTTGTTGTTGTTGCTGTGATAATTTATCCGAATTAACCACAGTGTCATGTGGATGAAAACTTTGTAAATGTAGACCAAATGGATGGGCACCAGGAATGTTGATGAATTCATCTGGAAAATAATAAAAATTAACATCTGGAAAAACAAGAATCCATTCAAAATTCTTATTACCTCTGCTATTTATTATTTTCGATCCTTCATTATTTTCATTACGATTACTGTTATTATTCTGATTATTAACATTGTTGTTATTCAATTGTGATAATATATTGTGATTAATTCGTTTATAATGATTATAAACGGCAACGGATAAAACTTTTTTCGCTTTATTCTGGCCAATAATTCGTTTATCCAGATATTCATAAATCTATAATCAATGGATGAATCAGGAATGAATGAAAAAATCGATTTAAAAACACTTATTATTACTTTTCTTGGCGGTGGTGGATTACGTTGTACATTGAACTTTTCATTTGTTTTCTGTACATTCGGAGCGGATGCCGTCGAATGTTGTTCTTTAGCGGCAGTCGTACGATTATTACAATCATTTTCGGATAGAATTACAAAAAATCTCGCACATTTATCACATTTGACAAAACGTGTCGATGCTATTGAATTAAATTGAAAAAAAATCATTTGACACAAAATGATTATGATTCTCAACTTACAAAGAAATTCTTCAATCTGTGTACAAACATTGCCACAATTTGGGCATAAAAAATTCTTGTCTTTGTTGTTGGAGCCACCACCACTACCGCTGCTGCCCGCATTTTTATTCGATGAACCAGAACCATTCGATGGACTCCCACTTGTTGGTTGTCCTTTATCGAAACCACCACCACCAGCACCACCGCTATCGCTACCGCCACGAACTCCATAAAAAGATTTTCTAACCACAATATTTGTATGTAATCGACGATTCATATAAATGATATATGGTGATGGTGGACTATTATCGGAACGATTCATTCGCCATTTTCTATCATGATTCGATACAGTTGTGAATTCATGATGACGATGATTTTTGAAATTATTCTGCAATATAACAAATGAATTTCGGCGAAACATTATAACTTTTTTTTCTGTTTGTTTGTATACACCCGGGAAAATAAATCAAACACACACACAAGTAATAAGATGATTATATATCGATGAAAAAGAATTAACCACAGGTAATTTGAAGAGAGAGATTGCTGATTTTTTTTCTCAGAAATAAATTTTTGATTCTTTGTCTGGCTTATTATATTAATAATAATCATCTGATGTTGACGATGGTTATGATTTGATGTTGATGTTGTTGATGATGATAGCTTGCATCTACACCGAAAAAAAACGCGTTTATGCGCATTCACTCTGATATATGATCATCATTGCAATATTGCAAGTGAACAAGAAAAAAAAAAATACTTGTTTCGTTTGTTGTTAGATATGTTTTAATTATCATCAAAATATAGAAACACTTTTAATATGAAATGATCATTAAATTTTCTCAAATATATTTTTTTTTGCCTGTTCCGGATTAAACTTTGACATATGTCCAATAAAGTGTTGGATTATTTAGCCAAAAAAAAAAAAGTTGTTCGCGAATTATTGGAGCCAAAACAGTAGTGTTTCGTTGATGATCGATTAAATTTTTTTAAAGTGATGTATTTTTTTTCCTCTCAAAAACACAAATGACAATTTTACCATTGAAATTTTTAAAATGAAAATGGAGGTGATGAAAATGGCATAAAACACACAAACACAAACAAGGATACAGCCTTCAGAACAGAAATGAAACTGTCAATGGTTTTTTTTTCGTTTTCGTTGTTGGAACAAAATATTCAATAATTTATATCCTTGAAATACATAAATGTCGACATTGATCGAATATCATTATCGATATATCGATGCAACAAACACACACACACATAAAGAGAGAGAGAGAGAGAGAGAGGGAAACACACGAAAACATTGGACAGACAATAAACAAAAAGAAATTTAAATTCCATTTTAACCTTGATCATGATCATTTAGGTTATAATAGTGTTGTTATGTTTTCATTATTACTTTTATCATCATCCGACAGATGGAGCCAAAAACGGAATGATAATTTTTTTTTGTTTCGTGTCCGATAGATGGATTTTTGATTGATGAATAAGCGGGCTAACTAAAATCCAACAAATTATGTGACACACACAACACAAAGGTCAAGATTGTTTGTTCAAGGACAGACACACAATTAAAAATCAATTAATATTAAGGAGTGAATATTTTGAGTGAGTGAGTGTATTTCCGATTTTCCATCAAAAGACCATGTGTGTGTGAAGAAAAAAAATGACAAAAATAAATCCACCAACAACCACCCATCTACCACCTACAAAAATCGATCCATCAAGATCAAAATTCATTAATGATATAAAAGGTGAGGCTTGTTGTTGATTGGCCTGAGATTAATCATTTTTTTTTGGTATTTTCCAGGTAAACAAATATTGATTAAACTAATTGATTCAAGTTGATCATTCATCATTGATCAGTGAACAGAAAAACAAACAAATTGATTTTTTTTCAATTTGAAAAGAAAAATTAACCCAAAAAATTTTTTTTGCACAACAAATATTCTAATGTGGACCGGAATTTTCCTAATTTGCATTTTCCTGTGTGATTAAAAACCGATTTTGGCAATCACCGATTAAATGAAAACCAAAAATGAAATTTCAGGTCATTCAAGCTGAATAATAATAATAATTTGCTTTTGAAGATTTTTGTCATTCTGCTAACACGATGATGATTGATGGAAAAAAATGAATCAAGTAAGTCCAAGAATGAATTTTGTCCTCTTCGTCGTCGTGTCGTCGTTGTTGTTTGGGATGCTGTCAAATGTCCAATTATATAATCAACATAATTAAAGTTGACCAGAAAAAAAATCATTTTAAATTTTCTGGGCCTGAAAACGAAAAATTCTCTTCTGTAAAAAAAAAGAATTGGTCAAAACTGAAACAACAACGAACATGACGAAATTGCTCATTTCCTTCATTGTTTTTTTTTCATTCAAAAAAATCATACAAAATCCTCATCATTCATAAATCATCGTCATTCATTCATTCATTTACCGAAAAAAATGGATAATTATCCATTTTTTGCTGTCTTTTGTAATGATCATCATCATCATCATCATGGTCATGATCATGTCCATTCTCTATTTAAATTAATGAGCCGAACCAAACCAGTCTTTTTTTCAAGAATGAAATATGAATGAATTCGGTCACCTGTGTGTGTGTGTGTGTGTGAAAATGAACCTTAAGGACTTGCGGATTATTACTGTGATTGGATAATTTTACCCTGTAAAAAAAAGAAGGTAATTGAAAAAAATTTACAACACATGAACACATATTATTATTGTTGTTGTTTAGAAAAGTGAGAGATAGAGAGAAAGTGACCAAATGCAAAAAAAATGACTTGATTAAATCTGACAGGTCATCATCATCATCATGATCACCATCACCATTATGGTTATTTCGATGATTCAAGTGACCGGATATACGGTCAAACGATTCTTGTACTCTCCATTTTTTTTTGTTTAGCAAAAGAAAAATTTCATTTTCATTTTTGAAATCAATTACGTGAAAATAATAATTTTTATTATTTTTTTTTCTCAGAATTCTTTCATTTCAAAAGAAAAAACAAAGGCACAATATGCGAATGCCAACGAAAAATCCAAATGATTTTTCTTTTTTGACATTTTACAATGTATAATAATAATAATAAATGAAGTGTGTATGAGATTGAGATCACAATTATTTAGTTTTACAAATAGAAAAACATGTGTTATTTACAAATTAAGGCATCTTGTATAAAAAGTCCTCGGTTTCGTTTTCGATAAAATTTGACCAGATTGAAATATTTAGGTTGTCCATTTTTTTTTTGTTTTGTTTTCATGTTCATTCACCATGGACGCCATACATTTTCATCATTTGATGATTGTGATGATTTTGAAATTGTACAATCCACGGCCATATCTAATTGATGGTCATCCAAACAATAATCACTACCGATTGGACTCATCATCATTTGTTCACTTGTATATGAAATTGAACCGGGACTTAATGATTGTTGATGATGATGTTGATGGTGTTGTCTTTGATGGTGGAAATTTTTACGATAAAATAAATCATTTGTTGTCGTTAATGAAATTGGTTTTGTTGTCGATGTTGTTGATAATGTTGGTGAATGTAAATTAAATGCAAAATGTGATGACGATGATGATGCTGATGATGGTGGTGGTGTTGTCGCCGATGATGATGTTGTCGTTGATGAAATGCCCGAATGTTTTACATAAATTTCATCCATAAATGTTGTACGATTATTATTATTAATATCGGTACCACCGAATTGTTGTTGTTGCGGATGGCCACCAAACATGACCGGTATTTGAACATGTAAATTATTTACATTTGATGGAATCATGCCTGGAAATGCAACCATTTTTGTATTGTTACATTATTCGTATTATTAGTGGCGGCAACCATTTGATTTAAGCTATTAACACAATGATTCAGATGACCAAGAATACGTTGTCGTAATGATTGATGATCAACAACGCCACCACCACCAACAATACCAGAATCGATATTATTCATATAACGTCCAACTTCATTGGCGCATTCAGAATAACCGGCACGATATTTATTCAATAATGTTGTATCATTGACAATTGTTGCGGCTATTTGTTGGCGTTGAAGTTTTTGTAAATGCCTAACGGTCATTTCAAGAATATCGGCTTTTTCCAATTTTGAATGTCTGGATGGATCTTTATTCAATGCATCCAATATTAATGCTTTTAATTCATTCAGGCTATTATTAATACGTGCACGACGTTTCTTTTCCATAATTGGTTTCGTGATCTATTGTAAAATAAAAATAGAATGACGAGTTAAAACAAATTTTCAAACCAAAAAAAAAATTCAAAGTTTTCAAAAAAACAGCAACAACAATACTTACACGTCGATGTTCAGATGCTTTAGTCATTGGTTTATTATTACGATTGATGGATAATTCATTTGTGGATGATTCCACTGTACCGTGATTGGCAGTCATGATGAAATTCAAAAAAAATTTTCAAAGTCTTAACGAAAGTCTTAAGTTGAGTGATTCGATTGGCTTCTTCTTTAAACCAGACCAGTGAGAGAAAATACAATTTTCCAATTTAAACCAAGATTGGTGAATCGATGCTGAATTTATAGTCCACAGACCAGAAAAAATAACCGAAAAATCATCGTCAACCATCACACACGACATACACACTTGTTGCTCCGCCTGTTTTTTCTGCTTTTTTAATAGTGTTGGAACCATAAAATCCAACCTTTTTTTACGAAGTAAAATGCTTTGTATGTTCTGGTATTTGCAGTCTGTTCACTTCATATATTCATTCATTCAGCCTGTTGATGATCATCATCATCATATCGGATTGTCGACTGGTCGAATGGATGGCTGCATGCCGATGATGATGATGATGATGTTTGTTTGGCTTGCCGCGATCAGTCCAGAGCGTGGGAACGAAAAATTTTCGAAAAAAATGAAATAAAAAAATAACTTTACCCAAGTGTAAAGTCTCTCTTGTATAGTCGCGCGAGTGAATGAAACACACGCTTATAAACCTTGTTTTCTATGTGAGAATATATTGTATATATGGTGAATAGTGAATGCCGCCTGAGGTCAGCTATATATTTTTTTTTAGTTATAACGTACTTACACACAAACAAGCAATCTGTTGAATGGTATTAGAAATAGAGGGGAAAAAAGAAAGAAAGAAAAAAATAGAAGAACCGACCGCGATCGTTACGCGCGGCAGGCAATTCACGATGATGATGATGATCGAGATATGGGAAACGTTCGACAAGCACTTTCCCACGATCTCGACTACAGAAAAAAAATGTAAGAAAAAAAATTTTTTGGTAAAAAATCAACACACACAAAATAGCTTACAGTATTCTCTATTCTTAAAATTACCCTGCACACACACACAATTGGTAAATGTGTGTGGGGTGCATGTGGGGAAGAAAAAATAAAGAAAGAAGAGGTCAATAGTGCACACACACACACAGTGAAATAAGGCACGTGTTCTCTTTAAGATTTTCGTTGATAAATTTTTCTCTAGCTGTTGTTGTTGTTGTTGTTGTTATCGTTGTCGAAGACATGCGACTGACCATCTGACTTGGTTGTTGTCGTTATGGTTGTATTGGAAAACAAAAATCGATGATAATGGTTTGAATGACTGAATGATGATCGCGTTCCCACGCTCCAAGAAAATGGACATCATTGAATAAGTAGCAGTTGGTTGGTTGGATATAAACTCACACATTTTTATTTATGTTTAGTGTGTTGTGCATAGTGTTATGGGCCAACAACCGGACAATTTCTTTATGTATGTGTGTTTTGTAAAGATGACGACGATGACGACGGGTGTAAAAATGCATTATAGAAACTGCACCTGTGTGTGTATGTTTCCCACGATCTAAACGAAAAATTAAAAAAAACGGGCGCAACAGACTTCATTCGATGATAATAGTGTTTCTTTTTTTGTTTGGTTTGGTTTGACGGTTGCTGATATATAATGCATATGTTTTATTATCATCATTTTATTGATGATTTGATAGACGATGGTATCATCATTGATGAATAAATTGGTAAAACGATATATCGATAATATCTATAGACGTTTGGATGTATATATTAACTATGAATCGATTGATGAGTCATAATTAATTAAATTAATTAGAAAGTATTTAATTGATGATGAACCCTTTAAGAATCTACTATCGATGATCGATGCTATCGATATATACAATCGTAATTTTTATTATTCGAATGTGTTTGATGTTCGACATCTCGTCACAAATCGAATGTGTTTACATTTCGTTCTTCTTCAATTGTTGCCAGTTTTTGTTTTCAAAAAAATGATATTTGTATCGATTAATCATCAATAATTATTGATTAAATCAATGATTTATTCGATATGCAATCAAATCAAGAATCAAAGTATGCAATGATTTTATCATCCATCCACCAAAAATGATGATGATGATGATTATCCATGAGGTAATTCGATTTTTAATCCTTTTCATTTACTAATTTACTTCATAATTTTTTCCATTATTAGTTAACATTTTTTAATGAATCCCAAAAATTGCTATACACGACGACGATGATATTCGCGTGGCATTAAAAAAAACGGGTCACACGCCATCATCATCAATGTAATAATCGAATCATGTACCAAAACACACACAGTATATATGCATGGTTGGCTAAAAATGCCAATGATCGAAAATGATGATGATCGAATCGAAACGACAGCGTGAGAACAAGGTGTGGTGACACATTATCATCAAATGGTGCAACGAATATATACGAAAAAAGCAAGACCATTTTTTCAAAGACCACATTTCATTGATGGCTGATTTGTGTTGCTAGCCACCAACCGTATATATACGTTTGATGACGCGTGCCATCACGTTTACTGATAATAATGATCATCATCACCACCATTATTACTTACCATTTGCTTATGATTCTTTTTTTTCGAAGACTTCGACTGTTCGATTGTCGATGATGATGATCGTCAGATCGTGGGAACTTCTCCGCCTACTTTTTTTCCTCTTCTTTTCGTAAAAAAGCAACAAGTTTATCTTGCTTTGCATTGCTTTTCTTATTAGAAATCAAAGCTTGAATGGCCAACATACACACAACAAGCCAAGCTTTTTTTTATTTTTTATGCTTCCCCGTTATGATGATGATGACCCCTGTGTTGTAACGATATCATCTGACCCTTCACCTCCTCAACATCTAAAGTTGAGGTCGAACATATTACGGGGCAATGTTTGGGGTGATGGAATGGGGAAAAGATGACTGTAATCTGTTTTTTGAATATGATAATGATGGAATGTATTTATGGCCTTGGTGTCTCCCCTATGGTCATATTGTTATTTGGTTCATTCATTCATTGATTTGGTGACCAGGAGAGCGTGAAAAATTTTCTTTTATTTACCCCCACACAGAAGAGGCGTGGTTTTCTCATGGATTTTCATTTTTTTTTTTGAATTCACTGCTTTCACTTTGGTCAAATGTAAAAGAATTTATTTTTTTTTTTTGAGCGAAAGTCTAAGGGCCACGTGTCAATTGGTTCGATGATGATGAGGATGAGGTCATTGTCAATTGTTCAAAAGAGAGGGGCTTCTCTATAGTAGTTCACTATGTTATGAAAACCCGATATGACCCACTGGTATGTCGGTGGGTCTTATGTATAGGACCAAGCTTGCTGAATACCTGAACTTACACACATATAGTGTGGGAACGAGAGCGAACGTGCGACAATTTGAATTTTTTTCTTTCTTTCGTTGAAGAAAGTGGAATTCAAAACAACACAACAGAAATGAAATAGAAAACATCTGCATTCCCACGCTTCGTAAAAAAATGTTTTAGTTTTTTTTACTTAGCTAAACTAAATACCCATGTGGGGTCAGCGATGACCCTCTCTTTCTCTCTCTTTTTTTACTTCGCTCTCACTATCCACAAGTGTCCAAAAAACATTTGGATAACAACAAAAAAGAACAAGTTGGCCACGCGTGCCACGAGTCCATGAGATCGTGGGAAAGTTGTGTTTTTATTTTTTTTTTTTTTTTGTATTCAACAATCAATAGATCGCCTGCCATAAGGCCAAGTATAGGATTGGCGCTTTTTTAATTTTTTTTACTTTACTTTCAGGCGTATTAAGACCGTGTTTTTTGTTAATGTGGAAATTATTGAATTGAATGGAACACGAGCCGCCGTACGCCAATCGGCTATTGGCTCGTGTGACGAGCTTGAATTTTTTGTTTTTTTTCAAGAATAAATTTAATACACAAACACAGAGAGAGAATTTCATCAGAAAATATTTTATTATCATATATCAAATATAATAATTTATCTATTTAATCAATTTACGACGGCGTTCAATTTCACTTCGTTTTTTCACACTAGTTTGATGTTGTTGTACTTGTTGCCATATTGTTAATTGTTGTTCTTCTGGCACATGGGCACGATATTCAGCCATCAAATCGAAACGTTCCAATTCATTTTGATGTTTCCATCTATTTATATAATTATAATCAGGCATATTTGGTAGTTTTTTAACACCTTTCAAATCATAGTATTCCCATTTTCTTGTCCATGGCCATGGTTTCATTTCTACCTGTATCGGATTCAATGGTACTGGTTCACCTGATTTACGTGGCGGTTCTGGTGCCATATCGAATGGTATTTCACTATATTTTGGTAATGCATCACGCAAGTATAGCAAATGATCATCTATTCGTTTTTCCAATTTTAACACTTGTATCTCTTGTATAACTGGATTATAGAGATCATAACGAATTTCTACACCTTGGCCATCGACACGATTACGTAGAGTGAAATTAGCAAATGTCCCTTGACCATTACGTTCGATACAGATACCAACGAATTTACTTAGTTTACCCGATGCCCAATGATCGGTTATTGTAACGGCCATAATTGAACCAACATAAAATTCTGGTATATCAATCATCATACGACGTTTAATCATATCTTCACGCACAATCATTTCTAATATTGGATTTCGAAATTCAGCAATAGCGACGGGTAGAAATTCTGGATATGCAAAACGTAACTCGGATAATTCTTCCGGTATGATTGTTTTACCGAACGATTTTCGTGCCGATAAAACAATTGGATCATCGGATTTTACCGATTCAGGTAACGACGTTTTCAGCCATGGTTTAAATGCATTTTTACGAAATTGTCTGCATACAATCAATGATGGTATCGATGATGATGATGATGATGATAATGGATGTTTGGAACAAATTCGAAATAAATTACCAAAAAGTTGATTCGATGCCATGATGTGATTTGTTGAATGAGAATATTCAAATGAAAAGTTTGCCTCAACAATCACATGTGATGTTGTTGTTCGGTGCATGACCATTCATTAAATACGTTCCATCCGTGTGTTGAGCTTTGTCGTCATCATCTCGTGGTTGCATGATCTTTAATTTTGGAATCATTTTTTTCTTGAATCATAATGGCCACCAATTATCAATCACAAAAGAATCCATTGTACAAAAAAGTGGAAAAAATTCTCAACTCAGAAATTGATTCGGTAAGTAGTTGATCAGGATAATTTGATTTTTTTTAGTGTAAAAAATTTTCATTTTGATAGGATACATTGAATGCATTGAAAAATGTATCCGAATTAGTCAACGATAATACATTGATGACACGTCGAAATTTACGTGCAAAAATTGAAAAACAATCATTGGCAGTTAATGAACAATTTGCTCGGCAATTTAATGATGTTTATCAGAAATTTCAACAACTAAACGATTATATAACATTCATTGATTCATCGTGTCATATGATGATGGAGAAAATTGACGAATTAAGATATCAAACATCGGATTTCGTTCAACAAGCTAATCAAATTCAAACCGAACTTGGACAATTAGATGATAATGAAAAAATATTGAATGAATTTTTGGCCAAATTTTTCTTAACCAATGATGAATTGTCAATAATTACCGGTACCAGTGGTAATGATTTATATAAAATTGATGAAAATTTTTTCAAATTATTGAACAAAATACGATCCAATTATGAAAAGGCTAAAACATTGTTAGCTAGTAATCAACTGATAACTGGTTTTGAAATAATGGATTCAATGTCCAAATATGAAGAATTGGCAAACGAAAAATTATATCGTTGGACAGTGAATATATTGCGTACGGTAAATGTTGATTTTCTTGAATTCCAACATTCACATCTATTTGAGGCTTTGGCACAACTTCAAAATAAAGAAGTGTTATTTAAACATTGTATGGATGAATATACAATTGTACGACGATCAGCAGTCACCCATTCATTTATCGAAGCATTAACACGTGGTCGCTCTTCGAATAATACCCAATATCAAGCAATGGAATTATATTCTAATGATAAATTACGTTATTGTCGTGATATGTTATCATATTTACATCAAACAATTGTATTTGAAAGAGATATGCTACGTACATTATTGAAATTATGTAATCAAGAAGAATTAGCGAAGAAAAATGTTATTAAAAATGTCATATCATCATTAACTGAAGGTGTTATACGAATTTTAAAAATTCGCATTGAAAATTGTCTTGCCACGGCTAATAATAATAATGACCAACGTAATAATAATGAAACAACATTGCCATCGCAATCTCAACAACAGATACGATGTACGAAAAATTTTTTTCTCATCAAAAATATAATCAATTTTTATCTACATACATTTGAACAAATATTGAATGATGATTCGACATTCATTCATTTTATCAAAGAATTATTAGTATCAAGTGATAAAGTTTGTTATAATAATCTTAAATTTTATTGCTCACAATTATCAATGAAAATTGATTCGGTCAAGATATCGGTAACGAAAATTTCAATGATTAATTTTAAAGAACAATTACAACATTACATACAATTAATTGATGAATTATTGGATGGTGGTGCCAGTGGCGGTGTACCATGTTCATCAATGAGTTTCAGCGAAGAAGAACAACAATTAGAAACCGAACGTATTCTGTCCACAATATTTGAACCATGTATACAATCGATCATAATACTGGCAACAAAATTACCATCAATTGATATGAATATTTTTAATTTAAATTGTTATCAATGGTTACAACGAACAATTGAAAAGTATAAATTTACCAATTCATTTGTCGTCAATTTACAGATGAAAATTAATTCAACATCTGATATTATTATCAATGAACAATATCGTTATTTGATTAATTCATTATCAATCAATTCATTATGTAATGCAATCGCACAGAATGATTTTATCAAATCCAAAATACCATTATCATCATTATCTGGTTGTGATCCGATTACTGTGGTGACATTTTTGAATTTATTCGATAAATTCTTACAGAATCCACGACAACTTGCTATGAAACATTTGAATGACATTCATTATCCAACGATTCGTGAACAAATTTGGCAGAATTCATTGAAAGCAATTGCAATTACATATGAGCAAATCCATAATCATTTGATTGATTCCCAAAACAAATATGACGATATTATCGATCGAATCAAATATCGGCCAGAAGATGTGAGGAAACAATTGACAATTTTATCGGAATGATGAATTTCAGAATTTTAATTTGTTTTTTCTTTCGTTTCATATTTAATTTTTTGAATAAAAAACTTGGAATAAAATAACGATACAATCGATTATTTGACTATCGATATATATGTGTGTGCACACACTGTTTCACACATCACAAGCAAACACATTTTTTGATTTATTGAAATTTTGAAGATTTTTTTCTTCGAAATTGTGATGAAAAAAGCCAATTTTTCCCGAATAAACGAATAATTTGAAAAAATGATAACGGAAGCAGAAAATGTGGCCGATTATGTCCCATCATTCTATTATCTATTTACATTGTTGCCGATTTTTCTTGTGATAACAACACCGACAGTAGCCGGTTCTATTGTAACGGCAACTGGTATTGGATCATCATCGAATCTATTACAAAATCAATATATTATCTATCGTGTACATCAGATCGATATGCCTTATGGTCATTTTGGTTCACGTAGTTCAACATTCAATCTTGAAGCATTAACTCCGGATCAATTATTATCGGATATTTTCATACGTAAATGTGCATTATTCAAATGGAGAGATTTATTCCGGAAAAATTTTCACGATATTTTTATCAAAAAAATTCTACAAGAATCATTAGTTGCTGCAGTGTTGATTATATATGATGATGATATCATTAATATAAATAAACCATTGACAATGGATGAGCTAAATAAATGGCAAAATATTGAAAAACGATTAATGACAAATGAAACTTTATTGCCAATTTATTTTATTCAAGAAAATAATGATATCAACAGATTATATGAAGAATTAATGGAATCATCATCATCATCAGCTGAAAATAACAGCAATAAACAACGTGAATCATCATTAGGTTCAAAGACATCTGCGGCTGAAATGATTTTACAGAAAATATTTTTCGATAGCTATCAATTTGTTGTGAATGGACCACCGATTACAGTAATCAATAATCCGATTGTAACAAATTTTCAAACCAAATTAATTGGTGCCGGTATTGAAGATCAAATACCAACATATGTAATTGTTTCACATTATGATAGTTATTCAATAATCCCGGTATGATTACTGATTGATATTTTATTTTGATGATTGATTTACAAAATATTTTGCCTTTCCCGTTGTCCAGGCTCTAACGAATGGTGCCGATTCCAATGCTAGTGGTGTGATCATATTTCTAGAATTGATGAGATTATTTTCAAAACTTTATTCAAACATAAAAACTCGTCCGAAAGCAAATCTAGTGTTTTTATTGTCTGGTGGTGGTAAATTGAATTATTTTGGTACAAAAAATGGTTGGATGATAATTTTGATTCATCAAGATCATCAAATGGCGATTCATCATTAGATAATATACAATTTGCTTTCTGTCTGGAATCATTGGCCGATACAATGAATGAAAATAGTCTATTCATGTATGTATCGAAACCACCGAAATCTGGAACACAAGCATCATTCTGGAATAATCTACAAGAGATATCAAGTGATTATCCACAAATAAATACAACACTTATTCATAAGAAAATTAATCTAGCCGAAGATTATTTATACTGGGAACATGAACGTTTTAGTCTGAAACGAATATCTGCATTCACATTGACATCATTATCAACATCGAAGATTATTCAACGTCGAACAATGATTGATGCCATACAACAAAATGATGAACAACAACGATTAAATCATATTGAAAATTATATCAACATTATTGGCGAATCATTGGCCCGTCAATTATACGGTCCAATCAAAGAGAATCTTTTATCCGGTGAATATTCCGTATCACGACAATTTATTCAATCAATTTCGAAACAATTACATAATGTTCCACGTACACAGAATCTATTGTTTACAACACAAAAAGATGCACAAAATTATCAATTACCACCATTGTTGAAAACCATACAAATGATGATGAAAAAATATTCCGATGGTAATGTACGTACATTACATTATAAAGTTGATTCGAAAAATCCGGAATTTGTTTTCTATGAACCGGTCGAAACACGCTTATTCATTTACAAGTAAGTTGAAAATTCGAGTCAATTGAAATTTTTGTTTTAATTTTCCTGTTTTTTTTCATTTAGAACAAAACCAGCCATATTTGATCTGTTCATAACGATGATCGTCGCTATTTATCTGTTTGCCTTTTTTCTTGTCATCAAGGTTTGTCATTACACATTGAATACTTCAAATATAAATGACTTTTTTATTTTTCCTTCTAGTATTACAATCATTTAATTTCATTGACAAGGATTTTGACAATGGTAACAACAACATCGATGGCTAAAGAAAAGGCCCATTCATCGTGACTGAAATCAATTTTTCGTTGTGCAAATAAATAAATAAGCGAATTTATTCATAAACAATTCGTCACATTGTCATCATAATAGTCTGTTTGTTTGTATATGTAGCCAAGATGATATATATTGTATCATGTAGAATCTATATATAATAAAAAGAATTTTACAATCCTGACTTTACTTATTTTGTGTTTGTTTATTTCAAAAGCCAGCATGTGTAAATTTCAGTCAAAAAAATGATTTTTGACCCAAGTGCTGCCATCTAATGATAACAATAACAACTAAATTTCTGAGGTAGCGAAAGTGGCGGTTCCTAGCGGATTTTCATTGAACTAAAATTTTGCTAAAAAATGACAAAAATGCAATCTAGTTATTATTCTTGTCAGTAGATGGCAGCACATGGTCTAAAAAATATTTATATTTTTGTCAATTTTTGCAAAATTTTAGTTTAATAAAAATCCGCTAGAGTCCGCCACTTTCGCTACCTCAGAAATTTAGTTGTTATTGTTATCATTAGATGGCAGCACTTGTTCAAAACAATTCAACCCAACCTTCATGTCCACGATACTGATAATTTTTGAACTCAAGTATTAAATGAATCAAAAACTGTTTTCAAACGGAGAATTATAAATTCAATGATGATCAGTTCTTTATTTCGGATTCAATGAAAATAAACTATTGAGACACAAAGAAGATCGTCCAATCAAAAAACAAATTTTTTTGAAGAATTTCTATGATGATTATTTATTTCGATTCTTTTTCTTTTGTTTTTTACCACTACCATTACGACCAATACTAACCTCACAGCTATTGCCAACACGAACACATTGATCAAAATAATCGCTTAATGTTAGATCCAAATGGGCTACCCGTTGCTCACCATTTTCATAATCATTGTCATCATCATTATTGACATTGGCCATTTCGTTTTTCGATGATGATTTCTGTCGACATTTGGTTTCATTGAATTGTATCTTTTTACTACCACCAGTGGCCATCAACATATTGGCAAATGATGACTGAAATGATGATTGTTGCTGTGGTGGTGATGATGATGGTGGTGTTGTTGTTGTATCCGATGATGATGATGATGAACCATGATCACCTAATGTAAATGTTGTTGTATCATCATTTTCCAATGGTTGAAAATCAGCATCGGTCATCGAAAAATTGGGCAATGGATGAAGATTGAGATATTTTTTATTATTTTCAATTTCAATATTACGATCACGGATATTCTGTGCCTTTTCACGGCGTTTACGTTCTCGTTGTCGGTTCTTTATTTCCGTACGAAATTGTTCAATAGTTTCTGTTGATACAATATTTTCGTTATCATTGAATTCCAATTCAGCAATGATAAATTCACAAGACAATGGAAGATGTCGTAGATGAGCGAAACGTTTACGAATATCTTCCGTTATGGTTTGACGATGTAATTCAATTACTTTACCAGTGATGACCGGTGGACAGAATCGTAATTCTTGATATTGATGTTTCAACATTCGTACATTAATCGAATGCGGATAAATATGTTGACCATCAGCTGATTGATAGAAATAATGATAATCACCAGAAATGGTAGGTTTGTTCAATTCAAGCAATGTTAAATTCAATAATAATGATTCATCCTCTATCTGTGAATGATTTGCAGCATCCAAAATCGATTTACGCATAGCCAAATCTTCCAATGCATTTTCAACGAAACATATTTCGGGCATATTATCTGCTTGATATTCCAGCAATTCTTGTCGTAATTCATTCTGTTCACGTTCGATTAAACGGGATTTTTGTTCACGAGATGCAATGAATACTTTATGAAACAAATCCAAAGTTTGATTGAAATTTTTAACATTAATCGTATGTTCAGATTGTTCATCATTATAATCGATTGGTATAGCAAATGTTGATCCTTTACGTATTTTCATTAGATTAAATGTAATCAAATCGCCTGTCGAATAATTCTGTTTCGAAACAATAGTCACGCTTTTCAATTCATTTTTTTGAATCTGATGAAAACATATTGGACAAGGACGAGACTTTTTATCGCTCAACGAAAGATAATGAAGCATACATGACCAACAATAGATGTGACCACAACGTGTTATTTTGGCGGCGGTGGGATAATGTAAACAAATCGGACAATGAAGATCATCATTACTTTTACAGGTGAATAAAATCTCTTCAATCGATTCCCATGGAATCGATGCATCAGGATTATGAAAACATTCTGTTGAATAATTTGTTGAATGTTGTTGTTGTTGTTGATTATCAATTTTGCCATCAAATGAAATAACAAATTGACAATTTGCCTGTACAAATCGTTCTGGTACAAAACGTTCTTTACCATAATGATTGTAACTGTAGCGTTTCAATGGATTATAACCATTGTGGACGTTGGATAAATAATCCGGTGCCAATATTATTTTAGGTGTTTTATTCACCAAGTTGTTGTTGTTTTTGCCATTGTTACCATTTCGATATGACGATGACGTCGACAATGATGATGATTGTGAGAATTTATGTTCTCTATTACGAATTTTGTGATTGGAAAATCGTTGACTACGATTACCACCATGATTATTATTGTTATTGTTTTGATTAATCATTCGACCATTATGATTCGACGATGACTGTCGAAACGATAATGATGATGATGATGACGAGCAGCCAGATCCTCCCATTTGCTCATTATTACACGATAAATTGGATAATTTTGCAAGTCGATCCATTTGTTTCTTTTATTAATAGCTGCTATCGATTGATTGATCGTTACTTTTTTTTGTTCACCTTTTTCTTCTGCTTCGATAATAGTAATTGTTGATGAAGATTGTTGACGGCTACAAAGCCATTGATAACAATAATCGTTTTTGAATATCACAAACATCCTGATCCGATGGTTTAGAATTGTTCGCTTGCCATGATTGAAACAAAAAAATAAATTAATCACAATTATACTTGTAAATATATGCAAATAAGAGTGAAAAAAGAAATGACAACAAAAAGAATGATTCAAAGAAAAAGTGTATTAAAATTTAAAGTAACTTTCGAGTGATCAGACAACGAAGTTACTTCAAAAAAAATCAAAAAACAGACGACAATAATTGGAAAACAAATAAAAATTCTGTCTGTGTGTTTGTGTAATGAATATTTTGTCCAAACAATTTGTTTTTTTTGGACAAAATAATTTAATTGTTGGAGAAAACAAATAATTTAATAACAAATCCAAAATCGCGAGCAACACACTGTCCAATACGATGTTTGGACCCAAAAATAATGATGAGATGAGCAGCACCAAACAACAACAACGAAATCAATGACGCCTTTTAAAGAGAAAAAAATCAAATGCCCAATTCATACGATGCAAGTTATTCAAAAATCATTTGGAATTTCAGACGATCAACAAAAAAAAATATAATTATTCGACAGCCACAGAAACCTGTATCCATCCATTTATATTTCATCTTCCTATGTGTTTTCTATTCACATAGATGTTTGACCTCAATTTTTTTCGAAACTATTCATTAGATACAGGATTTCAATATTCAATTCACATGATCATCCTTTGTGTTTGTGTGTAAAAACCGATGAATGTTTGGAATATCGTGGCTTAATTTTGTTGTTGTTGTTATTGTTGTTGTCCCCTTCTTCTCATACCCATTTTCAATGGAAAACAAAATTTTGTTGTCTAATTTTCTTTTCTACTTTTTTCAAAAACTTTTTAGAATCTACGTAAAGGTTTTGGTGGCAAACGTTCGAATACAAATAACTAACAAAGTACCGTAACACACACCCATTCCTATGTTTGTTTGTTATAATATTTTTTATCTATTAAATGATTGATTAAAGAATTTTTATCATTTTTTTTCTCACCTCTCATTCCTTCTTTATCTTTTTCTCTGTTTGAAGAAAAATATACCAATTCAAAACAAATTATGATGAATGAAACAAATTTATTCACGGTCAAAGAATAATCAATCATGAATTTGGTTTTTGTTTGCAAATATGTATCATGTGTATGAATGTTTGATGTAAAACTATACAAGCGAAAAAATGTAATAATAAACAATCATATGAGAATATGAGAATGATATACAATCAGAGAGGTACTATCATTAAATGTTCATGTCATGGATGAGAAATGTTTCGATATATTTCGATTATATTGGTTATATATGAAAAAAAAAAAAATTTCAATTCAATCCGATCACTTCTTTGTTCCACCAGCGGCTGCTTTTTTCGTTGTCGACGGTTTTTTAGCTGCTGCTGCTTTTTTTGATGGCGATTTTGCTGGTTTAGCTTTTTTAGCCGGAGCCGATGTTGTTGATTTAACCATTGGTTTTTTCGGTGATTTTGGTGCTTTACGTTTCTTTTCAATCTTGGCTTTCTTTTCCTGTCCTTCTTTTGCCGGTGATTTAGCTGGTTTCGATGGTTTTACCTTTTTGGTTCCAGCAACAGTGGTAGCAGTAGCCGTAACGGCAGCCGATTTAGGTTTCGATGATGGTTTAGCTTTTTTCACGCCAGCAGGTTTTTCTTTTTTCACCGTTTTGGCTGCTTTGACAGTTTTCGGTTTTTTGGCTTTAGCTTCTTTCTTTTCACCTTTGTTCAATTTGAATGAACCAGAAGCACCTTTGCCTTTCGATTGGATCAACAAGCCTTTTGCAACGGCACTTTTCAAATGTTTTCGAATGAACGGTGACATGCGTTCGATATCAACACTATAATTGGATTGGATGTATTTCTTGATGGCTTGCAATGATGAACCATTACGTTCTTTCAACGCTACAATAGCTGCTTTGACCATTTGAGCCACTGGTGGATGAGTTGCGGCCGTTTTTGGCTTTGCAGATTTTTTAGCTCCAGAAGCTTTTTTCGGTTTAGTTTGTTGTTGTGCTTGAGCAGCGGCAGCTGCAGCAGCGGATGCGACAGTTTCGGCCATTGTTGTTGTTTCAAAGAGAATCAAAATGTATTTAATTGAACAAGGAATAAATCGTTACGATATAACGAGCGTGACAATAATTGTTTACGAAACGAAAAATCTGCACGAACGATAGTTGCAGTTTGAACGAATGACGAATAGCAAGTAGTAGCGCGACGACGACGAGCGACGATATATATACCTAACTGACTGAATTACGAGCGAACTCACAACAAAATCACTGTGGCAAAATAAACCATTGTGGCCATAATTGTGTTTTGTTCATTCAGTTTTTGATCCGTTTTACTATCGAATCCTTGATTGATTCTGACAAATTTGACATCATTGAATTCAGTAATGAATATGCTTTCTAATGACGTGAAAATTTTTCAGAACAATTATTGATAACAGCGTCAAAAATCCAGTCAAAGTTGATGAAAAAGTTTGTCGCGTCAAATACGGTTTGTTCATCGCGATTAATGTGGAATTTTATCCAGGAAATCATTAATGTATCCAAATGATTTTCGTATCAATCGAAAGCCTAGTTATTGTAGTTTACGATCACGGAAAAAAATTTCGGATTCACAGCCAAGAATTGACGCAAATTGACTAAAACGTCCACAACGTAAACACTCTGATAGACATAATGTATTCTTGAAATCAATGGCCAATACTTTAATGAATTGAGCATTAATTGCAATGAATTTAGTATTAAAATTTTTCTCATGAAATTTTCTTTCCAATGATGCTAAATTTACCCACCGGAAGTTATTGGAAGTTGTAAAAAATCGATCCCATCAATTGATTCATTATGGTCTTTTAGTAAAAATAAATTGTCAGACGGGCAAAAAAAGAGAAGAGAAAGAGAAACAAAGTCGAGGAGCATGCTCAATAGAGGATTCGAACAATAACATTCCGTCTTGTGTCAGTGTTTTTTTCTTCTTTTTTTGTTTTGTTTTTTAATTACAATTTTATTCGCCTTAACAAAAAATAAACAACAAACAACCAATCCGCAGTTCCAGTAAAGAACGCTCTCTCAGAAACCGCAAACATCGACAGACCAAATGCTAAATCTAGTCAGATATTCCCCAAATCTGTCATGACCAAACAAAAATTGACTCAAAATGAAATCCATCTTGATTCCAATTAAATCGAACAATATTCTTCACAATTGATTTGAGCCATTTCATTACCATAAACACCAGAATGTGCTCGAACCCAATTTAAACAGAAATGTTTAGAATTAGATTGACGAATCCTGTGCACCAAACTAGAACAATTTGATCAGTGTCCGGCTCAATGACAACACGGCACGGCCATTCAACTTGGAACCATCAGTAAAAATATGATAATGATAATATCCAATTGAAATCTACAATCATTAAGCCATGTAACAGGTAGAGAATGATTTATACGATAAATATTCGTTAAATATTCAATACGAAGATCAATTGGTAGTTCATAAAACATCAAAATTCAAACCCCATTTTGAACCAAAACATCTCTTCACCATATTATAAATGGATAACGATTTCGATTTGATATATAAAAGATTCCATGATTCCATAATAATAAGGTACCTCAAATGATCAACAAAAATTAAATCATAATTTCAGAATGAATTTTCTTCTTCTGGTTACCAACATTTTATTTGGATTGAAACAACTTTCATATTCTTGACAAGACTCAAATATAAACGGAATCGTTTCATAAAGTATAGTGCGAACATGTTTAAATCTGGATAATCCATGTCTAAAGTCAACGAAAAATTTGATTGATACGTGTAGTTCTTGTTTTTTTTAATTTCAAAGTTCTGACAATTCAGAAAGACAAAACAATTGTAGAATCCTGACATTCGTGCATTTTCTACCGCCATTTTTTGATAAAATTTCATCCTCTTGTGGATTTAAAACGAGCGCGCAACGTTTTGACATGCGCCAAGTTCAACCACAAGACTGAGTTTGTTCGAGCTCTACTCTACGAGTATATAAATCCAAGCATTGGCAATCCAATCTTCATTTGCTATCTCTTTTTTTTCGTGGTTACTTCAATTTTTTTTGTCAAATTCTCGAAAATCATGTCTGGCCGTGGTAAAGGTGGTAAAGGTCTCGGAAAAGGTGGCGCTAAACGTCATCGTAAAGTTCTCCGTGATAACATCCAAGGTATCACCAAACCAGCTATCCGTCGTTTGGCTCGTCGTGGTGGTGTAAAACGTATTTCCGGCTTGATCTACGAAGAAACTCGTGGAGTATTGAAAGTATTCCTGGAAAATGTTATCCGCGATGCCGTTACATACACTGAACATGCAAAACGTAAGACAGTCACCGCCATGGATGTCGTTTATGCTTTGAAACGTCAAGGACGTACTTTGTATGGTTTTGGTGGTTAATTCCGTTTTACATCATTTTACCCCATCCCATTCATTCCATACTCATCTATATCGATTAAAAACGGTCCTTTTTAGGGCCACAATTGTAATTTAGATTAAGAGCTATTTATTTTGTTTTTAAATAAAATGAGATTCTGATCTTTATTTCTTTTGGTTATACTTTTTCTATTTCAACCTTTTTCGGTTATACTATTACAAATAACAAACTTGATCAAGTATCACAAAATTAAACCAAAACATAACCCTGATCTACAACACATATTCTAGTGATGATAAATAAATCAAAGTGTTTCAAATGATAAAATTATTTACGAAATGAAAATTTTATTATACAAAAAAATGCTCGAATTCGGTAAATGAAATGTGGTCCTTAAAAGGACCGTTTTATATGATGAAAATGAAATTAAATGTAAATGAAATTAAGCAGTTTTTTCAGTTTTCTTTGGCAACAACACGGCTTGAATGTTGGGCAACACACCACCTTGGGCAATGGTCACACCACTCAACAATTTGTTCAATTCCTCATCGTTACGGATGGCCAATTGAAGGTGACGAGGAATGATACGGGTTTTCTTGTTATCACGGGCTGCATTACCGGCCAATTCCAGAACTTCTGCGGCCAAATATTCAAGAACGGCAGCAAGATAGACTGGAGCACCAGCGCCAACACGTTCAGCGTAATTGCCTTTACGCAACAAACGATGGATACGACCAACCGGAAATTGAAGACCAGCTCGGGATGAACGAGACTTGGCTTTGGTCTTGACTTTACCGCCTTTACCACGTCCAGACATTGTAAATTCGATTTGATTTGAAGTGAATGAGCAAATGAATAGCGAAACAAAAAAAAATTTCGAATGTTAGAAATGTATTGCAATGATTTGGCTTAAATACTCCGTGTTTCACTCGAAAAGTGGTGTACGTAGCAAAAACGCGCCAAATTTTTTAGCTCCTCCTTTCTTGAAATGTGATTGGCTCGTGCTCCGTACACCACTTAGAATCGTATATAAGTCGAACATGGACGGCAAAAATCATTATTCTGTTTGTTTGGTTATTTCGATCAACAACTTGAATTTCCACAACAAATTTGCAACAATGGCCCCACCAAGCACTGGTAAAGCTGTCAAAAAATCTGGTAAAGCACAGAAATCTGTTCGTGCTACGGACAAGAAGAAGAAACATCGTCGTCGTAAAGAATCTTTCTCGATCTACATCTATAAGGTGTTGAAGCAAGTCCACCCGGACACTGGTATTTCATCGAAAGCCATGTCAATCATGAACTCGTTTGTGAACGACATCTTCGAACGAATTGCTGCTGAATCATCGCGTTTGTCACATTACAACAAACGAACAACCATCACCTCAAGAGAAGTCCAAACTGCTGTCCGACTTTTGTTACCTGGTGAATTGGCCAAGCATGCCGTATCCGAAGGAACCAAAGCCGTCACCAAATACACATCCAGCAAATAATCATTTCATTCATCATATAAAACGGTCCTTTTCAGGACCACAATTTAATTACGAATCAGAGCATTTTTTCTAGTAAACTTTTCTAATAAAAAAAATTTTTTTCGATTCAAACTTACCGATTTCAAATATTCATACAGCTGTGTTATTACTAAAACACATGAGTGTCTCTAAGGTTTCATGTACCATTTTTCAATTTGAGTCTTTTTTGAAGCTATCGAGTCAGCAGTATAATGATGAAAGACATGTATTTTTCAAACTATCAATTTTTGTTTGATGATATCGAAATTAGATGTTGCACGATAAAATATAAATCAATAATCCATGCAATTGTATTCAATCAATTTTTTTTAATGTTTTGTAAACAAACATTCGATTTGATGAGCATTAAAAAAATAGTTCCCGCCCACTGGTTTTCCCTCCAAACTTGAATTTCGCGCTCTTTTCATGCTCCTCCTTCGAGTATTGTCTTGTTCTGATGGTCGAGTATAAAAAAGCGATTCACACCAAGTCTCGTTACTCATTTGTTATTGGCACTCGAAAAGATTGTATTTTCAAGTCGAAAACAAAATAATTTGAAATGGCTCGTACCAAACAAACAGCCCGTAAGTCAACTGGTGGTAAAGCACCAAGAAAACAATTGGCAACCAAAGCTGCTCGTAAATCGGCTCCAGCTACCGGAGGTGTGAAAAAACCCCATCGTTATCGCCCAGGTACTGTTGCTCTTCGAGAAATTCGTCGATACCAAAAATCGACCGAATTGCTCATCCGTAAATTGCCATTCCAACGATTAGTCCGTGAAATTGCTCAAGATTTCAAGACTGATCTTCGATTCCAATCATCGGCTGTGATGGCATTGCAAGAAGCTTCGGAAGCCTATCTCGTTGGTTTATTCGAAGATACTAACTTGTGTGCTATTCATGCAAAACGTGTTACCATTATGCCGAAAGATATCCAGCTAGCTCGCCGAATTCGTGGAGAACGTGCTTAAATTCATCAATTTTCATTCTAATCTAATCCATCATTCATATACAAACGGTCCTTTTTAGGACCACATTTTGATCCAATTGAGATTCGAGCATTTTTTAATCTTTGTTATTTGTCATTTGAATAAAATCATTCCGATTTCTCGAGTTTATTTCAATGCATTAAAGGACGACTGTTACAGAAAACGTGAATGACTCTGAAAAGACGTTTGTTAAAAATAAAAGCTTTATTTAATTTAATGGTGAAGAACAAATAGTAATAGATTAAAGCAAATTAGTTGAGAGATGTGTTGAAGAATAATTATGGAACGTTATGTGTTGACAAATTGAATCCAGTGGACGATGTGTAAAGACGACTTCGATTAATTACGTGCAACGTAAAGACAAAAACCAGAACACTCGGAATAATGATGAAAATCTGAAAAACAAGAAGATCGGTACATGAATGTAAGAAACTTGAGGAAAACACAGAACACAAACTAAAGCATGATACTCACTAAGAGATTTTTCAACGCAGCATCGTGTCTTTTTTTATATGTTAGGGTTTTTTTTGTTTCTTCGTTGTTGATGATTAACGATCAATGATTGATGATTGACGATCAGCTGGGAATCCTTTCATATAATCCGTTACACGACAAACGAAACATGATTCCATTGCTTTTGCTTTATTGAAAGAAAAAAAAATCGTTTTTTTTTGTCATACCAGACCAGGCCAGATTTTATTTTGTTTTGGTAGTAGTTTTTTTGATAAAAATCAAATATTCCTTTTGAGTATTACAAAAAAACCACCTTTGCAATCACCATGCAGTTTTCGCGCAAAAAATCGACACCGTTTTGACATGCGCAACGGCAAGACTGAGTTCACTCGAGCTTTACTCTACGAGTATATAAATTCCAAAATTGGCAATCCAATCTTCACTCGCAATCTCTTGCCTTTTGTGGTTACTTCAATTTTTTTGACAAATTCTCGTAAATAATGTCTGGCCGTGGTAAAGGTGGTAAAGGTCTCGGAAAAGGTGGCGCCAAACGTCATCGTAAAGTTCTCCGTGATAACATCCAAGGTATCACCAAACCAGCTATCCGTCGTTTGGCTCGTCGTGGTGGTGTAAAACGTATTTCCGGCTTGATCTACGAAGAAACTCGTGGCGTATTGAAAGTATTTCTGGAAAATGTTATCCGCGATGCTGTTACATATACTGAACACGCTAAACGTAAAACGGTAACCGCTATGGATGTTGTATATGCACTCAAACGACAAGGCCGTACATTATATGGTTTTGGTGGTTAATCATCCCAATCAATCGATCGATCGATGCCAAATATGAAATAATCTACATCATAGACAACATGTAAACATTTTTTCATTTTCTATTTGTTTTAGCAATTATGGAAACAAACAAATTGACCAAATTGATTAATATTAATTAATAATTCATTACTTTGTAAATAAAATTGATTTTGAGTTAAGACTGCTCCAACAAATTTGAAAAAAGTTATTTCAGTCAATCAATGATGTTCAAATGTGCAACTTTTACTTCATGTGATGCGTCTGTTTATGATTTATTAATTAAATGAAATGAAATGAATTTTACAAATTGCAATTGAAACAAGAAATTCTGATTTACAAAATTTTGTATAAGTCACATGTCTGTCTGTGATTGTTGTCATTATAATGATGAGATTATGTATGAATTCTAAGCAGTTTTTTCCGTTTTCTTCGGCAACAATACAGCCTGAATGTTTGGTAGTACACCACCTTGTGCGATAGTAACACCGCTCAATAGTTTATTCAATTCTTCATCGTTACGAATGGCCAATTGTAAATGACGTGGAATGATACGTGTCTTTTTATTATCTCTTGCAGCATTGCCGGCCAATTCTAATACTTCGGCAGCTAAATATTCCAATACAGCTGCGAGATAAACTGGTGCACCGGCACCAACACGTTCAGCATAATTACCTAATTTGGTTACAAACAAATGATTCAAATTCATTTCATCATCATCATCATATCGCATATTCATACCTTTACGAAGTAAACGATGTATTCGACCAACGGGAAATTGCAGGCCAGCACGCGATGAACGTGATTTAGCTTTCGATTTGACTTTACCACCTTTTCCGCGACCAGACATGATGATGGTGATTAAAATAACTTCAGAGATCAATACAAATCAACCAGAGATGCTTATGCTTAAATGACTTTAAAAAATTGTCTTCGTCGTCGTCGTCGTTGTTGTTGTTTTCTGGGTTTTTATTTTTCTTTTGCTCAATGCTGATCAATAAACAACAACAAAAATTTTTCTTATGATCGTGAGTCGTTTCTACAACCACATCATTCTCAAATGCTACTAGCTGTATCGCCTTCAGGTTTCGCTTTTGCTTCTACAATTGATGGGATTAAAATTGGTGCATTTTGATTGGCTCGTGCTGCGTACACCATTTTGTCGATTATATAAAATGGAAATGATTGCGATTTTTTTGAAAATTTTTTTTTTGTTCGAAATACTCGACCTGTTGTATTTGTGTTTGTTCTCTGAGCGTTTTTTCTTCATTTTTTGTCTTTCACTCAACAAATATAATTGTTATTTGATCAATTTATAATATCGTTCATATCATATATGGCGCCAACACCAACAACCAGTAAGATTGAAAAGAAAAGTGCTGGAAAAGCACAGAAATCTGTTCGTGTATCGGATAAAAAGAAGAAACATCGTCGCCGTAAAGAATCATTTTCGATTTACATCTATAAAGTAATGAAACAAGTACATCCGGATACAGGAATATCATCGAAGGCAATGTCCATAATGAATTCATTTGTCAACGACATATTTGAACGTATTGCAGCCGAAGCATCGAGATTAGCACAAAACAATAAACGAACAACAATTACTTCAAGAGAGATACAAACTAGTGTACGATTATTGTTACCGGGAGAATTGGCCAAACATGCAGTATCGGAAGGCACAAAATCTGTTACCAAATATACATCGAGCAAATGAGTAAAAAGACAAGATAAAAAAACACATCATCATCTCATCTGTAGATCAGTGTAAAATTAATTCATATTCTCACACATTTTCATCTCTAATAAATGAAAATGAAAAAAATGTGCAATTTTTAAACTATGTCATCAATTGAATTGGAAAGCTGTGTAATAATAATTTTTTTATAAAAAATAAAAAATTTAGTGTAAAATAATACATTCATAATAACAATGAAATATAGCATTTAACATTTACTCGATTGTTGCAAGTTGCCAATGATAGATGTCGTTACGGTGCACATTAGACTTTCGTTTTGCTAAAGAAAAATAACAAACCGTTTCGCCTTTATATCTATCTCTTTATTATCTGATTAATGTTTATGTCTATTTCTAAAAAAATTAAAAATTATTGATGATTGATATCAATAATTATTATTATATTTTTTTTATTTCAATAAAAGTATCTGTGCAGTGTATATAAATAAATTCAAGAGAAAAAAATTCAGATAAATGCAAAAAAAAAATCGAAATAAAATTTTTGCTTATTTGACACAATTTTTTTGATTTTGCTGTGTATTTCAACAGATTATGAATATTATCGTGTGCATGTGTGTGTGTGTATGAAATGCATGTAAGATGCAAATGTGAAAAAAAAAATAAAACATCACAACAAAACAAAACCAATCACCACCACTGATCAACAATTGGATTTTTTTTTCTTTTCATAAATAAATTGTTGTGATGATGATAACCAGACACACACACACACGATGAATAACGGATGATCATAAATATAAATGTAATAAACGGGTGTATATGTATAGAAAAAAAATAAATTATAAATATATCTACAAATCATCAATCAATTTTAAGGCAATATTTTTCAAGCACAAATTTTTTATGCATATGATATGCTTCCAGACGTGTTTTGCCATATTCCTATTGCAATGGAATTTGGGTGAAAAAAAAAATTAATTTTAATCAAATCAAAACGAGTGAGTGAACAAACAAAACTCACCATATAACCAAATGATATTTTCGATGTACGTGCATTAGTAATACCCCATAATGTCCATAATAAATGTGTTGCTAATGCATAGAAATCAACCTCTTTAATCAGATGTTCTTCATTATCCAATAATGGTATTGGTGTACTAAGCTCCGAACATTGTTTAAGATATTCACGAATAAAATGTCGTTTCTCATCATCATTTGGAAAACGATCCATATATGCAAAATAATGTGGCCATTCACTATTGGAATAATCAAACATACGTTCCACAAAATGATTTGCTAAATCAAAACCACGATAATTATATGAACAGAATTCAAAATCAATAAATACAATATGATCATCGAAATCGGAACGTCGTTGTTTTTGTTGTTTGCCATTGCCATTCAATCTTTGTCCATTATCATTATCGTCATTATCATTGACATTATCACCATCACTTTTGGTTGTCGTTGCCGTCGCCGTTGTTGTTGTTGTTATTGTCGATTCCGATACATTATTATTGAGCAATTTAGACAAATGCATATCATCTGATGGTAATAAAATATTACCTTCTTGAAGATCATTATGACAAAATACAACTGGTGATTCACATTGATCCAATATACGAAATAATATTTTAATCTCATTTTCAAAATCAAACCGTATTAATTCCTGTTCAATCTTTGATATTTCTGATGAAGATGATGATGATGATGTTGTTGTTGTTGATATTTCCTTTTCTAGTTTTCTTGTCTGTTTCAACCATAAATCAAACAATTCCGATAACCATGTTGGTTCTTTATTGATCGGTACATTTAAATGATGTACAATTGCCAATTTTCTTGCTATAATCGCTGAATACAATGGATCGGAAAGTTCATTACAAACCATTGCTCGTGCCTTTTTCAATTTCATTTCATTTTTTTTTATATTTAGATTTTTGTTTTTGAGAAAAAATACACACATAAAAAGATAGATTTATAACACATTTTTGTGTGTGTGTGTGTAAAATGAGAAAAAAGAACGGATTAAAAAAGATCACATTAAATAACAAACAAAAAACAAATCAAACAATTTGGGCAGACAAAAATCAAACGAACGGGGTTGGTGTTGTGGTTGTGTGTGTTTTTACGCACATTTCAAAACAACAAACGAATAAACGAACGAACGAACAAACAAACGAAGCAAAGTGGAAAAAAAAATCAATCATGGAACATATCAATATCTCACATTTTTTTTTCATTAATGGTCAAAAAAAATTGATGGCCAATATTTTAGAGTGAGCAACAAATGAGCAATTTTGGAATTTTCTTTTTTTTCCCGACAATTTTTTGTTTCACAAACATGTACACAAATAGACATATAGTCAAATTAAAGTGTTCATTTATAATGATTACTTACAGGAATATATTCTTCAAGACGGCCACCTGGAAATATTCCATATAGTTTTGGTCCAAGTTTACGTTCTGATAATAACATTGTTATAACTGAATCGGTAATTTTTGTATCATATCTATCCAATAATTGGCCATACATTCGTAACAATACTTGACTTGGTTCACCAGTCACCGGTGTATGTGTTGCCGGTAATGAACAATAATATAATAGATTACTTAAACCGCCACTATGTGTGTGTGTGTGAACAAAAATTGACATTATGGTATGACAACAAATATTAAGTAAGTAACAAACCTAACGGTTTTAAAGATCATATCATCACTTGATATTTTGTTCCATTCACCACTAAGATATTTTCGACATATTTCATATGCACGATCACGCATCTGTGTTGAACTTTCACTTGTTGGCTCACTATTATTATTATTATTGTCGTTTGTTTCATTTATCGTATTCCGTGATGATGAGGAATTAGAACAGGAATTGAATTGTTCCACCAACATGATGTTGAAAGCAAAAACCAAAAAAAAAAAAAAAAAAAAATTAAATCAATTAATCAAAACAACAAAAAAAGCAAAACAATTCAAATTGAATGGTAAAAAGTTTTTTTTATATACCCGAAGCGAGCGGAACTTTGTACACTTTGATAAATTCTAATCAATTAATTTTTTTTTGGATTAAATGATGCAAATAAACAAAAAATACAAACGCGCATACAAACACGATTGTGTACGATATACGACACACGTTCAAATTATTTGATTTCCATCATCCTCATCATCATTATTGATAATCAATCAATCGATCATAAGATCACAAGTATTTTTTTTTTGTTAATTTTGTGGGTGTGTGGGAAATCAAGTATCATTTTTTTTTCTTGTTTGTGTTGTGAATTTGAATGTGTTTTGTAAATACAAAAAAGAGAGACATTCATTAGAATTGATTGATGCGTTTCATATTTTGAAATATAACAAAACAAAACAAAAACAAAAACAAAAAAAAACATTTGAATTTCTATCTGGCACTAGATGGCAATCACAAATTGTCATGTTGTTTAGTAAATGGAAAAATTTTTCATCAAATTAAAAATGAAAAAAAAAAAAAAAGAAGAAATAGACAAACCTTTTGGCCAAAATCATACTTAGATAATTTTGATCCATTTTCAATTTTTTTTGGTTCACAGTAATTTAACAGAGAAAAAAAAACAAGAAATCAATCACAAATGATCACAAGGACAAATTGTAAAATGGAGATAATTTGATTGCTGTTGTCAAGATGATTTATATTTATATAAAAGTGAATGAATGAAAAACAAAAATTCCATCAACCGATTTGTGGATGATTATGATTCAAATGTTTTTATGATTTGGAAAACAGAAACAGAAACAAAATAATAAAATGTCAAAGTTGTGTGTGTGTTTGTGTGCGTGTATGCGGTGTTCCAGTTAATATAAAACAACAAAAACGCACAATTTTTTTTAACCATAACAACAACAAACCAACATACATCACAATGGCACATGTCCCTAATAAAGAAAAAACAATATCCATAAGATATACCTCTGTATAAAAAAAAACACACGCACTCACATCATCATATCATCATCCATTGGTATTCAAAAGACCAACCAACCAACCAGCCACCAACATCATCATTTATCAGGTCGATATATAGTGCGCACGTGCATTATCATCATCATACGATTTTGTTTTACAGCATTTGGTTTTTGTAGTAATCAAATTATTATCATTTCGATTTTAATTTCAATTATCGATTGGTGTCTAGGGATGGATTTTATGGTTTCACCGGAAAAAAATTTTCCAAATATTAAAAAAAGATCGAGCCATAATTTTGATTGACAACATTGACGATGATGATGATGATGATTATTCTGATATCGACATATTAATAACCACCAGCCAACAAAAAAAAACAATGAACCAAGTGATTTGACATTTGAGATAAAATCATATTTCTTGGATGATAATGATGACAAAGCATAATATGGTATGAATCATGATGGTGGATTTTTTTTCAACTCGTTTTTTTGAACTTGATTTATTCGGAAAAAAATCAATCAATGATTTGAACAAAACATGATTTCATGTTGTGAATGATTTTGATAAAGAGTCTGTGGTGTCTGTTTGTATGTGTGTATGTGTTTTATGGATTGACAATTGATACAAAAATAAAAAGGATTTTTTTGTTTGAATATCACAGCTTTTTTTTCTTGATCATTTTTGCTCATACATGTTTGTTTTCACATCACACTGATGATGATGATCAAAAAACAAAATCGAATCGAATCGTATTTGAAAAAAAGGATTTTGATAATTTTAGTTCAAACATAATCAATTGACTTACCGTTTATGATCATCATTTTTCTTGAAATGATGATGATGATGATTTTTCTTTTCATTCCTTCGGATGGCAACCACATTACCATTATCATTGATTTCAATATTGGAATTTGAATCCGATCCGGATTTCGATGATGATGATAATATAACAGCTTTACACCATTTACGGGCTTTATTTAAAGCTAGAATAGAATAGTGATGAGAATGATTCAAATCTTTAAAAAATAGTTCCGATACAAACTTTTCACATTTGTCAACGATGATGATGATGGTCGCCTGTTTAACAATAACATGGTCATTTTTATTTCGAATAAAGATATCGTCTTTCTTTTCAGCAAATGAATCAATTTCCAATCAAAAAAAAAATTTGGCTTACGTGATTACCACAATGTTTATTTGATTACGTTTCGTTTTTTCTTTTCAATCTGATGATGATTCGAATGAAATCAATTTTCACTAAATGCAGTGTATGCAATTGAAGTTTTTTTTTGTTGTTGAGTTCGTTGGCAGATTTTTTTTTCTCTGTCGATAACAACGGTGGTGGTGGTGGTGGTGGAACAAGTTTGAACAAGACACTTGACATGATATGGCAGCAGCAAAAACAGCCAACGTTGGAAAAAAAAAAAAAATCTATGTCGATCATATTTAGCGCTTGCGCAATTATCAATGATTCTCCTCCCACAATTTGTTACAATTATTCGTATCATTGTCAATGTAAAACGAAATTCTACAAGAATAATTTTCCAAAAAAATTGGGGAGAAAAATTTTTTTTAATTTCAAAATTTTAAAGTCATGGCATTCGAATGTTCGAAACGTTTGATGAGGTCACCAATGATGAATGAGAATGTAAATTCGAAAATTTAAAAATTCGTCGACAAAATCAAATTCAATATTTATTCATTATTTTGAAGAGAAAAAGTTTTAAAATTAGTTTAATCATTGTGTAAACTTAAAACTATATATATGAATATAAATGTGTCAATTACGAATGTTCAAGTTTTTTTTTCCAATTCAAATAATTCTTTTGTTAATGGACCAATATATTGTGGATCGAATTTCATCAGAATCATTTCCATTAATTCTTCATTAAAATAACTTATCTCTTCCAAACGACTAAGAAGATTTATATAGATTGATCTTGCTTCACAAATAGATTGATATTTAACCTCTAGATATCGTTGTAATAGATGACAATAGGTATAATATTCAAGGCTAAAGGATAAACAAAAAAAATGATGAGAAAATTTAATGAAACAAAAAAATAATTAAATCATACGTTATATATTCACGATGCAAAAGACCATTACGATTTGGAAAGAATACCAAAATTATGATGAGCTAAATAATTTGTGAAACATTTGATTTAGTGATTTTCAATGAATGAAAAAAATATTACTTACCAGATTGACAATCATATCATCATTTTTCCAATCATCACGAAATGATTGACAAAAACTTCTACATTTTTCATATTGCAGATCACCATGTAATTGACGAAGATAATCTTGTTCAAATATGAGAATGGTTCCGTTCTTGTTGAAAAAAAAGAAACATTCAGAAAAATTAATCAATCTACTATAGTCAAAATTAAAACTTTTACCTTACTATAAGGAATAGCGACAGTATCCTGTTCTGGATTATAACAACGTATCATATTCAATAGGCAACGACTTTTGCTTACTGAATTTTTCAATAAAATTTCTTGATCTTCAAGACAAAGATTTTTAAATGCACGAACATTCTTAATATGTAAAATCAGCTGTTTGATTGCAAACTCTAGACATTGAAATCCTTCTTCCATATTGTTGACAATTTTACGTTCACTATTTAATGAACGTTGATTCATTTCATTTAATGATGCAAAAATTTGTTTCAATTCTTCTAGACGACCAAGTTCCATTTTATCAAGTCTTTTTGGATTTTGATCATAGATACCATCGAAAATTTGTTCCATACGTAAAACATCTGCGTAAACTTTTGTTGAAACATTCCATTTATTATATTTGATTTGATTTTTAATTACATTTTCTGGTAACATTGAATTATTTTCGTTTTCATTATCATATGATGGCAATGTTGTCGCTGTCGTCGTTGTTGTCATCTGTTGTGATGATTGTTGTCGATGATGATAATTATTATGTATACAAGTATCAATATTTCTTACTAAACTTTCTGATGGTAACCATTGAAAATCCATAAACGTTGTTGAATCATCATTTATCGTTAGATTGTCAAATTTTGTTGATGATTGTTGTTGTTCTTGCTGTTGTTGCGGTTGCGGTTGTTGTTGTTGTTGTTGTTGACAATCGAAAATATTTCCCGAAAATAATGGTGATGGCGATTCGGTAAATGTATCGGATGTTTTATTTTTGATTAAATCATTTTCATTTAAAAAAATTATGTTATTATGATCTTTTGATTGATTTCCATCACTATCACCATTATTCATTGTTGAATTTGATGATGATGTGGATAAATCTAATCGTTCATTAATATATTCCATTAAACGTTTTTGATCAATCGATTTTATTAAATCATCATTTGTTGTTGTTTGTTGTTCTGGATGTTGTTCTTGTTTATTATTCATATTATTGATCCACATTGTGGATGATGATGTCAATATAGGCATTATAATGATGTTATTCTTGCCTTGATTTATTTTGTTTCGATTCTGATTCTGATTATTATTATTATTATCCAGCACGGTACTACAATTCATATTATTATTTGAATTTATTGTATTCGATTGATCATTGATCATTGATGACTGAATGATTGGTCGTTGTTGTTGTTGCAAATTATGTGCTGTTGAACTATCTGCATCAACCATTTCAATATGACGATGTTTACGACGTTTTAATTGTTTTTCTTCATCAGTCAATATCCATTCTTTAAGCATACCAATCGCAAAACATTTATCTAATCGACATTTTCGACAATATTTTCTTGTTTTTGGATCCAATTGACAATCATTTGTGCCAGAGATACAATGAAATTTCTTCAATAATCAGAAAAAAATGAATTTATCAAAAAACGAGAGAAAAATAATCCATTCCATTTAACATTACCTTTGTACGTAGAGCATTACGACGAAAGAATGCTTTACATGATTCACATGTTAATGCATTGAAATTATATCCCAATGCTTTATCACCACAAACACCACATATTTTTGATAATTCCATAGTATTAATCAAAAGAGAGAAAAATCGAGAAAAATGAAGAGACAGATTCAGAATATGCAACAAGTAATAATTTCAAATGGAATGCTTTCAAACATTTGAAATATATCTTTATAGCTTCTAATCCAAAATTAACTTCTGGTATTTTTTCAATTGACGATGAATTTCTGGCTCTGTTGTTCATGCATAAACAAACAAAATAAATGATAAACAACTGGCAGAAAAAAAACCAATCAATATGATATAATCAACAGTGAAAGTCGAAATATTAATGGCACATACCACAAATCATCACGAAAACAACAACGAAAAAAAAACTTGATGGCGACAATTTTTTTCTCCAAAAATTGATTCACGAAACAACACAAAACTAAAATGAATATCAACAGAAAACCATCGATGGAAATAATTTTCAACGATTTAAACATACAAAAAAAAAATATCGTCACATCCACCACAAACACAAACTCGCCATAAAAACATTTGATAATCATCATCATTAGCAATCTAATCGAATATATAAAATTAATCAAATCATTCAAGACAATCAAGCATGTAAGCTGAGCAAAACCATAACTTATCATATGTGTGTGTGTAGAGGCTTATCAGTTTTTTTAATAAAATAAAAAAAAATGGCAAATAAATAAATGCCTCTGTCGTTTTTTTTATCAATTCTCTGTTTTACCTTGAGGTTGTTTTTTTCTTTATTATCATTTTTCAATTACGTGCAATTGCTATTACAAATGTTCATTTTTTTTGGTGGTATGCATTCATTATCATCAATTTTTTTTAATGAAATATCTCTGCATATATGAATTTGTGCATTAGATTCATTTGATAAAAAGGGAAATGGTTTTTTATTTTCACCACACATTCTGTATTCAAATTAAAAGGACAATTGCACTTGTCTTGTATATATAGAGCAGGATATGATAAACATGATATCTGTGTAGTATATACGAATATGATGATTATACAATTATATATATTATATATTAAAACTAACAAAACAGAAAATCAACAAACAAAATATATAATATTAAATGGTAAAGGAAAATAAAAAAGTTTCATTTTTGTTATGTAGATGATTCCAATTTTTGTAATCGATCAATAAGTCTTTTTGTGTTGTTTCGATTGATTGAAATTACAGTATAATTATCTCGTGATTGATAGATTGATTTTTGTATGGTGAAAATATATTGATGCATCCATATTGTTGAATGGAATAGATTTAACCAATGTTCTAAAGACATTTGTGATATTTCTTCGGCTGTTTTGCCCAACAATTTTTCGATTACATCCGCAAATACAGTAATCCACAATGATCCGGTCAAATCGTTGATTAAAATGGTAACACGGAGACCCCATTTATAATGAATCAAACTGGAGGATTCAAGCCATCCACAATAACCACAAAATAATTCACCTTCGTTGGTTGTTGATAATTTTCGTTTGCAATGTTCACCACTAGGACATACACGATATGCTGGATGTTTCGTTGCAGATGTTGATATAATGGTGGCTAAACAATCAAAATTTTTATACAATGACGATGTCTGTTTAATTTGTTTGATGTAAAAAAGTTCTTGAATGATTGTTCGATTATGATTATGATACCAATTTCGTAAATTCATAGCTTCAGGTATATCTGGATCAATTGTAACCGTTGTTAATGGTGAACAGGATAATGATAATCCATTAAATTGTTTTATTCTAACATTTTTCAGCGCTACAATTTGACCTTTTTCTCCATGAAAATCATCGGCCATTTTATCCCAAAGAGCCACGTCAATATGTGAAAGTGAATAATCAAAGATAGAAATTTTAAGAAGTGAAACATTACGACCTGAATACCTGCCATAAACACTGAAAAATTTGAATCAAAAAAATATTTTGATTACATTACAATGCAAATGAATGTAGACTTACTTTCGAATTGGATCAACGGAATCGATAATGCCAATAAAATCAATGGCACTATCTATACCGTGATGATGCAATGATGAAAAGCGAATAAAATTATAAATGATTTTCCGTTTATATTCACCAAATGGTTCCGTTATTTTCAATGGTTCAATGACAGTAGAATTCGTGGTAACTATTTCATACGGATTAGAAAGTGTTGAATATTGTTTATTTGACGGTTTAACATGACCACGACTAATACGAAAACATTCATCGACTTTAATAAGGTCGAAAAATCGATCACATTCTTCATTAAATGACACAATACGTATTTCGGAATATTCTTTGTCATAAACATCGAAACGAAACAATTTACCAGTTTCTGCACTATTTTCCTTTTTTATGAAATGATGAATCGATGATTTTGTCACCACTTTAACATCGATGGAAAAATTCGATCTTCTTGGATACAGATTTTTAATCATTGTGGCCACCACTGGTTCATCATCATCATAATGACCAGGTATCAAAAAAAAATTCCAAATATTACAATAACATTCATGATTATAATCATCATAGTCATCATCCGAATTGTCCATGCTTGATACAATGGGATTCATGATCTTTACCAAAAGTACAATTTTTAAATTTTAAATCACTAAAAATATGATTTAGAAATGATCCATTTTGCGTTTGTAAACAAATGATAACGTCGTTTATGAAAGGTCAATGTTTATTTGTGCTTTAAATTTTCAACATCAATTTGAGCACATCTTTTATTTTTCATCTTGTCAATATCAACAATTTGTCAAATGTAAAAATAATGGATTTACTTAAAGCGGAGATTGCTAAAAAACGTAAACAATTGGAAAAATCATCATTGATTGATGAGAAGAAAAAGTTTTTTAAACGTGAAGAATTGAACAAAAAAAATGAAGAAGAATATTGGCAAAAACAAGCTGAAAAAATGATGAAGAAACGTCGTCAAGAAGAAGAACGTGGTATCATCAATTCGGATGATTCAGAATCTCATGATAGCAGTGATGATTTGATGGCCACAACAACCGGTGGATCTAAATTATCTGCCGAAGAGATTGCTAAAATGAAATTGAAAAAATGGATCAAAAATCAAACCGGATCAAATGGAGAAGATCGAACGAATGGTGAAGAACGAATACTAGCCCGTAAAGAAGTGATCAAACGCCTACGTGAACGTGATCAACCGATTACTTTGTTTGGTGAGAATGAAATCGATGCATTTCGTCGTTTACGAAAATTGGAAATTATTGAACCAGATTCAAGTGATAAAGGATTTCGTAACGATTTTCAGGTTTGGATTTTATTTTTCATCCACATTCAATTTCTCATGAATTTGTTTTTAGGAAGCAATGGAAAAAGTTGATGCAGCCTATCTGGAAGAAATTGTCAAATCTGGTGGCCATAATACGACGGATGGTCCTGATGGTGAGAAAAAACGCGGTAAAAATGATGTAAAAATTGAAGAAATGAACACCACGATCGAAGAAATACTTGAACAAGCACATTATCTTGGTAAACAACGATCAAAACGTCCAAATACCGATGATGAACAACGACGATCAGATTGTGCAGTTATATTGAAATTTTTGAAATTTCTTCTCGAATTATGGGGTCGACGATTAAACGATCGAAATGAATCGGATAAAAGATCAACGCAAGGAAGATTAATGAATGCCATCTATACACAGACACAGGAATATCTGAAACCATTGTTCAAACAATTGACGAAACAAACGATTGCCGACGACATTCTTAAACATTTGATCATCATCATTAAATATCTACTTGAACGAAATTATGTTCATGCAAATGATGCCTATCTACAGATGGCAATAGGTAATGCACCATGGCCAATCGGTGTCACTATGGTCGGTATACATGCACGTACTGGTAGGGAGAAAATTTTTGCTCAAAACATTGCACATGTGTTGAATGATGAAACACAACGGAAATATATTCAAGCATTGAAACGTTTGATGACACAATGTCAGAAAATGTTCCAGACCGATCCATCCAGATGTGTTGAATACACTAAAGAATGAATTTGAAAGAAATTTCTTTCATGTGTAAATAAAACAAAACAATTTTTTTGGTTTTTTTGAAAACGAATCTTTATTTCAATTTTTTTCAATCATTCAAAATCCTTTCATTCAATAAAAAAATTTGTTACAATTTTATCGGAACATCAGATGTGTGTCCAAATACAATTTGTGTTTTGATTGATGTTGTCCCGGAAGTCACCAATTATCCTATATGCGTGACTCCACTCCACCACCCGTCGAAGAATTTGTGTGAAAATGAAAAAAAAGAAAACAAAATTCTTCGACACAGCATCAATCAGCATTGTTTTTTTTAAATGTAAATACAACATCAAAAATTTTTTTTTTTTTTTGTTTTGTTTTGAAAAAATATAAAACACATATTTGATCATTTAAATATTAAAAAACATTACTTACAAACAAAATAAAACTCAGAATTGTTCACACACGAGATATATGAGACAGTTTCAGTTAATTTTCATACACCATTATCTGTGAGTATTTAAAAGATGGACAAATGAGTCTAAAATTTGGGAGAAAAAAAACTTGTGTATGACAAGAAAAAAAAATTGGTAAACTTTGACACACAAATGGAATCTGAAAGAAAATGTTCATGAAAAAAAAAAAAAAATTGAAATTGGGTACAACCAGTTTTTTTATGTCAAACACGCGGCACACATTCATTTTGATTGTTTGTTTGTGTGTGTGTATGTGTATGTATTGCAGGTGAAAACAATTTATCTGTGTGGAATTATACACATGTGATTAAAACATTCAAAATACCTTTGAAAGAAACCAGAACACTTTTTTCTATATGATTACAAGATGTGTGAATGAAAAACAAATTTTGATTAGCAAAATAAACGGATATCAATGTCGTTACCGTATCAATTTTTTTTCACATTGTGATTTTGGCAGACAAAAAAACAAAATCAAGACAATTCGCACAACTCTTTTCACTTGTGGAATATATCATTATAAACTTTTGGAAAAAAAACATTTCGATTAGATTAACAAATTTTTCAAAGGATACCTCTCTTCTTGGAGATGTTTTTTTGTGATTCGCATTCGAAATTATTCAAACAGACAATTTGTGTATTGTTGTCAATATCATCAAGACAAAATTCTAGAAAAAAAATATCCTGCGAAATTGAAAAGAATAAAATACAAAAGAGAAACACATTTCTTTTGGACATGATATGTTTGTTTGCGTTTATGTAGTGTGTGTAAGACAATAAATTTTCGTTTTGTTCAAAATTCATAATAATAATTTCAATGAAAATAAATTATACTCAAGAATTTCGTTTTCTTTATTAATATATATATGTAACACACGTTGATTCATGATGCACGGTTAATTTTTTTTTTTGTTTGTCATTGGACCAAAACCAAAAAACACGTACATTGTTCATACAACGCTTCTTTTTGTTTGTTTTATTCATTCAATTTGGATTTTTTGTTTTCTTTGGTAAATGGTAAATACGGCAGACACACATCTAGATTTGTTATCATTATTTGGACAAATATGAAAAAAAATAGAGAGAAAAAAAACAGAAATGGACGAAATATGCTTTCGGTTTTTCTGTTGCTAAACGAAAAAAAAAAACAAACAAACAAACAAACAAAAAAAAGATCGAACATCATTTCGTCACCTGGACGGTTTATGTAATATGTCCATGGACATTATGTAAATTGAACATCTCATTCAGGACAATGGATTTGTAAATTGGACATTTTTGTTTCCTTTTTTTCACATTTGACGCCGTCGATATATTAGTGATTTATGATTGTCGACGCATTTTCATGGTTGAATTTGTTATTCATTTTCTGCTGCTGATGTTGTCTCTTTGACACCAAAGAAAAATATCTTTTGTAAAACAAAATCATTTCAGGTAACATACACGATTATAACGATCGGAACACTATCTGGAACTGGAATTTTATTTAAAGATGACCAACAAACAAAATCGAACCACATTCTTTTTCATCCTTGGATGGAATCTGTATAATATCCTCTCGCTGTGAAGTAGGATAAAAAAAACTTTCGATAAACTGATAAACATTAACTGCTCCTCTTCGCTCTGTTTTGCTGCTACATTCATTTTTTTTCGTTTGAGCTGTGAAATCGTAATTTTTCGGGAAAAATTACAGAAAAAAAATTGCAAACTTGCACACGTGCGTGGTACAAAAATAATTTGTAAATCTTGAGCAACCATCAATAGGAACAATAATAATAATTTGAAAAATGAATCCCACAAAAGATCCATATAGAGATGGATGGGCACAGAAAGGTTGAATTGAGATACGCCTATGGTATGTATATGCAGGTGGCTTCGGTGGTCATGTGTCATTCGATAATTGTTTGTGTGTAATATGTGTGTGTTGTGCAAATTCTGACCATAAATAATTATTACTGGAAACCAATTTGAACCAATCGATATATTAAATCTCACAATAGCTCTCTCATTAAATGTGATGTAGAATATGATAGGATGACACACACACACACTTTCAATAACTTGATAATAATCATTATTTTCATGACATTCAAAAAAAATGAATAAATAAACTGATGTAAAATGCAAAACATAAAATTTACGTTGAAAATGATATATATGTAATAAGTAGTATAAGATTCGTAAAACGGTATTTTTGTTGTTTAAAATAATATATAGTTTCTTCAATATTTGACCAATTTTCAATAATTCAATATCATTTCGAAAAAAAATTAGAGATCCAAACCAATAATAAGTGTGTGTTATGATAATCATCAAACGATTGAGATTGTTTTGAATTGAAAGATCATTTCTCATCAAGTTAAGACCAGATCAGAATTGAATTGAATTTTTTTTTTGCAATAAAAATTCGTAATTTGCATTGAGGATAAAATTATTAATCAGTGATCATAATTTATCAGATAAATATCTAAAAAAATCAATGTCTTCAATACGAAAGTCAAAATTTATTCCACTTTTAATCATCAAAGAATACATGTCGGTGAAGCAAACTATTTATTGATCGATTATATTGAACACAAAAAGGATAGAGATTGATCATTAGGAAATTTTCATCTTCAAGAATTGATTCTGTTTGTGGATAATTCATACCATTATCTGTCATGACAAGCAAGACTTATTATTGTGCTGAACGATATTAAAAAAAACTGGAATTCTCTAATGGTGCAAATCATATAGTAAGATGAGTGAATATTTTTCACAGTTGAAATCAATATTCATCATCATTGATCATAAATAATTTGATTTTGAGGAACAAAAATTATAAAAAGCTTCAGGCATGAATTCAAAAATTAGAGAGACATTTAAACCAGAACAAAATGGAAATTGAACATTCATCATTGGATTGATCATAGATAGATAGATTGATTGATTGTATTGTCATCAAATGCACAAAAACGATTGAAATCAAATGTTGTTTTGATTAATAAATAGATAGATAAACACTCAGGAAATAAGCAACATAATATACAAAGAAAGCCACCAAAAATGTTTCTATTTCTTCATTCATAGATGCTAAATGGACTTGCGAGTGTGATAGAGATTCGATAAAATATTTTTAAAGCAGTTGATGGGAAAAAATAGATCTTTTAGTGATTATTTGAGGTTGTTGTTTCAATTATTGAATGAAATTTTCTCATTGCAAAATGGACATATAAAGTCATTGGATATTATTATTATTATCAAGACACAGAAAAATTCGATTGAATTGAGATAAAACCAGAAAAAGAGACAAGAAAACCAATTTGCTTAAATGATTGATTGATTGTTGTTCAATAGACTTGAAGAATGATAATCATATGACCACCATATATATATCAATAAAAACAGGACATAAATCAAAACATTTGATCATCAACGAATCAAAAAAAAAACACACACACATACTCGATACGAGAATAAAGCCAAAAATAAAATATATTAAATCTTCATTCAAAAGTGGATAGATTGACGATGGAAAAAAAGATATATGTGAAGCGGAATGCAGTGATTGTCGGTTAGTGTGTATTGTAAAGAAAATTTCTATTTTCTCAGAGATTCAAATTCAAACACCAATTATGATAAATAGAATTATTATATTCTGGGATGCACTTTTTACTCTTCAAAGAAATTATGAAAAAAAACGATAAATGTAGTAGTAGAGGCAAACAATTTTTCAGGAATATATAAAAACACATCAGGATCAAAGATATCGATTAAACAAATCGGGTTATTAACCAATAACAATAAGTAGTAGTAGTAGTAGTGGTAGTAGTTCATCATTTTGCATTAAAATTGATTCGTGCATTAAGATATTCGATCAATTGTTATGTTATCAATAACCAAAAACAACAAAATTGACAGACCAATATTATTTAAAAAGGTGGATAATATTTCTGTTGTAAGTATGAAAATAATCAAAGCTGGAAAATGTAATTTATCTTGATATCATTTTATCATTATAATGAATTAATTTGGATGGAAATCTTTGAGTAAATTTTGTGAAAATAAAAGTCAATCCAAAAAAAAGAATGTAGAAGGTGGTAATTATCAATTGAATTTCATATTATTAAATTCAATATATATGATTGTTTTTCTTTAATAATAATCAACCATGATTAAAGAGAATAGATTTATTCTACGAATTTGGTCAAGGCAAAATGAAAAAAAATGTCGATCACAAAGAAAGTGAGTGAGAAAAGGTGGTAGTTGTTGTTTGAAAGCAGATATATGAAAAAAATAATTATATTTAGAAGCAATGACGAGTAAAGATCAAAATTTAAATTGTCAATATTAGTAGTAGTGGTAGATGAATATTTTCAATTTTTCAATTCACTTGTGCAAGAGATTCGTGCATCATTATAACTTTCAAACACATGAGAAGGAATAAATTATGACTTGAACATTTGCAAATCAGGACATTTTTTTTATAGAGACCAAAATGACAACGATAAATGGGTTAAAAAGTGTAGAATGATATTGATGATTATTTGAACGTTTATAACATGACAACAGCTGATACGATAACATTCATATAGACTTCACAATAAGATCAAAAAATCGCAATTATGATGAAAAGAAAACAAAAGTCAAAACTTTTGGGACTTTAAAAAAATGGAAAAAAACACCAAGACGAATAAATTCTTGTATAATTCTAGCTGAAAACAATCAACACTTTCTGAGTGACTAAAATCTTCATCATTAACGATAGATCATTATCATAAACATAGATTGTGGATAGATTTGAACACAATGAATTATCATAAAACTATCATTCAGATATATACAGAATAAATCAAATCTTCATTAAATGATAGACAGGCTGTAATATATTTTGTTCATTGACGTGATTCAATTGACAATTTCATGTAACTTGATTGATACCAAAAAAAAAATCAAAACTTGAAATCTAAACACTTGGATGAAACTTTAAATTCTTCAAATGACGAAAATCGATAACCAATCTTCTTATATTCGATATGTTAACACACACAATTTATATACATACGATTGAAACCATTCAGCATTCTTCATCACAATAAAAAAGCCTGAAAAACCATACATTTCGATAACGACCAATAATGAAAAATGATAATTTTCTTGAACCAAAAATTGTGAAACCACCAGGCGCACACATTTGACACAAAACACAGACACACTGAAGCACACACATGCATACACATACCACTAGATGGCGTATTTGTTGACCAATATTATCGGGATGTTTATTTTCTGATTTCTATATTCTTCATTTCGTATTAATCACTCTCATTTGTTCGAAAAACGGGCAATACGACCAAATATATCATCATATAAGATTTCATTATTATCGGATCATCCATCAATCAAACTGGATCATTAATCCAAACAAACATTGAACTGAATGGAAAACAAAATTCGATCACCACGACCATAACACACAAAACTCCTCAATCATCACACAATCTTTCTTTTTTGCTGTTTAAGGGAATAAAAAAAAGCGTTTTCGGTTCATAAAAAACATTTTAAAAGGCTACTTATCTTAGGTAAATCCGTGGATTTTCATCTTAGAATCTGACTCTCAACGTGAAAAAAATGAATTCAAACCGAAACGATAAATAAACAAAAAAATCGCCTAAAAATTGGATTGTATTCAGATTCATTTAGAATCTTCATTAACTGGACATCTAAATGTCTGGAACAAAAATCTATCAAAGGAGGTATGGAGAAAAGATTCCGTTGTTACAATATTTGTCTAGTCACTAATGCTAGATATGTTAAAATGAAAAAAACGGTACTTACCGAATACTATCTGGAATACCGCAGCCATCCACCACGAAGAATGGATTATAATTGATAATTTGTGTCCATTCAGAAATTCAGGACCAATGGAAAACCAAGAAAAACTTTCCAACATTTTCAAGAAGGCCACCATGAATGAATGATCATCATCAACGATGATGATGAAATAATATCATAAGCCTCGGCTTTGTTCCAAAAAAAAGTAGGAGAAAAATGAGGAGCCATTGGCAATGAGTCGGCCATCATGGATTTTATGGCAAAAAAAAAATTGATCAGCGAAAAAAAACTCGCAACGAAACCACTCGTTGGAAAGGGCAAAAGAAAACTGCGACGCAAATTGAGTAAATTCGACTATTTATATACTCAAAAAAAATAGGAAATTTTCGTACTTATTTTCTCTATTAAAAACTCCTCCCATTATGTATTTTTTTTTTACCTCGATATCAACTACGTAAAACTCATAAAACTTAAAATACGCAACAATTTGTATAAATAAAACATTAAAATCTAATCAAACAATAAGAAATCATGAAATTTTCATTAAATTAAAAAAATTTAATTAATAATTATCAAAAAAATGAGTTAAAACATTAGAATTACTGATAAACAATTATGTCGTTGTTTATGAACAACAGGCAAAAAAAAAATGCATACGTGCCACCAAAAGTACGCATGCGCGCTCACTCTATTCAATAAAATGGTTGTTTTTTACACATTTCGGTTATTGTTTTGCGAAATTTCTAGAATTTTTCAAACGAATTTCTTTTCATTTCTTGTATACCGGAAAATCTCTGGATAACGGAAATCTGATCGATAATGAAATGCTATTGAAAGCTTAACCAAAATCATGTGATGGATATGATAACCAAAAAAAAACAAAAAAGGGGATGTCAAACAAAAATCCGAGTAATCAATCAACCAATCAATTGATTACGTTTTAAATGGAAAATTTCCACGCTCACACACACGCAAAAAGAGACCAAATTATTTTTTTGGAACCATCACCAGAAAACTATTCCATTACCATTGAGTTATTTTTTGTTTTCCCAAATTTTTTCCCCTTCATATATGAAAGTGAATGGATATTTTGATTGAAGAAATTTAGGATTTAGGATGGAAAAAAAATTTCATAAATGACGCAATTGAAATGAAATTTTCTCATTCTTTTTTCTATATTCTCGTCATAACATTTTTCATAAATGTACTGGTTGTTGTTGTTGTTTTGTTTTTTCAAGGACATTCTCTGGCTATATATTGTGTGCATGATGTGTGTGAAGGGTAGATTTTTTTTTTACATATATTGCATTTGGCCAATGTAATATTGTGCACACACACACACACACACACAGATGATTGAAATTGGACGATTTGACATCAATTCTTAATATAATCCTTCTCTCTTCTGTTCCATGAAAAGCCGGCCCTTTTCAATGAATCATTTGCAGACTGTATTCATTGATTTGTTTTTTTCCATGAAGTAAAATTTGACCTCATTTTTTACGACAATTTCAGTCATTCATGTCGATTTGTCTGAAAAAATTATTATAACTGTATGATTGTGAAAAGTAAAATTTTACGAAAGAGACAACCCAGGTCAATGATTAGTGTGTAATGATCATTATCGTCGTCGTCGTCGTCATCGTCGTCAACAATGTTTTTTTTTTTGCTTGTCCAAACATGGACGCAGAAAGCAAGTTTTTTTTCAGTTGCGTAGTCAAATTTCAATTTAGCAGCAGCGAAAATTGAGAGAAACCAGTTAAAGACGGAAATGGAATTGTGTTTTTAAAAAATGATTTTTCTCTTTTTTTTCTCAATTCATCATCAAAATAAAAAAAGAAAAAGAAAAAAGGGCCAATGTTTGTGTGTGTGTGAGTGATATATTCGAATTCCGGTATTGTAACTTTTTCGTGTACAGACACACACACACACACATACACAGATGACGTACAAATTTTCAATAATCGATTATATCGGGATCGCCAATATCCCAATCAATTTTTTTAACCGTATCATCAATTATATAGATTACAAAACGTGATAATAACATTTTAATCAATGAAACCAATGTATAGAACCATAGTTCCATATCTGTGTGTGTGAAAATAATAAAGAAAATTTAAGAAAGAAAAAATTTATTTTTTTTTTTGAAAAAGGAAAAAAAAAAAAAAAACCTAGACACAAAAATTTTATCGATATTTTCATTTCGTTTTATACATTTTTCATTTTGATGTTTATGGCCAAAGTCGTCGTCGTCGCCGTCGTTACCATAACGATGATGTTGGTGATGATGATGATGATGAATAGTGGATAAATGTTTTCGTTCCATAAATGTAAACAAATTTCTTGTGAACAATAACATTTCAATAATGAATATTATCCATAACGATTGTGATAATCGTACGGTTGATGATTTTGCTACAATCGATGATTGTTCATCATCAGTATCATCATTATCATCATCATTGTTTGTTATATTCAATAATGAAGATTTAGTTATTGGTCGATTTGTAAATGATGATCTTATTGATGTAAATAAAAATAATGATAAACATAATGAATAAATACATGTGACTAAATAATAGCCAATATTATAATGCATTGTATTTGGTTGTTGTCGATGTTGATGTTCACGTTCGGTTATAAATAATAAATTAATCGTTGTGAATATAATCCAACCAACACTAAATGCCGTGATTAAACCCAATGATGATGACATTAATAATTGTTTATAAATTGTCATTTCTAATTTTGAACGAATTAGAAATTTTTCATTCAAACCACGACCACGACCACGACGATGACGGCTGATATTATGATGATAAGTTTCTTCTTGAGACATTTGTTTTTTTTTGAAAAAGAATTGCGATAAATAAAAAACTATAATTCTCCACTAAATCAGTAAAAATATCGATATAAATTATTGGCTCGAATCATTTTCACAATTATTGTTGTTGTTGTTGGTGGTGGTTCGAAAATTAAATTACAATCTCATCCAATGAAGCAATGGCTGTACGCATTGATGTTAAAAATGTTTGCTGTTGTTCAGGTAATTGTTGTTGTTGTTGTTGCTGCTGCTGCTGATGTTGATTATTATAATGTTGCTGCTGTTCCATTTTATTTCCAACACAATTCAATGTATCAATAAATTTATCTAAATTATCCTGGGTAACTGGTCCATATTCATATTCTTGTACTGGTTGTATAGTGGTAGTAATAGCAGCACCACTATTATCATCATCTGTAGTATTGATTAAATTATCAACCAATTCCACTGGTAAACCGTCCGGTATTTCATTACCAATATGGTCAACTATATTCTCTTTAAGACAATCAAGTATTTGATGTAATCTTTCATTAGAATGACCATCTTTTTCTACTTCTGATTCAAGTCGTTCGGTTATTTCACGCATATTTTCAATATGTTTTGCTGATATAGCATTTCTTTCTTCATATTCGGTTGTAAATGAACGAAAATTTCTTAGCTCTTGTTCACGCATTTTATTATGTTCAAGAAATTCTTCCGTATATATTGGTATATCAATTATAGATTGTCTTGATGATTTTGATTCCAATATCGATGCCAATGAATTTGATGTTGAATTTTATTATTATTCATCATTGTGGAAGCCAAGGTATTTATTGGTGGATTATTTTGAGCAATTGCATAATCTACATATATTCATAGATGATGTGCGTTGGATCATAAATCAACTAGACGTCAATTTTTTCGAAATTAATTTCAATACAAATTTAAAAACTTACTGTTCGATTGTTGATGATGTGGATGATTTGGTTGCAATGGAACTGGAACAGGACAACCACTTGCCATCGGGCCACCAGCATTCATCATCATAGTTGTCGTCGTTGGATTAAAACGTTGCTGATTCGAATATTGCTGTTGATGATGTTGTTGTTGTTGCGGTGGTGGTGGTGGTGGCGTTGGATGTTGTTGATAATTAAAACCACCAGTATTGGCAGGACCGGATACTTGATGTTGTTGTTGTGTCATATTAAAATTTAATTGTAAATTGTAATTTGGTGGCTGTTGTTGTTGATAATGACTATTCATCATCATCATCGATGATTGATGTTGTGCTGATGATGGTTGGCCAACAAATGGACCGGCTGTATTACGATTCCATAGCTGCTGCTGTTGTTGTTGTGGATGATGATGTGTTTGATCATATTGTAAAGGATTTTGATTCAAATGTGATAAATGTCCACCCCCACTACCAATATTTTGATTATAATATGGATGATGATGATGATTTGAATTCGATGATGTTGATGATGATGACGACGATGTGGAATGCATTTGTGGTGGTGGTGGTCCATTCATCGTTGTTGTTGTTGTTGATGATGACGATGGATATTTAGATGTTGTTGTCGTTGTTTGATTATAATTTGTTGGTGGACCATAAGGATTTGGTGCATATTGTTGCTGATTAATATATTGTGATGATGATTGATGCTGATGATGTGCATTATATTGTTGTTGTTGATAAAGATTCGATTGTTGTGGTGGTTGTTGTGGATAATGTTGTTGACTTGATGATGATGATGGACTCGATATCATTGATCCAGGATCCATTGTTGATGATTGTTGTTGTGTTTGTTCCATTTGTTGATATTGTTTAGCACGTTGTTTACGTTCCATAAATTCTTGATATGATTCTGATCTTTGATATTCATGTAATTCTTTTAAATATACTTCTTTTGCACGTTCAGCTTCATCTAGATAGGATTTTTTCTCCTCCTGATTCATTGAACTCCATTCGGCAGCCAATTTTTTTGTTATTTCAGCAAATGTTAAATCAGGATTTTCTTGTTTAATTCGTTCACGATTTGCATTTAAAAAACGAACATAACCATTTAATGGCATTCTAGGTGCATTCAAATCTTTAGTACGTGGACCACGACGTTTACGTTCTTCGGGTGTTTTACGACGAACGTATTTTCGTTTCTGTGATTGTTGTTGCTAAACAAGTGCAAATACAAGAAAAAAAGATAATGAGATGATTTTTAAAACATGCAAAACTTACTTGTCGAATTTGTTCGGATTGTGGATCAAATTGATCAATCACACCACCACCAACATTAGTGTTGATCATATCATTATTAGTTTGAGCCATCATTGATGATTGAATACCAATACCCATCTGATGAGAATGAGGATGATGATGTGAATGTGGATGGCCATGATGATATGATGATGATGATGATGCTGGCATATGACCAGATCGTAATTGTTGTTGTTGTTGTTGATGATGATTATGAGGATACGTATGGGTCATCATACCGGATGTTGCCGATGTATAAAGCTCTTCGTCATCCGGCACATCTTCACTATATTCATCTGTTGACATTTTTTTAAATAGAAAAAAAAATTTTCAAAGTTGACAATTTAACTTTTTTGATTTAAAAGATGAAAAAAAACAATTTTTTTCATTCGAATTCAAATCAGCTGATTTATTGTCCAATATTTTTATTGGATTCGAAATGAAAAAAAAAGAAATATTTGTATCGAAATCAATTTGAAAAAATTGCAGAAGAAAAAAAAATTTGGATAACAAAAAAAAATGGAGCCTTATGTTGTGTGTGCGTGTTTTTTTCTTTTGCCACAAAAACCCCGAGTTTGTGTTGTGGAAGATAAATTCCGCTCACACGATGGCAATATTGGCACTCGATGATATAGTAGTTCGTTTGGCTCACCACTTGGTGGCGGTAATTTCGAATTTTATTTTTTTATTTACATAAAATGATGATGATGATGATGGATGGATGGATGGATTCAATCACAAGCTGCTCTTTAATCATCAAGCGGCAGATCTATTTCATTAAATCGTCATAATTTATTTGTTTTTTTCCTCTTAATTTTAATGCGATAATCGACCAGAAAAAAAACAGTACAGAAGCTATTCATTTTCACATCATCATCATCATCATCCATTACCATTGTTGTTACATATGGTAAATATTTTCTCCTCGAAAAAACTCGAAATTTTCATCTGTCAATTTGATTCGTATATACCCATAAATAATTTGTATATCTAGCGATTTTCTTTTCTGTTTCAATTCGTTATTATATACCTGGTTTATTTGACAGTTTTTTTCCATCAAAAAAAAAATCTCATTTGACATTGAATTGTATTGTCGTTAATCATTCAATTCCATCATCACCATCATCATAGCTCCTATATATAAAATAGCATTTCGTTCAATGACATGATAATGATGATAAGCTCTATATATTTGCGACTATAGAACGATTGTGTATAGCTATATATATACATTGAGGATAGTGAGCGGCCTGTTCAAGATTCCATGACGCCAATCATTTTTTTTCTGATAGGCGTCATACAGTCTGGCCAATATTTTTTTCAACGCATTTTCATTTGTAATTCATTATTTGTGAAATTTGTTTGAGAATTATCATTACTAATTTCATTTTTGTTTTCGTTTTTAAATTTATAGAGAAACTGACCACCATCATCACCGAAAATGGGTTCATTAATGCGATCAGAAGAAATGAAATTCTGTCAGATGTTATTACAATCTGAAACAGCTTATAATTGTATATCTGAATTGGGTGAACTTGGCCTCTGTCAATTTCGTGATGTTAATCCAAATGTAAATGCTTTTCAACGAAAATTTGTTAATGAAATTCGTCGTTGTGATGAAATGGAACGTAAATTACGTATGTGTAACTGATGCTGATGTTTTTTTTCAAAAAAAAATTGATTACTCTACACCAACCATTTAGGTTACCTGGAGAAAGAGATACGTAAAGATGGCATTGAAATATTGATGATTGGTGATCCACCGGAGGCACCGCAACCACGTGAAATGATTGATTTAGAAGCAACATTTGAAAAATTGGAAAATGAATTGAAAGAAGTGAATGCAAATGCAGAAGCATTGAAGAAAACATTTCTGGAATTGACCGAATTGAAACATATTCTCAAACAAACACAACAATTTTTCGATGAGGTATGGATGAATCTGATTTTTTACCAAAAAAAAAAAAAACAAAACAGCTATCGGTAGAATTTTCTTTTTTTTTCGATTGATTGGTTTTTTCCCATTCCTTTTTTATTCATTTCTGATTATCATTTCTCATTTTTTCCCAATTTTTTTTCATTATGTTCGGACCAAACGATAAATGAACCGGGATTTTCTTTTTATTTCAATCATTTTTTTCGGGTATCCTTTTTTAATTCTATTTTGTCTTTGTTTTTTAAATGTTTGGTCCGATTGTTTTATTTTTTCGTTGATTTTTGTTGTTGTTGAAATTATTATTATTTTCATTATCAAAATGCAAAAAAAAACAAAAAAAAAAAAATTTTTTTTTGCATGATGAAACATTTGTGAATTGAAAACTGATAAAAAAGGTTGATCAAATGCAGATGCATGATACAAGTATGGGCGATGATAATATCCATCTATTGGGCGATGAAGGATTACGTGCCGGTGGACAAGGACCATTAAAACTTGGGTAAGTTTTTCATCTATTTTTTCAAATTGATTAACTGGTTTTTTTTATGTTTCAATAGATTTGTTGCCGGTGTTATACTACGAGAACGTATACCTGGATTCGAGCGAATGTTGTGGCGTACATGTCATGGAAATGTTTTCCTAAAACAAGCATCAATCGATACACCATTGGAAGATCCATATACTGGTGATAATGTTTATAAATCGGTGTTTATCATCTTTTTCCAAGGTGAACAATTGCAGACTAAAGTGAAGAAAATATGTGAAGGGTAATTTGATTCAACACGGAATTTTTTTTCTCAAATTTTTTTCAATCTTGTCTTTCTCACTAGTTTCCGTGCAACATTATATCCATGCCCGGAACGTGTAACTGATCGTCGTGAAATGATTACAGGTGTCATGTCACGTATCGAAGATCTCAATACTGTGCTATCACAAACACAAGAACATCGTTATCGTGTTCTAATGGCTGCTGCTAAAAATGTTCGTAATTGGTTTATAAAAGTACGAAAAATCAAAGCTATCTATTATATATTGAATATCTGTAATCTTGATGTGACAACCAAATGTTTGATCGCTGAATGTTGGGTACCAACATCGGATTTTGAACGTGTTTGTCAAGCTGTTCATAATGGTTGTTCACGATCTGGATCTACAATTCCACCAGTTATATCACCAATGGAACCAAAAGAAACGCCACCAACCTATAATCGAACCAATAAGGTTACTAGTGGATTTCAGAATATTGTCGATTCATATGGTGTAGCTACATATCGTGAAATTAATCCAACACCATTCACAATAATAACATTTCCATTTTTATTTGCCGTTATGTTTGGTGATGCTGGTCATGGCTTGTTAATGGCAGTATTTGCTGCATGGATGGTATTGAAAGAACGTAATCTTCAATTACAAAAAAATCCAAATGAAATATGGCTAATGTTTTTCAATGGGCGTTATATGATTTTATTGATGGGATTATTTTCCATTTACACTGGTCTCATGTATAATGATATCTTTTCCAAATCAATCAATATATTTGGTTCATCATGGAAGGTGAATAAGATTAAAAATCTCAAGGATCCTTATATATCATTGGATCCAGAAAATAAAACAAGTACATATCTATTTGGTATTGATCCGGTTTGGCAATTGGCATCGAATAAAATTCTCTTCCTGAATTCATACAAAATGAAACTATCGGTCATAATGGGAGTGGCACAAATGTTTTTCGGTGTTCTACTAAGCTATTTTAATCATCGATTTTTCGCAAAACAATTGAACGTATTGTGTGAATTTATTCCACAAGTTATATTTATGTTGAGCATATTTGGCTATATGAATCTATTGATCTTTGTTAAATGGATGAAATATGATCATTCAAAAGCTAGTGATGCACCATCCATATTGATCAATATGATCAATATGTTTCTAATGAAATATGTGGATGAGGATGATAAAACGCAGCCAATTTATCTAAAAACATGGTATAGTGGACAACGATTCTTTCAAACAATATTATTATTATCAGCATTGATGTGTGTACCATGGATGTTGGCAATAAAACCATATTTATTGAAGAAACAAAATGATTTAAAATTACGTTATCATCCACCTGGTGATCAAATTATTGCGCAAACAAATGGTGAAACTGTAGCTGTACAAATGGAAAATGGACCGGCTAAATCATCTGGTGGTGGTCATCATGGTGGTGGTGGTAGTCATGATGAAACGTTTGATATGGGTGAAATTGTTGTTCATCAAGCTATACATACGATTGAATATTGTTTAGGTGCTATATCGCATACTGCTTCGTATCTACGATTATGGGCACTTTCATTGGCTCATGCACAACTTAGTGAAGTACTATGGTCAATGGTATTTCGTATAGGTCTACAAGGTGAAGGCATTAGTGGTGGTATATTCATGTTTGTCGTATTTGCATTCTGGGCATCATTAACCGTTTCCGTACTATTGGTTATGGAAGGTTTAAGTGCATTTTTGCATGCATTACGTTTACATTGGTATGTATTGATTAGGTTTTTTTTTGAGTGAAAAAAAATTAACATTTCCTTTTCTTTCCCCCCACTATTTTTAGGATTGAATTTCAAAGTAAATTCTACACTGGTACTGGCTATGCTTTTTCACCATTTTCATTCAAAGAAATTTTACTGAATCCAACAGAAAGTGGTGATACTATCTATAATTGATTGAATGAATATCATCATCTATCTATAACAACAACGTTGTTGTTGTTGTTGTTGTTGTTGTCGTCGAAAATTGAATGAATTTTACTAATAATAGCAAAATAATACTCTCACTCCACACGGGTCGAGTAATAATAATACACAAGTGAAAGAATATTTATCTAAAAAAAAAATTTGATTTTTTTTGTCTGTTTATTTGTTTGTTTGTTTAATGTTTGATTCACACCATAATTCAAGTAGCTTTAAAATTGTCTAATAATAATCTGAGAAACAAAAAAAAATGAATTTCGAAATGAAATGAAAATAATAAAAAAATTTATTTCTAAATCAAATTCTTTATCCATTTTCTTTCACATTTTCTGTGCTAACAATGATAAAAGACCAGAATCCGGTGCCGTTTCCATAATCAATTTTTGTACGTCACGAAATTTTGGATTCGATGCATCTGATACTAATCCACTGTATTAGGATAAAAAAAAACGGAAAAATAAAATCGAATTCTTCTCAATGTAAATAGCATAACAATATATTTACAGTATAACCGATTCAGATGTTGTTAACCAAGCACCAGCTTGTTTCATACGTTCAAATGCAAACATTCTATCGACCATTGAACGTGAACTACATGCATCGACAACAACATGGACATCATATCCGGCTTGCATTGCTTCCAATGCTGTTCCTTGGACACATACATGTGTTTCAATACCACAAAGAATGATATTCTTTACATCTGGATGTTGTTGTCTCAATCTTTCGATTACATCGCTGGTAAGCATTGAAAATTGTGTTTTAGCAATCGGTTGAATATCTGGATATGCAGTTAATCCAAGTTCTTTGACTGTTGCACCTAATCCTTTTGGATATTGTTCAGTAGCAATAACTGGAACATCTAATAAACGTGCTGCACGTAAAAGACGTGATGATACCTGTACAACGGCATCAAAATATTGTATGTTGGATCGAAATTTTTCCTGCAAATCACAAATGAATAATGCACTTTGTTTTTGTAATAATTTTCCAACATTTCGACATGCTGATGCTGTTGTTGTTGTTGTTGTTGCCATTCTCTTCACTTTAATTTGTAAATAAAACAAAACAAAAACAAAAAAAAAACAGAAAATCGAATTGGGTACAGACACAGACAAAAGAGTCTATTCTTTTTTCAATCCAATTTGTTGTGGTTGTTTTGACGACGTTAAAAAAAACGAAAAAAGAATATTGAGACCGGTTTTTCGTGATAAGATTATTTTTGATCGATTGATATGACCGCCGTCGTCACTATGCCTATGTGATTGATAAGTTTTTTTCAAATATAAAATCAATGCAAAAAATGTGGGAAAATGAGCCAAAAAAAAAAATCGTGTTTGTACCGCTCGTTGTTGTTGTTGTTGTTGTTGCTGTTTCGAAGGAAATTTTTGATAATATAAAATCAATGCAAAAAATGTGGGAAAATGAGCCAAAAAAAAAATTCGTGTTTGTACCGCTCGTTGTTGTTGTTGTTGTTGTTGCTGTTTCGAAGGAAATTTTGCACATAAACAAACAGCTGACTTTCAAAATACACATCCACTCCCATTTGTTTATACATTGCTAGTGTTCGTTTTTTTTCTTCTCACTGAATGAAAATTGAATCAAAACCGAAATATCGTGTTTTTGCTGTGTGTGTGTGTGTGTGTGTGTGTGTGTCATATCGGTTTTACATCATCATTATCACATCACATCATTGTTGCCTTCTTCGAGCTGTTTTTTTTCTCTATTTTAAATTTCATGAATGTTAAATTCAAATTAAAATTCGAACATGGCCGAAACGAAAATTCGAATTCAAATTCCCGGCATTAATTGTATGAGTTGTGTAAATCATATCAAAGAACATTTACGACAAAATTATCCTAATCAAATTCAATATGATGATCCCACTAGTATCGAAGTTGATCTAAATGCCAAAATATTAACATTTAGAATTATGGATTCAAAATTTACGGCATCACAGCTACAAAAATCCATCACATCGATTGATGAACAAAAATTTGTTTGTTCAATTCTTTCTAGCGATGATGATGAAGATACGATCTCGAAAACAACACCTCCACTGGTTAGTAGTCAAGAATCATGCCAAACCGATTTGTCAACTGTGCCATTATTGAATCGTCAACAATCGAATCAAAGTTCAGTAGCCATAAACATGAACAAATCAATGATTTCGCAAAGAAAATGTTTTGTTTCCATACAGGGTATGTCCTGTTCAAGTTGTGTGGATAAAATTGAAAGTAAATTGAAGAAAACACCGGGAATTATTTCCTGCCAAATTGGATTGATAACAGCTCGTGCTGAGATTGATTTTGAACCAACGGTGATAAGTAGTGAGAAAATTATCGACATATTAGACGATATGGGCTATGATGTGTCATTAATCTCTGTGATCGATTCTAATCAACAATCGGAGCTTCGTTTAGATGTGATGGGTGTAACATCCGAAAAGGAAGCAAAAACCATACAAACATCTATCAAAGAATTGATCGGTGTTTCAATGGCCACGGTTAATCGTGAAACAGGCCGAACATCAATCGTATATTATCCAAATGTAATTGGTCCACGAAAAATTGCTGATCAAATCATTGGACTTGGATTCACCGTACATACAATCAATTCATTTGATCCGGAAAAATTTACTGAAACATTGAAAAAAGAAGTGGCTAAATGGCGACAATCATTTTTGATTTCATTAATATTCGGCATACCGACTATTATTGCTATGATTTATTTTATGTACATTTCACCTTTGATTGAAAATCAAGATGACATGATTGTTCATCAACGTTGTTGTGTAATACCTGGATTGAGCCTTGAAAATCTAATCCTGTTTTGTTTGTCAACACCAGTACAGATTTTTGGTGCCCGTTATTTTTATATCCAGGTAAGTTATGGATTTTTTTTTCAAATTTTTTTTCTGTTTTCTGCGTTCAAATCATTTTAGTGTAGAAATAGGTTAGGCAGAGATGTGTGTGTGTGTGTTAGGGTATAAATAGGTGGCGTCATGTGATTCGAAAAAAAAATTATAAAGGATTCAAAACATTTTGAAAATTAAATTATTACAAATGTAAATGTAAAATGTCACCATCGGTCGAACCAAAAGAACGTGTTTATGAAACAATTGAAGATGTCAAAGGTGATGGTAGTCCTTGTTCGGCAATACGTGAAGAATTGAAATTTTGTATACGTAATACGGATTGTGTTAAAGAGTTACGTATGACACCAAAAGAATGTCTGAAAACGAAACATCCATCTGTACCGGACAAATGTCATCGTCTTGCATATCTTTTTTTTGAATGTAAACGTTCAGTTCTTGATACAAGAACACGATTCCGTGGCCGTAAAGGATATACAGATGAATATAGTAGCAAATAGAATGATAGTAAATGTTATGTTTTAGCTTATGATGATTGTAATTTCGATATAGAATAATAATTTTGTATGTAAATAAAAAAAAATGTTCAAACAAAAAATTCTGAATCTGTTCTCATTTATTTCATTTTAGGCATTCAAATCATTACGAAATGGCCATCTAAGCATGGATGTATTGATCACGTTGGCTACGACAATCGCCTATCTATATTCGGTCGGTGTTGTCGTTTATTTTATAATCACAGATCAACGACAAAGTCCAATGACATTTTTCGATACACCACCAATGTTACTTGTGTTCATATCGTTAGGACGATGGTTAGAACATATGAATCGTCTTCAAACAACTGAATATATTGTCAATTTAATGTCATTGCGGCCAGTGAAAGCAACATTATTGGAATTGGATCGAAATGAACAAAAACCGATAATGGATGGCTTAAAAATGGGAGATGAATTGCTTGTCGTGAAAAATGAAAGAATAATCGATATTGATCTGGTGGAAAAAGGTGATTATCTTCGCGTACGGCCTGGTGAACGTATACCAACCGATGGACGTATGATTGGTGGTGAAGCTATGCTTGATGAATCATTCATTAATGGTGAATCAATGCCTGTAGCGAAAAAATCCGGCTCAATTTTACTTGGCGGATCAATCGTATCAAATGGAACGGTTGTGATGGTCGCCACAAATGTTGGTGCCGATTCACAGCTATGTCAGATTGTTAAAATGGTTGAAAATGCACAAACGACAAAAGCACCGATTCAACAACTAGCTGATCGAATATCATCATATTTCATACCGTTTGTCATCATAACGTCATTGATTGTTTTTTTTATATGGCTTTGGATCGGACCAAAATTATATCAACTAATTTATTCATTGAATCCGAATTTTTATGCACAAATGACTGCCACTGAAGTTGTCATACAATTTGCTTTTCAAATTGGCTTGAGTGTTTTAATTATATCTTGTCCATGTGCTTTGGGTATTGCAACACCAAGTGCCGTTATTATTGGCACTGGAATTGGTGCAATCAATGGCATTCATATCAAAGGAGCTGAACCATTGGAACGAGCACAACGATTGGATACGATAATATTCGATAAAACTGGAACATTAACTTATGGAAAACCATCTGTTACGAATCTAAAATTAACATACAGATTTACGAAACAATCTTTTGATTCATTTGCAAGAAAATTAATCATTATGATAGGCATGGCTGAAGCTAATAGTGATCATCCGATCGCTGTATCGGTGGCTAATTTTGCCCGTTCTGTACTTCGAATGGATACCGATGCCAGTTTTGGTCAATTGAATAGTAAATTCAAATTAGAAGCCGGTCTTGGCATTCGTTGTCAAATTGAACGTAATCATTTAAAATCATTCGAATCATCATTAATCAATTCATCGAATAATAGTGAAATTTCTAGTCCTAAATGGTTGGCTGAAAATTTCATTTCCTATGCATCGTATATTGATCCAGCTAATAAAACGGATCAAAAATTTTTATTGGATGAAAATTTTTCGATAATGTTCAATCATATAAAATCATCATCGGTAATATGCGTTGGATGAAAAAGAACAATATTCCTGTGGAATCAGAATTTCAAAATGAAAATGATCGACTTGAACATCAAGGCGAAACTGTTTTTAATGTTGCAATAAATGGTAAAATTCTTTGTCTAATATCAGTGGCTGATACTGTCAAACCGGAAGCTTTATTGGCCATTTATACATTGAAAAATCGTTTCAAACTAGACGTAATGCTATTGACTGGTGATAATGTTCGTTCAGCATTAGCCATTGGACGTAAAGTTGGTATCAATCATATCTATGCAGAATTATTACCACAACATAAAATGGATAAAATTAAGCATCTACAATCACAAGGATTAAAAGTAGCAATGGTTGGTGATGGTATTAACGATGCACCGGCATTAGCACAAGCCGATTTAGGTATTGCCATTGCTAAAGGTACAGATATTACAATGGAATCGGCTGATGTTGTCCTTACAAAGGCAAGTGTAGTGTAAACATTTTTTTTGTTCTATTCATTAATTTTTTTTTCTCTTTTCCCTTTCACTCATCATCAGGATGATCTATTAGACATTGTTTCGTGTATTGATTTATCAACAAAAACTATGCGACGGATTCGTATCAATTTTCTTCTTGCATTCATCTATAATGTGGTATTCATTCCGATTGCTGCTGGTATATTCATTAAATTTGGCATGATTCTACAACCATGGATGAGTGGTGCTTGTATGGCATTCAGTTCAATATCTGTAAGCTGTTCATCATTATTATTGCGACGTTATCGTAAACCAACTAGACGACAAATTGAAACAGATGATTATCATCGTTATAAATCGCGTGTAAAATTACAGAATCATGGTGTTACATTTCCAACAATATCATCATCATCACCATCATCAGCATCGATAATGGATCTAGATAAATTATCCATTCATAATGCACATAATCTTATAGATAATGGTGTAACTAAAGTGGATCATCTTTATCGACCAAAATCAATGGTTAAAATCATGTCATTATCACGACAGACAAGTAATGAATCAGCTACATCAAGTGATAGTTCTTCAAATGATAATTATGAAAATGTACGTCTTATCAAGATGAATAAAGATGATTCAAACAGCAATAATAATGTTCAGATAATGCAATCATCAGCAACAAATCGACCTACAAATGCAGCTACGGATATGAATGATCCAGATTCAATGGTTTAAATTATCATTATGGAAATCAATTTACACTTTTTTTATATATATATATGTAACCACATTGTTTTTTAGATTAAATTTAATATTTTGTATGTTTGATGATTCGAAAAATAGCATTTTACTCATTACCTTGAATTTTTGATTATAACCAAGAAATAAAAATTTAAAATTAGAAATTTAAAAATCTACTATAAAATCGTAACCACGCACTTGTTGATTTTGAATTTGGTTATTTTTTTTCTCTTGAAAAAGTGTGGTTAAATTTTTCCAATTGAAAAAAATTGACATTAATTTAATGATGAGAAAATTCAATTTTTTTTTCTATTCAGGAAATGTTTTGTCGAAAATTTTGCAGTGCCATTTCAAAGAAGCCATTCATCATCAATCAATTTGTTCGAATTGAAAAACAAAAATTTGTAACGACAAAAATGGACGATATAATTGAACAAGCCAAACAGAATCGACAATATGAATATGATGAATTTCGTTCATATTTTTCAACAATTTTGAATTTAATTTGTGAAAACAACAATGATCATCAAGATGATGATGATGATCATCATCATCATCATCGAAAATTTCCAAACATATCAATCACAAGTGATTGGTTTCAACGAATGCTTACATATAATGTACCAAATGGAAAATTAAATCGTGGCCTATCGGTTGTCGTATCATATCGTATATTGAAACCGAATGCAACATCTATGGAAATGGACAATGCTCGTTTATTAGGTTGGTGTATGGAAATGTTTCAAACAAGTTTTCTAATTATCGATGATATTATGGATGAATCAATTACACGAAGACGACAACCTTGTTGGTATCGTTTGGTAAGTTTTGCAAATATTAGAAACAAAAAAAAAATTCAATTCAATGATTTTATTCATAAAGAAGAAAAAAAAATTAGACAATTGATTGATGTCCATATGTATAAATTACCTATAAAGGTTAATCAATAATAAATGTGGGAGAATGAAAACAAAGTCTATCTGTTTTCGTTTATTCAAAAAAAAAAACGAATAAAGGAGCGATATATATTTAGGCCATAAACAATTGTATGAATGAATGGCCTCCAATGGAAAATTATCTTTGAATATATATATGAAATAATGTATTTCAAAAAAAAACGAAACGAAACAAAATAAAGAAATAAATTGAATGAACTGAACTGAACAAACAAACAAACAAACAACGAGATAAACTTGTGTTCATGTGTGTTTCGTGGTGCTGATGGTTGTTGGTTGGGGTGAGCACTTTGAAATTTTTTTTTTGTTTTCTTCTATATATTTCTCTGACAAAAAAAAAATCAATCAATATATATTAAATTCAATGGTGAAATCAAATGTGCAAAAAACAAAAAAACAAAATTCAAACTTTGAACAACAACAACAACAACAACAACGAAAATAACAACGAAAGTTGCACTTGAATCCTGGAGATAATAATTTGTTTGTTTCGAATTGGATGAAAAAAAAAATTTACATTCTTTTATATGATCCAAATGATTTCAATCGATTGATTGATCCATTTTTTTTCTTTCGTTTGGGATTTGTTTTGTTGTTACAAATAATGTAGGAAAATAATTTCACAATTTCAGTTTCAATTTTTACATTATTTTTTTTTTGCACTTGTTTGTGCATCTTGAAGATTATGATGATGATGATGATGATGGTGAAAAAAAAAATGAAAACAAAATTTATGAAAAACAGATTAGGCCAATATTTACTGGACATCTGTTTTTCAGTTTGTTTTTGTTGTTGTTTTGAACAATTTGTAAAAAAAAATGACCGCAGCATGTGTTCATAACAACAACAACAACAACAACGACAGCTTTTTTAAATGTGGTCATTATCGAATCAAATGAACAAAAAAAAAAAAAAAAAATTTTATAGTTCGTGAGATTTATTTTTTATTTTGTTTTTCTTTTCACTCTTCATTGGATACCTGTGACGAGTGAGAACCAACCAAACCAATTAAGTGATAAAAATCCACCTGATTCATCATACAGAAAAAAAAATGAAATGACAACAACAACAAATTGATACGGAAAGAAAAAAACGCTGAGAGCTATTAACATCGAAATAATTTTTGGTTTTTATTTAACGATTTTGTTGCTGTTTGTTTGTTTTTTGTTTTGACCTCATCCACACACACACAGTGAACATAATTCATCCACATGAAAATGATCACTTTTGTATATAGATACATTGACAATATAATATATATACTCATTATACAACAGTCAATTTTTGTGTAAATGAAAGATTAATTAGAATGGATATGAATTTTTTACGAAACACATACACACACGAAATAAAAAAAACATGTAAATTGTTCAATTTATCACAAAAAATTTCATAAATTTTTGCTCGTTTAAGTGAATTTTTAATTTTTGCTGATGAGAATCGTGAGAGATTAGATGGATTTAGATTTTTTTTTTTTTTTTTTTGTTTTCCTACACAAATGACATATATTGGCCATTTGAAAAAAAAACAGATACTAATCAGATGATGAAACTATCGCCATTCATTGAGGTTATATAATAACCACAATTCGATTGACAGATTAATTATTATATATTTGCACATCACAAAATTGTGATAAACAAGAAATTAATTTTCAAATTTTATAGTCGAGTTTTTCAATTTTTTCAATTTTTTTCGTAATGAAAATTTTTCTTTTTTCAATGAATGTATAATTCCATTTTCGAGGAATCTTTTTGTTGTTGTTGTTGTTGTTGTTGTTGGACAGACTTCAGATATCGATGATAACCTTGAACGGGTAGTCTATATGAATCGAAGAGCAGAGAGAGAGACGGAAAGAAAAAAAGGGCCATTGAATGGCAAAAGCAAAGCAAATTTTTTTTTTTTTAGTTTTGAAGATAAACAAACAGAAAACTGAAACTAAGGTAAACTTGTACTGAATTTAAAATTCATCATCATAATGATGTTGATGATGATGATGATGATGATGAAAAAATTATCAATGACATCATCAGACATAATTACATCATCATCAACATAGATGAATGTTGATGTAGATTATCATCATCAAAAAAAAAAAAAAAAATTCGATTCGATGACTGACTTTTTTTTCATTGATAATCAAAACAACGTGCACGTTTTTTTATGGAACAAAAATTAGAACATCATCATGATGATGTTTAGAATATCATCATTTCATGTTCCAAACATTACCATGCTCATCATTAAATTGGTAATTTTAATGATGATGATGATGTTTATGACGGAAGACATTAGCCATAAATTTGATAACAATTTTGTCCAAAATGATGAAAATTGTATTTTTGTCGTTACTCTCTGTTTAACAAGAGAAAAAAAAACGGAAAATCTCTCTTCCATAATCAAGGTTCCTGTGATGATATAATCTTTTAAAATTTTAGGATCGATCGATAGATAATGTTGATGATAATTAGAATGAAATTAGTCATCTTTCTATATAATGCTCAATGACAAATTTTTTCGAATCTACATATTGAATGATGAGATTTAAATCTAGATCTTTTTTCGTTTTCGTTTTCACTTTTGAAAACAATTTTGAATTTGATCTCTTCAAAATTGCTCTTTAATCATCATCATTTCTTCCTGTGTCTTGCAAAAATTCATCAAGTGTTTTTTTTCTGAATTACTTGAGAAGGCTCTATTGAAACAATAAAAAAAAACAAACAAACAAAACAAATTCAGACACACACACACGCATACACAATTTGATTCGATATCAAATTGAATTATAATTTTTTCATCGATCAATTTGATCGAATGAATAGACAAATGAATGTCCACAACACACACACACACACACACACACCAATAAAGGTTGTCAAATAATTTATTTTTGTATATAGGATGCATAGTTTGAAAAACATTAATCAACATAATCCTTGATCCATCATAATCATCATCATCATCATCATCAACATAATCAACACGTTTTTTCATCCAATTCAATGCAATTCACTTGAATTCAATTTTCAAAATATTCAGAGAAGAAAAAAAAACGGTTGCCACCGTTATTCGATGTTGATAATCAAAGGTTGTTTTCTTTTCATCTTTCTCCAATATCCACTGAATTCATTTCATTTAAAATATTCCATTCTATATACACAATTATGATGATGACGACGACGACGACGACGACCTTATAGGCAACACACAAACACATTCACCATTCGAATTCAGTTGAGAAAAAAATGAAAGGGAGCAACAAAACAAAAGACAAGGATTTCGAAATTTTTTTTTCTCGTCTCTCAATGGATGATGGATGAATGAATGAAACATTTTTCCGTTGTTGTTGTCAAAATTCAATATTTAGACCTATGAAAACAAATTTTTTTTCATCCACAAAAAAGAAGAATATTCAGAATTATTACAAATTACGAAAGACACACACTTGTAAAGTGGGTTTTTATTTATTTTTTTTCAAAAATTTTTTTTTCACTTTAGAAAGACAAAAGGTATTTTTTTTACTTTGAGAATGACAATGTTTTTTTTTTGGGGGCGGAGAGGGAGTTGTATCACTTTTAACAAAAATTAAATTCATTTTTTAATGTTGTTTTTTGTTGTAGATCGATTGAATGAAATGTGTCTGTGTGTGTTTTGTATTGAATATTAATGATTATGATTATATATTGATGATGATTACATTGAGAGAAAAGGAAAAAAAATCAACAAAAACCAATATTGAAAAATAAATCCAGATCAAGATGTTTTTTTTCCCTTTTTGACATATAAAAGAATATAATTAAGATAACAGAAATCCATGATGATGATGATGAAGAAATTTCAGAAAGGCAAAAAGGGGTGATGTATATATTGAGTATGAAAGTGTGGGTGGTGAAAAAAAAAATGCCAAGCGAGCGAGAGAGAGAGAGATAGAGAGTGATGATAAAACAAAATAAAAATTGAGCGAAAATGAATCACACAATAATAAAAAACACAACAACAGATAAATCATTCATCATTGATATAAATGTCTGATCGATTGGTTAGGTTGTGTGTGTGTGTGTGTGTGTGTTTTTTCAGTCAATATTGTTCAATTGAACACATCTTTTGACATATTGAATTTTTTTTCTTGCTAAACAAAATCATCACGATTCATTTTCATTTTCAATAATAAATCTTTTGTCCAACGAAATGATTTCAATATAAAATTGAACATAAAATCATTATGTACTGAATGTGATGTATTTGTATGATTGAATGGTTCTTCCACACAAATAAAGGTATCCATCGATGTATGTGAATTACGTGCAAATATTGGATCAGTACGTTTCATTAATGAACCGGTTCGTACGGATATAACATAATCATAGATAGCTGGATCGGAATAATAATCAATAAAATGAGCAAATAATGAACCCATTGATTGTGTATTTGGTGATTTAAACAATGGTAATGATGATGTAGAATCAATACCAAAACCATGATAATTTTGATTCAATAAATCAAATTCATCGGCTGAATAACCAAATGTAGCTGAATTTAAATTTTCATCCGATGAGCTAAAATCACTTTTGCAAAGGCCATCCCAATAGTTTTGTGTAATCGATTGATGATAATGATCATTCGGTGTTAATGGCGGAGAAAGATTCAATAATGATAATCGATCATATAATGTACGGTCAAATGCACCATTATGATGAGCATGATGATGATGATGAAAGAATCCAGAATCAGAAGTCGACGATGATGATGATCTTGAAGACGATGATGACGCCGAAGATGATGATGATGATGATCCAGTACCAGCACCTGTTGTTGTTGGTGATGATCTGGATGAATCTGTATTATTTTGTTCATCAATAGTTGTTTTTGTTGTTGATACCAATGATTCCTCATGATTATTCATTTGATGATCATGGCTATCCTCATCTTCATCATTATCATCATCATCATCGTGGATATCATCAACTGGTGAACGAATTTTCGGTTGTTGTAATTGTTGAAAATCATAATCAACAACCGGAGGTGGTGGTGGTGGTGGTAGTAATATCGAAGGAGATGGAAAAGGTTGTTGTTGTTGTTGTTGTTGTTGTTGTTGTTGAAAAAAGTAATAATAATAGAAAGTAAAATAATTCATATGTAACGATGGGGGCGATGATATGGTGTTGTTACTTATTATTATTATTTTTATTATCAACAACAACAGCGAATGTCTTGCCATTACTATTTGATTGAGGTGGATTTCCTCCCACTGCATGATGCTGATGCTGGTGTTGTTGTTGCCATTTCCGAAATCCGGTGTTTTTCTTTTTTTGTTCACCGTTCATTATTGCTGTTGTTGATGATTGTTGTTGTTGTTGTTGTTGTTGTAGACAACTTTGCTGTGTTGCGAAGGTCATAGCAATGACAGCCGGAACATTATGGCTAAAATGTAAATTACAAATTTCATTAGACACTAATGTTGACGATGATTGTTGTTGTTGTTGTTGTTTATTTCCGTTATGATCCAAAATTATCTTATTATTACCACCTGTTGCTTCAATAGCATTATCCGAAGAAGAATCAAGACTAAAAGTACTTCCATTCAATGGTGGTGATGAACAACATGATGATGATGATGATGATGAAGATGATGCCTGTGAGCCACAACAATGGTCATTCTGTTGTTGTTGTTGTTGTTGGTGATGATAATTAAAATCTGGTATCAATGATACACGTGATATATTATTATTACGAGGAATGTTCATAGAATAATTTAATGATGATGATAGCAATGATGGTGGTGGTGGTGGTGGCGGTGGCAACACAATCAAATTCTGTTGCTGTTGATAATTATTACCATTACCATTAATATTATGTCGTTGTTGTAGATAATAATAATCAGCCGATGTAGTTACATACAATTGTCGTAACACTGAATCCTGTGGATTTTTCCTGATGATGATGATGATGATTGTTTTCGATTATTTGTTTTGTTGTTGTTATTTGAATTTGAATGAAAATTTGAATAAATTTTCGTTGATTGTTTTATCAATTCTAATATCTGATCAAATGATGGCAGAATTGGTGGTTGACATACATTTTGTAAGAAAAATATTGCCATCAATGATAATGCATATGATGATAATGATTTAAAATATGCACAATTAATACCATTCTTTTGTGCCCATAATTTTATGGTGAATAAAAACGGTGCAACTCTTGAATCTAATGAACAACAATGCATTAATAATAGGGTATTCTGTACGGTGACCAATTTGTTTATATTCAGATTAACTTCAATATGATTATGGTCATAAAATTTTAATATTGGTACATTTGCACGTATTACTTTTGAATCAAATGCCAGGCCACAACGTTCAAGTATATTACGTATACGTCCAAGTGTATATTCAGCATGAACACGATTCTGATAACGTTCATCCACCTGGCCACGACGATCATAGATCACCATACAAAGATCAATATCCGAACGATTTGAACCTAATGATGTTAATGATGAACCAATTAGAAATATTTTAAACTTTTCCTCCATAATCATCGCTAGACAACGTGTTATTGTATCTTGAACGGCACGTTTATAATCAAGAAGAATTTTTGGCTGTCTTAAATAGGTATACGTTTTTAGCAACATGTTTGACATTGTTGTATCAAGCCATTTTTGTTGTCGTTGATGATCATCATCAATAATAATCAGTGAATTATTTGATGACATTAAATCAATTTTTGGCTGAATAAAAGATGATGTTGTTGTTGTTGTTGTTGTTGTTGGTGAAAGTTGTTGAGAGATCATATCATCATTATCATTGGAATCAATAATATTATGAAAATCAACAAAAGATTGATTAAATTCACATAAATAGTGATGATTTAATGAATCATCATCAATATTTGTTGTTGTCGTTGTATTCATAATACTTGATAGAAATTGATTTGGATCTATTGCTGTGGCCAATGATGCTGTTGTCGTTGTTGATAGATTTTCATTTGAACCAATATTCGGCATTATAGTTGTGGCCGGTAAAAGATTAACAATTGTTGTTTCTGTTGTTGGATTATTATTAGTATCCAATACAATTATTGAATGATCATCAGTATGATGATTGCCATCATTTTGAGCAATTATTGATTGACCATCATTATTTTCTGATGCCATAATCATTGTTGTTAATTTTTTCGAATTATAATTGGCAAATTTGATTTTCATTTGATCATCATCATCATCAATATTGTCGATGACATAGTCATTTTTACATTTATGATTGATTAATAATGTTTGAGCTGTTTTGTTGGTACTGGCAATGGTGGTGGCAGTTTTTGTTATTTTGATTGCCTCTTCATCATCATCATCATTATTAACAACAGAAACCATAGGAACAACATTGTCACTATCATCATCATTGTTGTTGTTGTTGTTGTTGTTGTTGGTCTCCAAATGATTATCAGCTATAACAACCAAATTATCAACATTACAGCTACTATTAGTAGATGTATTTATCATTGTCGTTGTTGTCGCTGTCGCTGTCGCTGCCGGTGATGATGATACTGGTGGCTTACTTTTTTGTCGTTGATATTGTAGATGAAAAGGATGTCGTCGTGGAAAACCTGATGTCGATTGCTTTTGTTGAGCCATAATGGCAACAACAGACGACGATGAAGATGATGATGATGTAATAGCAGATTGTTGATGGTCACGATGTGTTGTTGTTGATGTTGTTTGCTGTTGTGGTCGACGATTATTATGATGATTATTATGGCCACAACCACGACGACGACGACCACCACCAACAACACGACCATTATGATGATGACGATAGCTATGATGATTATCATCAATCACCATTGAAGAAATGTTCATCTCTGATGGTTGCTGTTGTTGTTGAATTTGTTTGGAATAATTTTTAAAATTTCGAAATGAATTCATTTTTGTAGAAACAACGGTTGATTTTTCATCTATTTTCAAATGATTATGATTATGAACCATTGTTAATTTCGGCATTTGATGATAATCACTATCAGTTATAATCGATTGGATTTGTGTAGAAATAGGATGATTAATTGATGAATGAATAATTTGTTGTGAATTAATTTTTGAATAATTCAAATTCGATGGCAGCAACTGTAGCAATGATGATGAATTTGAATGATTTAGCAAAATATCATCAAAATGAAAAATGGCAGCAGAATTAGAACCAACAGTAATAGGCGATGATGTAGCAATATTCCAAGAAGAATCGAGATCATCAACAACGTGATTATTATTATTATAATAGTTTGTCGATTCAATTTGATTGAATTTTTTTTGTTTAAGATTCAATTTATTGTTGTTATAAATTAAAGCAAATGATGATGATGAACAATGTTTTTGGTTTTGATGATTTTGATGTTGGTTATGGTTATGGTGATAATGACGATGATGATGATGATGATGATGATGGTGGTGGTGGCGACAACTACAACGACGATTACTGCTACTACTATAACAACAACAACATCGAGTTGATTCAAAATGTTTAATTTTCGTTTTTATATCATCACCATCATAATCACAATTTTCATCATCATCATCATCATTATTATCATTATCATCCACCATTTTGGATTTATAATTTGTTGATATTTCATTTTGATGATTTATTTTGCTAGTATTTTTTTTATTTATCATCATTATTTGATGATTCTCAGTAACAGCTGCAGCAATAGTTTGATTTGGATTTTCAATGGATCGTTTTTTATCATTACCACCACTACTACCATCATCATAGTGATTGTTAATAATAAATCCATTTAAAGCTGATAATGATGATTTAATACCATTATTATCATCACATGTTATATTATTATGTGCATTATGATGATCATCATCATTTTTAAATTCATTTGAAAGTAGATCCGGTTGTTTCAGCAATTTGGATGATGATGATGATGATGATGATAATCGTAATTGATTATCGATATCAATTACGGATACGGATTCATCGGTGTTGGCAATTGTTGTGCTGGTGGTAGTTCTGTTGCTATTTGATATTGTTTGATTATTACCATTGATAAAATCATCATCATTATGAAACATTTGTTCAACAAGATTTTTGGCCAATAATTTCATGATCAAATCCAATCAAGAAAGAAAGAAAGAAAAAAAATTCACAAACAGAATTCAATGTTTAATTGGGGAGACCAATATAATAGATATATATCGTTGTCGTAATCGTTGTCAATGTTGGAAGCGAAGTTTTTCTTCGTTTTTTTTTCTCTTTAGTGAGGTTACACGAGTTGCTATGCACAAATTTATTTATTTATTTTCTTTCCACCACAAGTAGTATATGTAACAAATGTTTCGGGTTTCTCGATAATCTCGATCATCAACAAAACAAGGGGAGCACTTTTAAATTATGAACAATCTCCAAGGACGATGACGATGATGATGATGATGATGAATTCCAATAATTTTCTCTTTTAAGAATGGCAGATTTTTTTTTTTGCTTTGCTTTGCTTTAGTTTTCTTTACGTTTAAGATTCTAGGATTTTGTTTTTTTTTCTCGTTTGATGATAAGAAATAAAATGAGAAATATGTGTAGTGAAATAAAAAGTCAATCAGTGAACCAAAATTCATATACACCACACACACACACATCTATACATGAAATGGTTTGATGAACTTTTTCAAGGATTTTTTTTCACTTTTTTCTTCTTTTGATGACGATAATGATGCTATTTTCATCGGTGGATGATTATTTTTATCCAAAGAATTAACAAGAAAAAGAAGGATATGATGAAAAAAAACCAAAAATTTTTTGTGAATGAAATTTCAATAATGTGTTGATGATGATGATGATGAAAAAAAAATGAAAACGAAAACAAATGTGCAGCCGTTTGTTGTGAGGGAAATGAATCAAGAATCAAGAATCAATTTGGTTGGTCTCACACAATTGGATTAATTAATTTTTTTTGGCTTTTTTGGCTTGTTTGATCAATTTTCAGCAAAAGAATTAATGTTTTTTTTTCGTGTGTGTAGGCGATCATGAATGGTGTATAGGATTATCATTAGAATCATGGAATTTTTGTCAATTTTTTTTCTGCTTTTCATTAAAAAAACAGAATGAACCGATCGATGAATGTGCAGTAGTTGGCTGTTGGCTGCTGTTTTTTTTTCATCGATGATGATTAACGATTACGAATCATTTGATCGACTTTGATTTTTTTTTCTTCTTCTTCTTTTGCTATTTCGTTTTTGTTAATGTGGAAAAATTTTTGTTTTTTTTTCGCAATTTTCGATTACCAAAGTTGTCGACGAGGATTTTCTTTCTATTTCTATTTTTTTTTTACTCAATCACATCAAAACAAAACAAAAACAGGGCCAAAATCAGTATGCAGTTTGTTTGCGGTTTCAATTTCACAACACAGATCACTATCCAAAAATTGTTTATTTTTTTTTCTTCAAATTGTTGATTTCGATTTTTTTTTTTAACATTCGATTGTCGGAGATGTTGTTGTCATCGTCGTCATCGTCGTCGTCGTCGTCGTCGTCGTCTTAGTTGTTTTCATCTTGCCATTTCTCTCTTTCTCTATCGTTTTTTTGTTCTTTCTCTCTGTCTTATTTGAGGACAAGGACAATCATCAAAAGATAGACATTTTTAAGTAAAAAATTAAAATAAAAAAATTGTCGAGAATTGCCAACAAACATGGAACAAAAGTGTCAGTGGTCTTTGTTGATTATAATTGATGTGGTTTCAGTTTTAGCAACAACAAATCAAATTATATTTGGAATTAGAAAAACAAAACAAAACGTTGCTTCTAATATCTTCTCCAAGAATCGATTGATAAATATAGAGAAAAAAAACAAACAAACCAGAAACGGAAATACCAGAGAATATTATTTGAAGCTGAAATTTTATTTTATTTTATTTTTTTGTTCTGGGAAATTCCCATACACACGCACATATAGATGGATAAGAACAAAAATGATTTTTTTTGTTGTTGTTGTCAAATCACAGTATATGTTATGTGTGTGTGTGTGTATTTAAGATGAAAAAAATCGATGATATTGCAAACACCGAAAAAACAACAACAAGCAGACAACAAAAAACAACAACAACATCACATCATATACGGGATTGGAATTCTCTCACTTTCACTATCTATCAAAAATAAAAAAAAAAAAAAAAAAAAATTTAGATTCCAAATCACATTAAATAAATGATGATGATAATCTATTACCACCACTACAACTACAACTACTACTACAACAGAAATACAAATGAAATTATGTAGCGAATAAAAAAAATGAAAACTTGTTATTCATCAAAAAAACATTCAGAATCTAAATCTAATGTTTTTTTTCCAAAGAAAAAAAAAGGAGGGAAATGATGCTTAGCTTATGATGCTACTCCATCATTCTTTATTGGATGTGAAATTTTTTTTTCCAAAACACACACACATTCACACACAGAAAAAAAAACAACAAACTAGATCTATCTCTAAGAAAAATCTAGTGAAAGTAAATGAATCTCACCAACTTTGTCGATATATTAGTTTAGTTGGCTGGTAGTAGTGGTTGATATTTTTTTAGAAAAAGAAAAAGAAGAGAATATCATCATCATCGAAGAAAATGATAAATCTTTTGGATTTGTAGTGAAAAAAAAAGTGAAAGAGAAAGAAATAAAATTCGTAAATTCAGAAGAGAAAAAAATTTTTTCTCTCTCTCTCTATCTTTTCAAATATGAAAAGAGTACATACATACACAACACACACTTTCACACTTGTTTTTTTTACCATTACGAAAATCAAACACATACATTTATTATCTCACAATCTTCAACATCATCATCATCATCTGTAGTGGTGGTGGTGGTGGTGGGGAATATTCATTGATCAAGGTTATTTTTTCGTTTCGGTTTTCTTTTCGATGATTTGGCAAAAAAAAAAAAATTTAGTTTTCATTCTTGATTCTTCTTCTTCTTCTGCTCATTTTGATGATGAAAACTTGAAGATTGGCTTTTAAAATGAATGTACATTCAGAGAAAACAATCATCAACCACTAATCTAACCTAATCAAAGTTACAATCTTCAGAATTTTATTTCTTTTATATACAAAAAAAAAATAATCAGTGAAAAGAAAGAGGGAAGAGAATCAGAGGATCAGATAACAACAATAAATTGATGCCATTAGCAAACACACACACACACACACACACGGTAGCAATCATAGATTCCAAATTTGGTTCTCAAACAGAGATTGTGGATTGTATTGTATTTGACAATTACATAAAAAAAACACAGTCATTCAATTTGTTTGTTGATTTACTGTAATTTTTCTCTTCTTATTTTTTTTATTACTTAAGGTGTCAAGTGTTTGTATGTCAATACACGTATTGTCTAAATGGGATAAAAATTTTCATTTTACTCATTCTAGCCAGGGCGAAACATTTTTTGGATTTTAATTTTGTTCCGGTCATGTACATCGGTGTGTGCGTGTGTGTGTTTCTGATCGATTAATTGTAATCAAATCAAAAAAAAAAAAAAAAAATTCATTACTAATCGATTCGAAACTGGCAACATAATTAGCAACTATTATTACATGTTTTGCAAAAAAAAACAAATTATAAATTTCATTCGAGATTTTTAATAACAAAATTTTATCGTGCGTGTTGTGTGTCAAACAAAATTCATACAATGCAATTTTCACCAGGTTTATATTATTGCCAAAAAGACAATGAAATGAATATGTTTGACAAAAAAAAAAAAAAACAAACAAATCCCACTAAACTAATGACCTAGATTATTGTGTTGAATGTCAAATTTATTTGAATCAAAAATAAATGGATAGCTAGATGAAATTCGAATGATAAGAATATATTTTTTTTTTTACTTTGAATAAAAAATCAACCACCTGATGATGACGGTGATATTTGTAGCAGTAGTAGTAGTGGTAGAAAATAAAAATTCCTTTCCACCACAAATCATCACACTACTAATCTAAATTCAATCACCAAATTTTTTTTTGTTTGTTTGTAGTTTTCAAGGTTATAAATGGAAAAACAAAACAAAAAAAGAGTTCCAAAAAAAAAATTTTTTGGCAGCACACAGGTGATAATTCCAGATTGTGTTTTCAATATCTCATGATGTTACTCAATCAATCAATCTCACTATTAAGTCATCAATTTCACAATTAAAACATAGCGATCAAAATATCAAAAAAAAAAAAAAAAAAATCAAATCGATCAACTTACCATTTATCGCAGGAAGATTTTTTTTTTTTTTTTTTTAATTTCTTGGAAAACAAATAAAAAGATTATCCACTTGTGTTGCTATTATGGATTATCACAGATCAATAAATCGATATAAAAAGTTAATGAGACTGTGTGTGTGTGTGTGTGTGTGATTTTTTTTCAAAATTTAATCCATTTTCCAATGAATTTCATTAACTTTTTAATAAATTTCACTTTGTCGTTGTTGTTGTTGTTGTTGAACTTGACAACTTGTTTGAAAGATTTTTTTTTCTGTTTCACTAGACGGCTGTTCATTTATTCATTCATTATAATCCTCTTCGACGAATATTGATTATATTGATTCAACAAATAAAATGAAAAACAGCAGGTGAACAAAAATAAAATGCCATTGAAAAAAGATTATCGTTTTTGTTTTTACTTGTAGCGAAGATAAAATAAAATTTGAATATTCACAACAATCTTGATGTAAAAATGTGTTCGGTTTGATGTAATGATGATGATGATGATGATATGTGTGTGTGTTACATCACAGATTTCACGTTTTGTAAGGTGTAAATGTTGAACAAAAAAATTCACAGAAAAATCAATTCAATCAATTGATAGTGATTTTTGAAATCATTTCTTTTTTCCTTTGAATCCGTTGATTATTTATTATTGGCTAAAAATAGCAAAATTTTGTCATTTTAAATCAATTCATTTATATATCCTTGACCAAAATGTTTACATACATACATAAATATATGATGATGATGACCACCGGACTGATCCATTCTGATTGATTCAATTAAAATTGGCCGATTGATTTGATTTGTTTTCTTGATTTTTAATCTTTGTAATTTGTCATTGTCGCATGATTTCAATGCGTGTGTGTATGCTTTTTTTTAATTTCTTCCAATTAATCCTTCATCGTCGATCGTAATCATCATTACTTTGTTGCTGTAATTCGCAGAAATTGCCTACAGGGCAAGCACTGTGAACAATATTCATCATTATAATGGATGTAATGATCTGTGTAAAAGATGGCTGCATTGAATGAATTGTGTTCAAAATTCCATTCATGTGACAACAACAAAAAAAAGGTCTAATCGTCATAAATATGAAATAGGAAGATTTTTTGTTTGTTTCACTTGTAACAACGATGAGAGATAATCAAACGATCATTTTTATTATTTGTTTCAATCAATTGTTTCAATGTTATTTGCGATGATGATGATGATGATGATGATGAATAAATGAGCATAATCAATCAATTGAATATGGAAATGAACAACAAAAAAAACAAATTCCATTTTGAATTCAATTTTTTTCACAATTTTCGAATCAAGGTTGACCATACAAAAAAAAAAACAAAACATTGGTTCGAAAATGCTATTTCCACCTAGATCATCATCATGTTCTATTGACGAACAAATAGAATACTTTCAAGGTGAGAAAACAAAACAAGACATTCCAATTTTCCAATCTTATCTGTTTGTGCGTTCATCAGATCTCAATTTTAATCGTGCCAAATTCAAATTTTTGTTGTTTTGTTGTCTTTGATTATGTTATCATTCAAAGACAAGACAAGAAAAAAAAACAATTTAAATTGATCATCATTATCATACGACAATTTTTTTTTGTTTGTTTGTTTCTAATCAATAATGATCAACCAATCAAGTCTGTGCTAATAAATGAGAACATGTAACAAATAAGAAACAAAAAAAAAATTGCTCAAAGTTCAATTGTTTTGTTATTTTTGGTATTTTATTTTTCATTTCCCAATAAACTTGTGGCCTTCAAAGGAACAAGAACAAAACAAAAACAAAAACAAAAATTCGAATCTTATATAACTGAACGTGCTTGTCATCGATACTGACAATGAATGAAAGAATTTTTTCTTCTAAAAAACTTTTCCAGACAAATAAACAAACAAACAAGCAAACAATTTGATAAAATGGTGATCCATTCGATTGTCATTGATTTATTATAGTGAAAAAAAATTGATGAATGAATACATTAATTGATTATCTTTGAATCACACATAAATAATTTATATCGCCTAATTCCATTTATAAACAACACATGGACAACGCCCATTATAATCAATGATTTTTCATTATTATTATTATAAAGCTTGTTGTTTGTCGTTGGAATTCTAAAAATAAAAAAAAAATTATCACGTAGCCATTCGAATCAACCACCACGACAACACTAACAACAACAAATTCAATGCCTATTTATAAACTTGATGATCAATTTTTTTTCCTATCGAAAACATTCTTTTGACCTTTTTCAATAATTTTTCTCTTTTGTTTTCTTTTCAACCGGAAAACAATTATTTCATCGTTATTTTGATTATCATATCTGATCATTATGATTGTCGATCAATTTTAATTTGTTTATAATAATTTGTTTGTGTATGAATAATAGTAATAATTTACCGGATTGATAGGTCGCGTTGTTTGTTCCATTCGATCCATCACAATGGTGTGTGTGATCAATGAGCCATTTAATTTGAAGACTTTTTTCCTTTTTGTTTCATTTTTTTTTTGCAATAGTCATCGATCGACTTATAATTAACCTTTTTGGGTGATAATAGAAAAAAAAATTTTCTTTATTGAATAATAATGATTCGCGTATCATTGATATATGCAGATATCCTGTTTGTATGTGTGTGTAATGATGCGAAGCCTGTGTTTTTTTTTTAAATTCCAAAACAAACAGTGAAATTGATAATTTCCAGGAAGTAAATAAATGTATTGGATGTGATGTGATGTGATTTGAATTTTTTTTTCACTATTTTTTCTAATTTTTGATCTGATTTCTTTTTTCTCTAGCCAGAAGTTGGAATGATTGCCTGCAATGATGCTATGTTATTGGAATGTTTTATTTATCAACTATTACATGAACGTATTGGCCAACATCGATCATATTTGGATATGATCAATTTGATACATAAAGGATTTCGTGTTACATCCATCGGTCAATGTATGGATGTGTTGACGGAAAAATCACTGAAAACCACCATAAATCACCACGATTTTCGTGGTAATAATTTTCAAAATTTCCATATTGAACGTTATCGTGAAATTGTTGCACATAAAACATCATTTTATTCATTTGTATTATCCATTCGTTTGGCACTTTATCTGGCCAATTATGATGATCCTGGATTGCATTCAGAAATTGAAAAAATCCTAATGAACATTGGTGAATTATTTCAAATACAGGATGATTTTCTTGATTGTTTTGGTGATGCCGAACAAATGGGCAAAATCGGTACCGATATACAGGATGGTAAATGTTCATGGCTAATAGTACGTGCATTAGAATTGGCAAACGATCAGCAACGAAAATTATTGGAACAATATTATGGTAACAAAAATGATGAATCGATAATCAAAGATTTATATCGACAATTGAATCTTGTACAGGAATATCAACATTATCATTGTCAAACATTGACCACCATTATTGATAGTATTGAACGATTTCAGCAACAAATGGATCAAATGATATCAAACAAATTGTTCAATGAACCATTAACGCATGTATTTATAGGACGTGATTGTTAAGAATCAATAACAACAACAACAACAACAAATAAAATGTCAATTATTTCACAGTATAGATAATTTTAGAATGCAAAATCAAATTGACAACGACAAGCAGTAATCATCTCTTTCTCTCTCTCTCTCTGTCTCTTGCGTAGAGTTTGTGAATGTACAAAAATTTTTCCCTTTACATAACATTCCATACACTTGAATCAATCAAAAAAATGATGATATGATAATCAAATAAACAACAACAACAAAAAACCAACAGCAAAGAAAGATTTGACTGTTTTTGTCAAATTTTGATAATTAACATAGACAACAACAACAACAAATTTGTAGCCAACGAAAATAAAAACAATAAAAAAAAAAAAAAAAAACCGACAATTTGAAAATTCATATATCGAACCATTGATTATTGATGATTTATTTCAAGAAAAAAAAAACTAACGATAAGTGTTGCTATGGGCGACGATGCTTAGACCAAGACCGTTATTTTTTATTTTCTTTGAAGAATTTTTGAAATTCAACATGAAAAAAACATTGAAAAAAATGGCAAATTTATGCATCAGTTTCATTGTTTTTTGATCAAATCATTACAATTAATTGATGTAAATTATCTTTTGCTGTGTATGTGTATGTGCATTTTTTTTTTTTTTTTAATCATAAGGGAAAACATTTAAAATTCCAATTCAATAAATAATGTTTGCATGGGAAAAAAAATGACTACGAAATTCAATTTTTTTTTCATGCATTTCAAATTCATTGTGTGTGTGTGTGTGCGTCTGATTTTTGCACGTGTTTATTTTTGTTGTCTAATTGCCATTGTCTTTAGTGGATACTTAGTTTTTTTTTCTCATTTTAGTGTTTAGTTGTCGAAAATTCAATGTCATTTAATTATCGAAACACACACACACATTTGATGAACGCCCAACGATCATCATCACCATCATCATCGTATTCATTTTTTCTTTATGCGTTGATGAGATTACATGCGTGCTGGATTATCATCATTGAAAATTAAAAACGAAAAAAATGTGATAGGTAAAACGCGTTTTCTAGTTCGAATTTTCAGGGTGTATTCAGGGGTTCATGTTTATTATTTTTCACAAATCGATGATATTCTTGGAATTGAACAATCCGTCCATGTTTATTATTTATTTTTTGTGGAGAAATTTAATATATCAACATTATCATTCAATATATATTTACTTGATAATTTTTGTTTTCTTTTGCAGATAGACAAAAAAAAATGATGAATTTGTCCTTGAATGATAATAATGATAATAAACGAATTTTTTTTCATCATCATCATTCATCATCATCATCGTTATTGGCAGCAATGATGAAAAAAATTGTGCTGGTGATAGTGTTGTGGTTGATAATAATAATTATTCTAATGGACAAAACAATATGTTGGTGTGTATGTATCAGCAGCAGCAGCAGCACTAGCAGTTCATTTTGATAGAAACAAAATGAATGATGAACATGAATAAAAACTTGATTCAGAAATAGCAAATATGTACTTATCACGTAATGAATTGATTTTTTTTTTTTTGTTATTTTCTGGTTGTTATAACTGTCATCATCATCATCCATAATCGTTGATTGGTAACCAAGACGAAAAATATTTCTTCTTCGTCTTCTTCGTTTACTTCGAAGTTGTTGTTGGCGCATACATATAAAAATACATTCGTGACAATTTTTTTTTTCATTCATTCAGTTGTTTTTTCTGGTATCATTAATTCAGACGGTTGTTGGTGATATTTATTTTTTCTTCCAAGTTTTTGTTTTGTTCATTGGAAAAAAAGTTTCTATTTTTATTCATAAAAAATTCGAAATACCATGGCCCAAGTGGAAGTAAAATATACTCAGGTATGACGATGATGATTTCATTTGAATTTTTCTTCATTTTTGTTCAATTGTATCTCAATAACAAATGTTTTAGATTTTCATCAACAATGAATGGCACGATTCGATTAGTGGTAAAACATTCGAAACAATCAATCCATTTACTGAGGAAAAATTGGCCAATGTACAAGAGGGTGATAAAGCCGATATAGATCGTGCTGTTGCTGCGGCTGTTGATGCATTTCGTTTTGATTCACCATGGCGACAGATGGATGCATCACAACGTGGTCATCTGCTATATCGTCTTGCTGATCTTATTGAAAGAGATCAAGATTATATTGCTAGCCTGGAAAGTATGGATAATGGTAAACCAAAAACAATGGCATTGTTCGATGTTGATTTGGCCATCAAAGTTTTTCGTTATTATGCCGGTTATGCTGATAAAATTCATGGTAAAACCATTCCAGCAGGTAATTTGATTTTGATTTTGAAACCGATTCGAATCGTATCAAAATTCATTATTATTTTGATATTTCATCAATAGATGGCAAAGTGTTCGCTTTTACACGAATCGAACCTGTTGGTATTTGTGGTCAAATCGTTCCGTGGAATTTTCCGTTTTTAATGGCTAGTTGGAAATTTGGACCAGCATTGTGTGCCGGAAATACCGTCGTATTGAAACCAGCTGAACAGACACCGGTAATTACTAGGAATTTTTTCTCCTTGATTTATTTTCTAATTTTATTATTTCAATTCCGAATAACCATAGTTAAGCGCTCTATATTTGGCCAGTTTAACTAAAGAGGTTGGATTTCCACCCGGTGTGGTCAATGTTGTACCTGGTTTCGGTGAAACAGCCGGTGCAGCTTTAGTTGATAATCCAAAAGTCGATAAAATTGCCTTCACTGGTTCAACGGAAATCGGTAAATTAATCATGCGAAATGGTTCACATTCAATGAAACGAATCACACTGGAATTGGGTGGTAAATCACCATTGGTAGTAACTGAAAATGTTGAAGATATTGCACAGGCTGCACGTACAGCACAGGATTCATGTTTCCTGAATATGGGCCAATGTTGTTGTGCCGGTACCCGACATTTGTTCATGAATCAATCTATGATGAATTTGTTAAACATTCAGTGGAATATTGTCAGTCACATGTATTTGGCAATCCATTCGATTCAAAAACTGCATTCGGTCCACAAGTGGATAAAACCCAGATTGAATCGAATACTTGAAATGATTGAATCTGGTAAACAGGAAGGTGCCGTTGTGTTGCCGGTGGTAATCGTATGGATAAACGTGGATATTTCGTTGAACCAACTGTTTTTGCCGATGTTACCGATGGGATGCGAATTGCACGCGAAGAAATTTTTGGTCCAGTACAACAGATTCTTAAATATAAAACACTGGATGAAGTTATTGAACGTTGTAATGATACAAATTATGGTCTAGGATCGGCTATACTCACCAATGATATTAATGAAGCAATGAAATTTTCACGTAGTATTCGTGCTGGTTCCGTTTGGATCAATATACCATACATGATACCGGTTAGTGTACAAACACCATTCGGTGGTTTCAAAGAAAGTGGTGTTGGCCGCGAACTTGGTGAAGATGGTCTTCGTGGTTATGGTGAAATTAAAACTGTTGTCATTATGGATCGTGAAAAGAAAATGTAAAGAAAAACCGAAAAAAAAATTTTTCTATTTCAACAAACAGTTGAAATATATCCATTTTATCCAGAATAAAAATTCGAATTTAAATTAGAATTTTTTGAAATTTTCATTTTTGCTTTTTTTTAAAAAGAAATTTTATTTTTATTACCAATTACCCAATATTATATGGATCAAACGATGATTGGTAATAAAAACAATCATCATCAACAACATTCCATTTGGTCATCGTTGATGACTATTGCCATTTCTTTATTAATCATTATTGTTTGGTATCTGATTGTTACCCACAATTGTACGGAACAAATTCGTTCTTCAACACAAAAAATTCGTATATTACCATCACCTTTGGCGCGTCAATTCAGAAATCATCAACATGAAAATCATCAAATGAACAAATGAATGTAAGTTTATTAGTTTTTTGGTACAAATTAATCATTTACAACATATAAAATTGGTCAACAATGATGGAATCGTGATTCTATGGAATAATCGTTGATCCAGATTTGATGACCAAAAATGATTGAGAAAATCGTTGAAAAATTTATTCAAATCTCTACCACGTGAATATTGGCGTATAATGTAAATTTTGGCTTGAATTTGATGACCATAATCAATGATTTGTGTACGTGAAACATGTGACGATGTTGATGAATGTTCGGTGGACGATGATTCCATACTGATGAATCGTATCGTTGGATCATTTTCACATGCCAACATATAAACATTATTATTGAGTGAAGAATTTTGTTCACGAAATTCTGTAACAAAAACAAAGAAAACATTTACTATAAAGCAACGAAGACAAATTATATTACACCCACTATTTAGCCAATATTTCATACGTTGAAATGTTGCCGGATTGGACATCTGACAAACACCAACAATGGCTTGAACATTATCAAAATAGATTGATGCCAATTGATCGTAACGTTGAAATTGGATGATCATATTCCATATATCCAATGATATGATTCGATTCTTGTGTTGACTAAATCAATGAAAAAAAAACAGAATCAATAATGGAAAGAATAAGCAATTTTTGTCATTATTCTTACTTACAATCGAAGTGTATTCAATTGAATACCCATTGCTGGTTGATGACCTAATTGATGATTTTTTGAATACTGGTGTTTGATACATTTTTCATGATTGATAAATAAATCCAATTTACTTGATTCGGATAATGATCCGACTAGTAAAATTTTTGGATTCTTCTTAGATTCAGATCTTGATGGCATGATGAAAATTTTTTCAATTTTCAAAATAAAAAAAACCACGTGTTTTTAGTGTGAGAGTGCATACGCGAATGGGTCAAAATGATGAAAAAACAAAATTCAAAACGTTTGTCTATCTATGTGTGTGTGTGAGTAAGTGTTTATTTCGTCCAAGGACAAAAAGTTTCAATTTGGACATTGAACATGAAACCAAACAAACAAACAAACAAACCAGCATTATGAGCAAAAAGTTTTTTTATTATTTATATTCAAACAGCCAAAGAAAAAAGAAAGAAAAGTTTCATATGAAATTGCAAATGATGATATGATTTGAAGAAGAAAAATCATATCAGAGAAAATGATACGATTCTTCATCAATTTTTAGCCAAAAAAACGTCCCAAAATTCCACGTTGAAAAAACCATCTTATACCATTAGTTTGTTGATCATTTTGATTATAACGTGGATAAAAACGACCGATTATGGATGATTGTCGTCGAATTTCACTGCTACCACCACCAACACCACCAATCAAACCACGACCAATGGTAACTAAACTTCGTATGACAGTCGATTCAGCCGATGGTATCATCAACGAACCAACAATGGCCAAGATGAATAAAGTCTATATATATATGGAGAAAGAACAAGTGGATAAATAAATAAATAAAACCGTTCCAGATTTACAATAAAAAACAAAAAAAAAATGATACATACAAAAAACAAGTTGGTTTTCATTTTCTTTTTCGATTCGGGTAAATAGAATACGGTAAAAAAAAATTCGGACAAATTATGACGAGTGGAAAAAAACAACCAAGTGTGTATGTCTTGTTTGAGTTTCCAAACTTGAACTGATAGACCAAGAGAATCTGGCTACCGATATTTATAGTCGAAAAAATTTTTGATCCAGGCCATAGCCATGGTCAAATTGGACGGTCCATCAGAACAAAAAAAAGTTTTTTTACCGTGTACTAGGTTTTTTTATTACACCTGTTGTTTGTGTGTTATCATGATTGTAATACACTCATACACACACACACACACACATTGCTTAGCGATAAGACGACCATATAATAACCCTTTTTTTCTAATCTTGTGATAATAAATGACGACGATTTGGGAATTTGATTTTCCCTACATTTTTGTTCTTATCAAATCAAATCAAGAGAAAAAAAACGAAAAGATCGATTTATTGATCGACCGTTGTTGTTGTTGTTGTTGTTCAAAGTTCAAAGCTGTTGGTATTATGTTGAAAAAAGTTTTTTTCTAAAGAAAAAAAAAGATTAAATTCATGGCAAAACCAAAAAAAAAGAGAGATCAATTTTTGATTTTTTAAAAATTTTGAAATTTTTTCGATAGCAAATGATTGGAAATCTCGTGTGTTTGCTTCAAGCATTTACACATTTCCGTGTGTTTGATTTTTATGTTTACAAATGTAACATTGTTTCGAATTTGTAAATCGAATCGAATCGATAATAATCAAATTCCAATCAGATGATTCCAATTTGTTTTCACATTAGATCAATAATCACCAATATCGATTAGTATCCATTGCAGTGAATAATAAAGTATCAATTTTGGAATTTGATTAAAGATCTAGATCATATTTAAAAAAAAAATGGTTCAATTTGATTCGGTCATTTCATTTGACAGCCAATGGTCAGTGAGTGTGTGTGTGTGTGTGTGTGTAATAAACAAAATAATAAAACGAAAAAAAAGTTTTTCATCCTTTTCGCTCATTATTTAGCAACACACCTACAAATTTTTATTTTCTCTCGTGTTTGAATTATTGGAAAAAATGATGGAAATTCACCTCTTGAACATTATCATTATTTGGAACTTGAATAATGAAGAACAAAAAAAAATTGAAACTAATTTACGACCTTGTTGTGCATATATATACGATACACAACGTGTTTTGTTTGTTTGTTTCGTGTTTATGTGTGCGCACATCACAACACATATTCATGACAATCAAAATGAAACCAATCTTGAATTTCATGCCATTTTTTTTTTTTTTTTTCGATGATTTGATTTGATCCAAAAGAACAATTGACCATTTCGTTGATTGTGATCAAATGATTATCATCATCATCAGTATTATTATAATCGGATGAATGTAGAAAAAACATACATTTTTTTACATGTCTAGAGTCTAGACCGTTTTTTGTGTGTGTGTGTTCGTTCATCATTATCATGATTATCGAATCATTTGATGTGACTTGAAACACACACATGTTTTTTTCATATAGACATCACTAGAGAGAGAGAGATATATATTGATTTATTATTGATCACCATTATCATTATGATGATTTCAAGGTGAAAATTTATTCAGTGTGAACACAACTTAAGCAGCTGATGTGAATTTGTAATATATGAAAAAACACACACACACACACAATGGCAACATCTTTTGAAAATTTTTAAAACATTTTCTAATGTCGATCAATGTCAATGATGATGATGATGATCACTACATATCAGGCAAATTAAGACATTTCAAATCATCATCATACATTTTAACATACAAACAAACTAAAAAAAAACTAAAACACACGACAATCATCAATCCAAAAAAAAGGCGAAACAAAAATTTTATCTAAAAATAAAAAAAGAGAGGAAAAAATGCCAATCGTAAAGCTAATCATCATCAGTATCATGAATTTAAATTCAAAATCTTGATTCAAGAATGATTAGGTATGTTGATGATGATGATGATATTGACATTAACTTTTTTTCCAATCATCATCAACAATGGGCATTGAAAATCATGATCAAGATCAAGATGTTGATGATGATTAGCCATTGAAATTATAAAAATAACGGCTCAACTGGTCATGTTTTCTTTTTCTCTCTCTCGTTTTTCACCAAACTAATAGTTGGTTTTTGTTGTTTTCAAAAGTCTATCATCATCATCATCATCGTTGTTGTTGTTGTTGTTGTAATATATATCATGTAACAATCTTTTAGGCTTAAACAAAACAAAAAATCAATAAGATGAATGATTACCACACACACACACACACAGACAGACAGAGATACATGATTGATATGAATTTACATCATCAGCTACACACCTACCTGTGATCCGCATTTGAAATTGTTGTTGTTGTTGTTGTTTATATTCATCGATTAACAAGTTGATTTTCATCATTTTTTTTTCTTTCATTGTTGACCATCCAATATTAATCCATGACAGATTATCATTGTTGGTCAACAATAAAAACAATTCCATCAATTTCATTTAAATTTAAATTCATCATTATTCAGATGACTAACTTGTTTTCTTTCTTCATTCAATCTGGTAAAATAAAAATGAACTAGCTGAACCGATCAATGGAAGGTGATGATGAATTCAATGTGTGTTCTGCATCTGGTTGAGGGTTGAAGGATAAAAATTTTGTGTGTGTGCATGTGTGTGGTTGACTTCTTTTCGGTTTTTCTGAAGAAAAGAAAAACTTGTTTATAAATTTTCGAAACCAGAATACATTCTCCTAAAATTACATATATAAATATAAACATACATCAAATTCTAACCGATTCAAAAGATGACAAACAAAACAAAACAAAACAAAACAAGATTGCATCAACATTTATTGTTGTTGTTGTTGCTTGCTTGCTTGCTTACTTGTTCAACCGGGTTTTTTTGACCAATCATCGTTGTTGTTGTTGTTGTTAATGTTGTTCAACTTTTTTTTCTTTCATAAATTATCCGAGTATCGCTTGTTCGTTCATCATCATTCTCTTTATTCACCATCAATCTACATTGGATACGGACAATGTTGTTGTTGTCGTCGTCGTCGTCGTTGATGATAATATCCATGAATCCAACAATCAAATTGATATACCAGCTGGCTATTTTTTTATTTTTTTCGTTTTCGTTGTTGTTGCCATTAGTTGCCTTAAATGAAATTTCGTGCTTCTTGTCTCTTGTGATATTCATAAGTTGCAGTTGTTGTTGATGTTGTCTGGGCAGACGATATTTTGAATTTTAAACAAAAAGAGAATGAACAGAAAAGAGAGGAACTTTTTTTTCGAATAAAAAAGAGATTTTCGTATTCATCATCATCATCATCATCACGATGATCATCCGAAGAAAAAAAACAGTATCACAGCAGTAGCCATTCACAAGACATTGGTGGTGATCGGGTAAACACATACTCACATGATTGTTTCAAATGAACTACGATTCAAGAAAAACAACAACAACAACAACATTGGCCAACAAATGTTGTTCAGTTTTATAAGACTTTTGTTGTTGTTGTTGTTTTCTTAGTTTGTTGCATTCTCCATTGATTCGGAAACAAACAAAAAAAAATTTGAATTTCATCATGAATATTTCGTTCAAGTGTATATGTGACATTTGAAATGAAAATGAATTTCCTTGAATGTGAATCATAATTCTGTCCACATATGTTTTTTTGTTTTTTGATATCTGATGATTGTGTGCTTCATTACAATGGAAAATGTGTCCATCCATTCCATTTCATTGTCGTTTTTCATCTGTGCTATATATTTATATTCAAATTTTGACAACGGAATCAGAATGAATGAAACAATATGACGAGATATTAGCATATGTTGTGTCCTTTTGTTTTGAAGTCATCATTTAGTAGCTGATTGTTCCGCATTTTTGATTCATTTGGTGGTTGTTTTAAACAGTGAACAATCTTCAAATATAACCGGCATTCTAATTTTTCCCGGAATTGGTATGTAATTTTTTCTTTCTTTCTTTTTTTTTTTTTTGTTGAATCATTAAAATTTCATTGATCGATTATGTTGATGATGATGATGATCATTCATCATTATGAAAAAAAACAAATCGTGACATTACCATCATTACATATTCAGCAGCATATATTTGACGTTGAATCATAATCAATGATGGATTTAAATTTCTTTGTTTTTCTTTCGATGTAAAAGACAACATTTCTGAAATCCAATCCAATCCGATACATTTAATGATCATAAATAATCCGATTGAACAATCGTTCCATAATTTTAAATCATTTCTTCATTTGTTTGTTCAAATCTTAAATTCAATCCATGATTATGTTATCATTAACGATGATGATGATGATGATGACTCTTATTTTATTGGAACGAAATCAAAAACATCTTTGACATCATAATAATCGTCATCATGTAACTGTAACAAAATTTTCATAATAAATATTAATAGGTATTAATAGAAGATAAAAAAACAATGTTTATGAAATGGCTAAGGTGATTACTTACTTAATTGGTTTTTTTTATGATTCAAAAAAAAAAAAATTGTCGTGGTCATACAAACATGACAAATGATGATGATGATGATCAGATCCTCATTTCATTATTCCATTCAGCCAATATTAAAATAATAAACATCTGCTTGCCATTGATGCTTCATGCATGATGATCCATTTTTTATGGATCGACCAAAACAACAACAACAACAATCATTATCACGATTGTGATGATGATGATGATGATGATGATGATCTAAATCTTTTTTTTCATCATGAGAAAAAAAATATGTAAAACCAATCAGCAATCCATGTCGCGTATTCTTTGCCATTCGTGCCAAAAGTGAAAGAAACAAAATTTTTTTTTCTTAAATTAATATCTTAAGGCTGTAATTTTGAATATTACAACAACAAAAGTTGAAATCTGCTTGAATTCAGATTAAAATTATCCAGATTTTTCTTTTTCTTCTCGTCTTCGTTGTTGTTGTTGTTGTTGAATCAAACATTCAAATTGAATCATTCATTGTCATTGGTGGTGGTGGTGGTGGTTATCTATCCAATTCTTGTTGTTGATCTAATTTTCTTCAGGTCAAGTTCATTATTCAAAATTTGATTACATTAAAAAAAATTCACATGTTTGTCTTGTCGGGATCTGTCATCAACAACACATTATTCTGAATGAATCAATGTCGAAATATTCGTTTCCATGTAATCATCATCATCATCATCATGAGGCAATATTGCAATCAACCAAATCACCAAGACAACAATAACGAACCACTATCATTATTATTCGTAGGTTATAAACAATTGTAAATAAAACTATTGCCAATGTCAACGGCCGTCGTATCTGTGTACATTGCTTGATTGCTCGGTCAACGCCTCATTCACATATTTGATCATTTTTTTTCATCATAATTCCATCAACGGTCACTTCTTGAAAGTTTATCAGGAAAAAAAACATCATCCAAATATCAAAACGATTTTATATGTGAAAATTTCAATTTCAAATTTAAATCATAACTTCGATAATGATGATGATATCATTTCAAGGTATGTTGCCCATGTGCAATTTAAATAACATTTTATCTTGTTGTTGTTGTTATGGCGATGATCATTATTACTGAAAGAAATAGAAAGATTATATGTGATTCTGATATATTATATTAACTTACGTTATTTATGTGTCTTTGACAAAAAAAAAGAAAGAAACGATATCATCATCAGCCATGATGGTAAATGGTGATGGCAGTCAATGATCAGTCATCCGATATATAAAGTAATAACGGAAAAAAATGATAAAGTGAATGTATCGAAAATTTGACAATACGGTTGAATGAATGAAAATAATGATAATGATGATGATGATGATACCGGTTTATATTTTGTCGGTTGATTGTTGGTTATATTGAAACCAGATAATAAAAGATACTCACCCTACCCTACAAGGTATTGAGATTCATTGAAATAAATTTTACCGGTGAAAAAAAAACATTCATTCATTTCAAATTTCGATTCGGTTGGCCAATGATGATGAAAATTATTTGAAATGTTTTTTCGGTTTTCGGTTCGTCGTATTTGTGGCCATTTTCAAATTGACACCAAACAAAACAAAAAATCATTTCAATGTTTCAATTTTACATTATCGAATCTTTTCATTTCATGGCTATATCGACTTTGGTGGTTGGCCAGTGTGCATCGAATGATTTTCTTCATATTCATGATGATCGTGTTGATGATGATGGATTGAATTTAATTCAGTTGAAAAAAAATATCTTGAGGTTCATTGCATTGGCATCATAATCATCGGCAACAATTTTCAATCAATTTCATTTCATGGAATCAATGGATCAAATGTGTAACAACAAGGATTTTTTTTTGCATTGTTTTTCTTAAAAATTTCGTTGCTGAAAGACAAAACAAAACAAAACAGAAAAAACATTTTTCATGTCATTTCGTAATTGACCAGGAATTTCCTTGAAAAATAATAATAAAATGAAATGAAAAAAACGATTTGATTACGACAACGAAGCACCTGTAACAAAATTTGATGGTGAAATTTTCGAGTTTTTCTGTTGTTCTTTCTGAGTAACAGTAACAGCAACAAATGGCATATATGCAAATGGCAGATAATAAATTTTGATAAATTCAAATTCATTGTATACACATACCGATGACGACGAAGACATGTTTTTTGCCAAATTCAATTGATGATGATGATGGTGGACGAGTATGAAGATGATCGACATGTGAATTGACGATTTTTTTTGGTTCCAAATTTAGAAAATTTTTCATTTTCAAATCCAAAATTGAGTTCGTTTCGGATCAATCGATCAATCGATGTCGATATCGATTTCAAATTTCAATTTTTTTTTCATGAATGTAGATTTGATTTGATATTCAAGCAAGCAAGAAAGACAAAAAAAAATCGATCCGAAACGATTAACCCAAAAATGAATAAAATTTCGTTCGTCTTCAATTCATTTTGGTGTTCCATTTTCCACAAACTTTCAATTTAAAAACAAAAAAATTTTTTTTCTTGATTCAAATCACTTTTTGTGTATATATACAACACAGACAGACAGATTGATCAATCGATTTGATTGCAACTTGTTGACAATCATCATCATCATCACCAATGTTTTTCAAATACAACTAAAAGGCAAAATCAAAAAAAAAGACGAGAAATGGAAAAATTGAATTTCTTCATTCATTCAAATCAATCAATCAATCAACCAACAAATTATTCGATTGATTGATTTGAATGAATGAAGAAATTCAATTTTTTTTCAAATCATCACAATTGAGACAATTATAATCATCATCATTATCGTTACAAAAATGAAATATTAATTGCTAATGACAATGATTGGATAATGACGATGATTTAGGATTTTTGTTCGATAATCAAAATTGGTGTTCAATATTTTTCTTCGTTTTTTTATTTTGTTCCGAGGACAAATTTGAACAAAAAAAAACAACAACAACAGATTTCCAAAATCGAGGTCGATAATTTCAAATAAAAGAAAAAAAAATTGAACTTTTCTTTGAGGAATTGGAAAACATTGATTGGAATATTGTTTTGTTGGGAGTGAACGAATGTCTATACCTACATCATATGTACGACGATATCATCATCATTGAAACAGATCAAGTTTTTTTTCTTTTTCTTCTTCATCTTTTTTGGATCGATATCAGATAGATGAATTTTTTAGCTATTTTCAGAGACCGGATGATGGATCACGATTCAATTGTTTTTATCTTAATTTTCATCATGAAAAACAAAAAACAAAACAAAAAAAACACAATCATATAACAATCATAAAACAAAATCGAACCACCCAATCGATACTCTGTGTGTGTGAGTTGTTCATCACTTTGACAGATTTTTTTTTTTTTTTTTGTTCACTTCACATTCGTTCGCCATTATTTTTGCATACAATGGAGACAACAAAAGAGAAAACAAAATTCGATTTCAGCTGCCTCAACAACAACGACGACGACGACGACAACGACGTGATTTGATCAATTTCCGTTTAGATATTTTTTTTTCTACAATCGTCTACTACAAAAAAAAACACTAAATGACAACAAATGATAACATTTTGGTAACCAAAGTTTTTATTTTATTTATTTACATGCATGTTTTCAATGATTATCACAAAAAAAGTCGGTTTCCTTTTCTTTTTTCTGTTTTCTTGTTTTCATGATCATGGCATTCTATGGATAGATCGTGCTGGTTTTGTTTATGGTTATCGTTTGTTTATATTGTTGAGTCACATACATCATCATCATATCAATGTTTGTATCGTGTTGATGATAATGGTGTTGGTTTTTTTTCCCATTTCTAATGTATATATTTCATTCATAGTTGGAAAATAATAACGAATAACATTGTTGATTCGAATGAATCCATAAAGAATTTTTGACCTGTTGAACATCATCATCATCAAATACGTGATTTACTTATTTGAATATAAATGACCTCGATTCATTGACAAACAAAAACGAATTTGTTTACAATACATGTGTGATACAAATCGACCTTTGAACTTTTACGTTTTATTCTCATAATCATCATTGTTGTTGTTAGTGGTGAGTGGTAAAAATTTTTTTTTTTTCTTCTCATTTATTTCCTGTGAAAATATCACAAGCCAAGCTATAGCCACCATAGAATAATATTCTCTATTTATAATCAAAAACCAAAATTAGTGTTGACCGTAATTAGTATTAAGATTTTTCGGTCTACTTGTATTTCTCACACACACACACACAGAACATGGACACACGCAATCATAAATCTGAAATATAAAAAACCGCAGCTTTTGTTTTGTTTTGTGAATCTGAACAAAACATGAAACCACCATCATCATCATTATCCGGTTGTTGTTGCTGTCATCATCATCATCATCATTGAATTTTCAACAAGAGAACAAAAAAAAATGGAACAACAAAACAAAATTTTTTACCCGATAATAATCGTTCATGATGATAATTCATTCATTTATTTATTTTAAGCATCAAATGTGTGTGTGTGTGTTTTACATTTGCAACAATTATGATTATGAATACAGAGATGGTCGTTATCGTTTTGTTCTGTTTTTTCACTTTTAAACCATAATCATTTTTTTTTTGGATGATGATGATGATAATTTTAATAACCAACTTTGTTTTCTTTTCTTTTTTTTTATTTTTTATTTATAGTTTTACTGTTGAGATCTGTTGGTATTTCAATTCAAATCATATACACCGAGAGAGAGAGAATGTAAATATTCCTGTTCCGGTTGTTTTTGGATGATGAAGAAAGAAAGAGATGTTTAACAATTATGGACGTATGATGATCATTATTATTATAGCCATCATTATCATCAACCGATATATATAAATGGTTTGAAGATTGAAAATTTAGATAATAAAAAAAGAAAGAAAGAAATTATTATTCATGATTATTTCAAGATATAATCATCATCATCATCTTTAATCACTTGAATACATCGTTCTTTTTGCGAATATCAAAAAAAATTTTCGTTGTTGTCATCATCATTATCACATCGTCTTCATTTTTCACTATATTTTTGTAATCATTCATCACCCAATATTGAATCTCAATGGCAATCGATTCGAATTTTGAAAACAGAAAAAAATATCGATTGTTACATATCAAACAATTCAATCTATCAATACTATCGAATCGAATCTTTTGAAAAAAAAAATTTAAAATTTTTTCGCTGATAACATAGCTAAGAATAGCCACATCGTTTTCATAATTGTGGTGAACCACACACACACACATCGAAAATATCCATCACCTGCCATTTAAAAATTTGAATAGATATCCATCAAATCATTGATGATGATGATGACCTCAAATTAATTAGACAACATGACATGACCCATGATTTTTTTTTATTATTATCAATGGATTGCACAATACTACTACTGTCCTGGTGATCGGTCATGATGGTATGTATTGATGATTGAATTGAATCAATTTTTTTTTGTTGTTTTTTCATCATCATCATCAACATCAGACATGAAAAAAAGTTGAAAATTTTCATTTTCAATCAGCTACTGAAAACAAAAATACATCTATCTGTGTGTTTCTATCCTACCTTGAAGTTTTCTTATGGTCGTTTTTCAACAACAAAAAAAAAGAAAATGAAAAATTCAATTTAAATTTTTGTTTTCTAAACATATGTGATGTTTCTAATTTTACATCCATCATCATCATCAAGTTTATGGTTTGTTTTTTTTAATCTTGATGTTTTTTTTCTTTCTTAAAATTTTGTCTTTTTTTTCTACTGATTTTTTGAACATTGATGTTGTTTGTTCATTGTGATTGAATATATATAGCAATTATATCGACAAACAAACAAAAAAAAAATTACAACAAACAAACACAAATCTCATTTTATATGCTCCATTGTGAATGACAAGGCATTGTGATTTTTATTTTTTATTTTTTTTTGTGCCATCGTCATCATCATCAAAACAATTGTGTGTGTGTGTGACATTTTTTTTCAAATGTCATCATCATCATCATAATAATAATCGAGATTAGATTACCTAATAATCTAGAATTGTAATTCACTCGTAGTTGGTTGTTGTTTTATTTTGATATATCTGCAGATATCATCCACCACATTTTCTCCATCTGGCATCATCATCATCACACTCATGTGATAAAATTAATTTCCTGCATTAAATTCGTCAATGTTCATCATTGAAACGTGTTTTTGTTTTTTTGTTTTTGAAATTTTTCAACTATGACACCAAAACCTTTGACAGCAGTTACTGATCATCATTCCGTTGATGGACAGAAAAATTCATCATCAACAACAAACAGAATGATTAAACGACAACCATTATCATCGTTTGGTGATCATTATCATATCGGTGAAGAGATTGGCAGGTAATTAAAAGAAATTATTCAGTCAATTTAAGACTCTTTAATTAATGATGATAATCGATGATGATTGACTAATGGATTTTAATCAATGAAATGAAAATTTTAATTTTTCTGGTTGATTTGAATTGAATAGCTTTTTTTCCTTTAGCCCAATGAAATAGAATAGAATCGTAGTTTTGTTTTGTTCTAAATATTAAAATTTCTAGAAGAAATGTCATTTCTATGGAATCATCAAATCATTGTGATAATTGCTCAATGATTGAGTGTATAGTCGTTGTTTTTACAATTAGAAAGTTTTCTGTTGGGCTGTAGTCATCACTAATCTTAATTTCAAATTTTTTTTTTGATGCACATATGAAAAAACAAATTATGCTATAAATCCAATGTGTGTGTGTGTGTGTAATGGAATAAGAAGAAAAAATGTATGTCATAAAGTCACGAATGTAATTTCAGGATGTTAATTATTATGAATTGTCTGTGTGTGTGTGTGTGTGTCCATTTATCTTTATTATTATCATAGTGGACAATCATCATAATAATGATGATGATGATGATGTGGACAATAATTTTTTTTCTGTCTGTTTTTGTCTACCAAGATACGGAAACGTTTACTTTTTTTCAATAACAGAATTTTACTGAATTTTTTCATTCTAGTGGAAAATTTGCCATTGTCAAACGTTGTATATGTATTGAAAATAATGAAGAATTGGCTGCCAAATTTATACGCAAAAGTCGTTTCGGACGTATGGGACAAAAATTAAAAGACATTGAATTGGAGATTGCCATCCTGTCCGATTTGGATCATCCAAATATCATTAAATTGATCGATGTGTTTGAAGACAATCATCAGGTTGTACTTGTATTTGAATTGTAAGTACTTTTTTCAATTCTTCATGAAAAAAATAATCTAAAATTTTTTATTCCATTTTCGCAGAATGAAAGGTGGTGAACTACAGGATTATATTGCCGAACATGATTATCTATCGGAAAGAGAAACACAATTTCTAATGAAACAGATTCTAGAAGCATTAGCATATATGCATGAGAAATCTATTGTACATTTGGATCTTAAACCGGAAAATATTTTACTGGATAATCTGGATAGCCGTCAATTGAAAATCATTGATTTTGGTATTTCTCAACGATATGATGCTAATGCCAATATTAAAGGAATCTATGGTACACCAGAATTTATCGGTACGTTCAATGATCAATTGAGATTGTGATTTCATAATTTTTTTTTTTTTTTCATTAGCACCAGAAATTCTTAATTATGAACCAATCGGTTTTGGTACTGATCTATGGGCCATTGGTTGTATTGCCTACAATATGTAAGACGTATTGATTGATTGATCCATGTACATTATTGAACTAAAATATATTGTCTTTCAAAATAGGTTATTTGGAATATCACCATTTTATGAGGAAGAAAAACAAGATACATATACAAGAATTACTAGACTAGATTATGATATTGACTGTGATTCAACAACAAACAACATAAGTGATGATGCTAGAGATTTTATACAACGTTTACTTGTTAAAGATATTCGGTTCGTTTTTAATTTTTGTGTTTTTTTTTCATTTTTTGATAACTTTCCAAATTTTTCCAAATAGAAAACGAATGTCAGCACGACAATGTCTTGAACATCAATGGTTATGTTATCCAGATGAATCATCATCATCATCATCATCATCTTCAGCTATTATCAAAAGGCAATCAACTATCAACGATAATTGTGATAATATAAAAATTTTAACGATCCAAATGTTGGTAATGATGAAAGAATTATGAATGAAAATGTACGCCGTCGATGGAAGACATCCATCTATTTAATCATTCTATATAATCGTCATTTAAAACGTCGATTAACATCTTTATTATTGACACAAAATAATAATAATAAAAATCGATAAATCGTCGTTATCCACAAAACCATCATCATCATCATAATCATCATCATGGACAATTAAAATCTAAACATGGTAGTGGAGGAAGTGCTGCCATATCTTATTGTTCAGCATCATCATCATCATCATCATCATCACCGACTACAACGATGACAACATCACCATCATCTTCATTATCATTGATGTATGATAAACGATCCAAATATATCCATCATCATCATTCACATCAACATTCGAATTCATCATCACGATCGTCGACAACAGATGGCGGCATGTTCAACAATGATGTAAGTTTTTTTTCTGTTTTTATTCTTGAAATTCATTTTAGATTATAATGATTGCCAATGATAATTTGATTCTATTTTTGTTTATAAAATCCCATTATCATTGGTCAAATGAAAATTAATTATCAAAATTCAGATAATTGATTCAATTGTACTGATAACACGAATCATCATCAATTACAAACACAACAACAACAAGGGGTTAATGGGAATTGTGTGTTTTATTGTATAAACAAAACAATTTACGAATGATGATGTATTTATTTGGTTTTTGGTAAAGAGTAAAAAAAAAAATTGATTGATATTGCAATTCATATTTTTAGTAGCGAAAAAAATCAATTTTTTCACAACAAAGAAATCATCTTCCATACACCGGTTATAATAATAATCCGGATATAAATGAAAGTATAATGATGATGATGATGTGTTAGTGCACTGTATTCGATGCGGATATATCCATGTTTAATGTACATGGTTATTTTTTTTTTTCATTTCATTTTCGGGTTTCACATTCATCCATCATCATTGATGATAAAGTTGTTGTGTTATGTTCATAACCATCGTTTCGTTTGTGTTGTTTTTTCTAATTTTTCGAAAATTTTTTTTTCAATTTTCCCATTTCTTACCTGCTGTTTTTTTAAATTGAAACAACGTTTTCTGCATGCCATACGTGCATGTGTGTTCGTCATTGATTAATCAATCATTTATATTTATAAATATATATCGATCATTTGAATTGGAAAAAAAATTGATTTATAATTCTCGCTTTCGATTATTTCCAATCAACATCGGTTGTATGAAATCATAAATTATGGCAATATTAATGATGATGATGATGACTGTTTTGTATGATGTAATAATTGTCTTATAATTACAAATCATTAATTGAAATCAATTTTTTTTGTTACTTTCACAACAGATTTTTTCTTTTTGTTGTTGTTGTTGTTGTTTAATCGCATCGATCATCATGTATAAATGTGTTGGATTTTTTTTCAATTTAAATCAGAAAATGAAAAAAAATAAAATCTTGCCAATGTGAATGAATGATTTGCCTTTTCTCAATCTTTCTTGAAATTCAGATGAACATTATTTTTCCGGCTTTCAAAACATGGCCTTAATTGTATAATGAATGAGAAATATGAGTTTGTTCAATGTGTCTGTATGGTATGCTCGTGGGTAAATCAGATCTTGATCACGTATCGTTCAAATAAAAAAAAACGATTTCATTTTAAATCATCATACAGTACACTCGTATACACATTTTAAGATTTGCATATGGCTCTCCTATATATAATTATATAATTGAACATGAACGACCACAACGATGATGAGAGATTTACCGTTTTATTTATAAAATAGCAAACAATGTTGTTGTTGTTGTTGTTGTTGTTGTTGCTATTTGAATGGAATCAATGTATTTGTGTGTATATGTTCAACCTGGTTTAGATGATGATGATGATAATTATAATAATTCATTTACATATTACATTTAGGTTCGCGTTTACATTTCTTTTGTTGTTATTATTATTATTCAACAATAGCTATAAATGTTGTCTAACTGGAATATTTTTTCTTTCAAGAAAAAAAAAGGATATAATTACCGTTTAAAACGAAATGAAATGAGTTTTTTTTTCTTTCATTTTTTGATTCACTTGGTTTCATTTTGAATTATCTCGATTTTTGTTGTTGTTGTTGTTGTTGTTGATTTTTATTATTTGTTCCATTTCATTTCATTTCATTTTTTTTTTTGATTAAATAATTGAAACAATGAAAATATGAAAAACATTTGTACTACACACACACACACGAGTACACACCTGTTGCTTTGATTGAAGAATGATTTGTTTCTCTTTCTCTCTCTCTGTTTGGTTGACATATAAATCAAACAAACAACTGTATGGTTTTGTCACACATATACCTGTAAACACACACACACACACGTGTGTGTGTCTTTTGACAATTTGAAAAAAATAACGGTAGTACAATTGTCAATCATCTACTGTTTCTTGAATTTTATATGATGGCCCCATTCTCAGTACAGTGGATGAAAAAAAAACAGATGCTTATTGTCCATTGATGATGATAATTGAATGTGTGTGTGTGTAAATAAAATAAAAAAAAACAATAAGGCTTTTTTCGGCTTTCCATGGTTTTTGTTTTCAAATTTGAAATTTTATTCATTTACATTTATCGATGATGTTTCAATCGTGATAATATTAACAAATTATTATCATCATCATCATCATTGAATCCACGATCCACATTCATCATTTTTTTTTCATTATGGCGCCATTTCATTAGTTTTGTATTGATAACAACAACAGCAGCAGCAACAACAACTACAACAATGGTTGTTTGTCGTCGTTTTCATCAATCGTGCTGTTGTCGATGAATGGATGGATGGATGGTGTGAATTCTAATGTGGGTAATCGGCAATACAAAACAGCAACAAAAAAAAAATAGCCATGTCCACAATTTTTGTGTGTGTTCTCTGTCTCTCTCTCTCTCTTTTTACATCTCTCGAAGTTTTATTCAAAACTTGAAATTCTACAATTTTTTTCAATCCTTTGCTACTACTTTCTGTTTGATTGTGATAAACCGACACACACTTGTACAGATCTATGTGTATGTATATATACACTGCATCGCGGTTGTGGCAATTTCATTTTCAAAATTTTTTTTTTTTTTACTTTTTCTCCATTACATGTGGATTGATTATGATCGTCGTTCATTTAGTTTTTTTGATGAGATTTTTTTTCCATCTTCTTTATCTTTGTGTGTGTGTGTGTTTTGGAAAAGTGAAATTGCCATTGATGATGATGATGATGAAATAAAGACATGTTCTTTGTTGGTGAATAAAGAAAATGCTGAGAAATAGAGAGAAATGGAATGATGTATGTGTGTGTGTGTATGGTGGTGGTGGTGGTGGAACGAAGAAAATGAGATCAACACAAGTTTTGTGTGTATAAAAAAGGTGATGAAGGTTTGTTTTGAATTTTTTTTTTTGTTTTGTTTTGTTTTATTTGATTCAAATCAGAAAAGAGAGAGAGAGAACGACGAACCAACAAAATGAATTTCTCTTTTTTTTCCATTTTTCTCTCTACGTTCCAGAGAAAAATTTGTTCATTGAAACGTTTTTTTCTTTTTTTGCTACTTGTTGATTCATTTCGTTTTGGATCAACAACAACGATCATTATTGAAGGATCCATTAATTGTGAAATGTGTGTGTGTGTGTGTGTGTGTTCATGTGTATGTGGATCGACGACAATTGAAATTTCTGTCCATAGTTCAAGTGCCGTGAAAAAGTCAAACTAAAAGTTTTTTTTCTTGGAATAGCGGAATGCAATTTGTTTCTGTTGTTTGTTGTCTTGAAATTCATTATCTCCAAATCATCTGTTAATGAATTTTTTTTTCATTCTAAAAATCCAATTAATCATTACCAATGGAATGATATAATCAATCGATAATCGATTGTGTCAATTGTTGTGTCGTTTGTTGTTGATGATGATGACAAATTTTTTTTTGAAAACAACATTATCACCAGACAACAATAATGATTGTTGTGTAATCATTCCCTTTCATCACAGAAATGTTTTCTGTGGTAATCATTTCTTTTTTTGTGATCTTGTGACATCGAAATTAATACATGATCAATGAATGAATGAATGATTGAATCGTCAACAACAACAAATGATCGAATGTTTATCACCCATCAATTGATAAAATTGAATCGAATGAAATTCGTTACCGCCAAATGAAAAAATAAAATAAAATCGTCATTTGACCTCGAAATTTCGTTTTACATCAATTCGGCAATTTATGTTTGTGATGATGAACTCATTTTCCGGTCATTGATTATCATTGGTTTCTTTTCGTTTGATTTTGTCATAGCTGATGATGATGATGATGATAATCATGATTATTGTATCATAGCTCCGATTCTTTTTTTTTCTCTGTTTAATCAATTGTCATCGGCCTATTTTGTGATATATTACCTCGGTGATTTTGGTCTTTTTTTTCGGTGTATTTTTTTTGATGTTTAATTTGCTCTCATTATTTGTGGTTTTCATTCTTCCACGTCAAATGTTTGTTTGTTTTTTTTTGATTGTCGATTGATGATAATTGCAACACACACACACACACACATTGCTAGTCAAACCCAAAAAAAAAAAAAAACAGAATGTCAATTGAAATGGTAATAATGTTTATCACTTAGAAGTGAATATTGAAAAAAAATGTCATCATCATCATCATATCGAAATTATAATAAAAATGTAAATCATTCATCTAATGATGATCCGGATTATCATCTACCACCACCACCGATGCCCCCACCACCACCATCATCATCATCATCATCATTTATGGAACCAATGATGATGATGCAACATCATCCAGCCATGATGATAACAAATGATTTTCATTATCACCATCAATCACAAAATCATCAACAACAACAACAACAACAACAATCAACGAATATTGATCCATTAATGATGATAATGTTGGCTAATCATAATAATAATAATGATGATGTTCAATATTATCAACAAAATGAATCTGCAATCTATCTAGATGATGGTGATGTTGGTGATGATGCTTATTATGTTGAACATGAAAGAAATTCTGAATTTAATCATCATCATAAATTCTATGATGATTCTAATTCAAAGAAACAATCATCATCATCAAAGAAAAAACAACAACAACAACAACAACCAACAATAAATGATAATGATGGTGGCTATATTGTTGATGATGATGATGATGATGATGTACAACAACATTATCAGAATCATCATCATTATGATGATTATTATGATGGCTGTGGTGTTGATGAACAACAGCAACAATTTACCGTTGTTTCAGCATTGGTGAGTTTTCCATGTTTGTGTGTGTGTGTGAAATGATACAGCTGATTATTCGGTTTTTTCTATTGTCCAGTGGCTATTTAATCGAATTTTTTTTCTTTTCTTTTTGAATTTCGAAATTGAATGAATAATCTTAACACGATCCGTTTTATCTCTTATCTCTAATTCAAACTAATTTTATATACTGTTTGTGTGTGTGTGTGTATGTGTTTTGTGTACTTCATATATAAAGATTTCATTTTCATTAATCATAATAAACATCACTTCATTTCATTTCAGTTCATTTCGATGCCCTATATTGTTGTCATATCGAATCAATTGAAATTTTTTTTTCTTTACTTGTTTTGAAGAAAAAAAAAATAATTTTTTGACCTAATAAAATCTGGCCATTCATTGATTCACATATATATTTTCATTATTATCATCATACACAAAAACTGTACATCGTTGACAAGGGGTTATGTGTGTGTGTGTGTGTGTATACTACACTACGCCCAACATTTATATCTTTCGGTTATAATCGGGTTTTTTTTTTTTCTTTCGTTCTAGTTTTTTTTCCCATTTTTCCAATTTTATCTTTCATCTTTACCCAGTCATTTTTCTGTGTCTTTGTCTATGTATGTTGTTGTTGTTGTTGTTGTTTTTTTTGTTGTTCGGACATTTCGTAGGTAGTTAAATTACAGGTAGATTTTTTCTTTTTCACGAAACAATATTGTTCATTTTTGTATATATAAATGATAACCGAAATTTTTTATTTTCATTTTTTTTCCATTTTATCGAGAATTCTGTTTTTTCAAAGCCATAAAAAAATGACTATTCAAGGACCAATGCATATGGATATTCAATGATACACGATATTTTCATCATCATCATCATTATTAATGTCCAAATTCTTTGAACATTCAACATTCGTCATTCGATATGTACAGCATTTTCTTTTGTTTTATTCATATTGATATACACTGTTGTTGTTGTTGTTGTTGATGGATTCAAGGATGAATATGACATGAACATTGTATGTCAATTCCAATCATCATCATCATCATTCATGGTTTGTTTTCTTCTCACGCTTGAAAATATTGAGAAATGAATAATAATCAATAATAATGAAATGAACATGCCTACACAGGTAGAAAATCATTTATTGTTTATTTGGACAAAATTAAATTAACCAACCAACTTGGCAATTTAATTAAAAAAAAAAATTGAAAAAACGGTTTCCAAAAAATGATTACCGTCATTTAAGCATTGCCAATTTAATGATACCAAAAAAAAAAATTGAAATTTCCATTTGCATACCATTTGCTATTCATCATTTCAATATATTCAATTGTCACACCCACACTTGTTGATTGTTCAATTGAATTTTATCCAAAAGGTTTCCATTTCTAAATGTTTACTATGTGTGTGTGTGTGTGTGTGTGTGTAGACGACTTAGCACATTTTTTTTCTCGATGAATAATGATTCAAATGTGTGTGTGTGATATATCCGATTGTGTGTGTGAATGCATTTTTTTTCTCTCTTTTCACACCCACAAAAAAGATTTATCCGTTTTTTTTCCTTTCCTTTATTGGTTGAAGATAGTATCATCATCGTATCAATTTCGGAACAAATCATCATCATCATCATCATCATGATCGTCATCTGTCACAATGGCAACAATTTGTTTTGTTGTTGTAAATCCTTTTTTTTGTAAAATGATGAAAATGTATACAATTTATATATTATATACACATGAATTCATTTCTATATCATACACACTTTTCTCACTTTTTTCATTGAATCTCGTTTCCTGGATTTGTATAGTAAATCTTTTTTATTTCTCTGTTTTTTTTTCAAAATTTTCACAAAAAAAAATCTGCCGTATTTTATTCAACACACACACACACACACGTTACGGTTCGATTGTTTGTTTGGTTATTATTTTGTTGTTGCTGCTGGAAAATGATGATGTTATGCAATAAAAATAAAAAAAAGACTACGGTTTTTATTTGCCCATTGATTTGAACCGGAAAATAGTCATTCATTTAGTTTACCTTTTAATTTTTTTTTTTTACGGAAATTGAATGAAAAAAAAGGCAAAATTTTTTTTTTTTTGACGTTGACCTTATATATGAATGAAGCTTGTAATTTGTTGTCTGACTTTTATTAATTTCTAATTATTTTTCATTTTCATTTTTTTTTGCAATTAGAATGATGAAAATTTCATATTGGCTGCCTTATTTGGTGCTATTGAAGAAGGAAATTTACATTCCATACAAGAATTATTTACAGCATCAAACATTGATCCTAATCAATGTAACAAGGTTTGTATATGCACACACACACACACCCACTCACATGTTTATCTTTAAAACAAATTGTTTTTCATTTCATTTCATTCGGAAACACCCACTAGTAGTAATTCTCTCTCTCTCTCCGTTTGATATACATGTGTATTGTAATTTTGTAACCTTGTTAGTTATAATTTGCACTCAAAAGAAAAGAAAAGATCCAGGAATAACTTTTATCGATTTCTTTACTATGTGAATCAAACAAAAAAAAAAAAACATTAACCGTTATCACCATCATCATCTTCATTTTTTTTTTAATCGTCTAATATGGTGTTTATTATAAATGCCGATCTTAATGTGCTATATTTATTTACTTATTTTCAATAGTTTCACATATCAATCATTATCGTCATCAATTGCAATTGAATGTGTGTGTGTGTGTGTGTGTGTATGTTTGGGGTTTAAAAGTGAGGGGAAAAAATAGTACTGAGCAAGGAGAAAAAAAAGAGATAAAATTTAACCTTTTTTTGTCTCAGGTTATTTGCCTGATTTTTTTTTTTTTGCTTTCTTTTTTGAATATCTATGTTGTGATATAATTACCAATTTAATGATAATGATAATGATGATGATGATGACAATAATAATAATGTTTATTTTGAAAATTTCTTTTTTTTTTCATAGAGTTTCAATGTAATTTTCGTTTTTTTTTTTTTGTGATTTTATCATTATAAGCTTTCTCTGTATGTCAATGTTGCTTGTTGATGTCTTGAGGCAAATCATTTTATCATTTGAACCAAAGCTTATTTCACACACACACACACACAAACATTCAGAAAAATTATTATTCATAAACCAGATTTTAAGAAAAATCGATTTGTCATTAAAATAATAATATAAGTATTGCCATTTGTTTTTTTTCACTTTTGAAAGGTTCAGGTATCTTTTTTTGTTTTTTTGTTTGTTACCAATCACGAATCCTCTTTTTTTTATTATTCGATGCAATGTTATTATTATTGTTGTTGTTAGAATTGAGCCAAATAGAAATTAAAAAAAAATTGAATAGAATCCACATGAATTTGAGTCATGTTTTTTTTCGTTGTTATTGAAGATGAGTTTGGCCCAGTTTTTTTTCGTTTTTTTTGTCATTTACAATCGTCGTGATTGAGAATTGGATCATCATATATTTTATTATCAACAACAAAAATAATTGTGATGATGATGACCATGAAGATGTCCCTTTTTTTGTGAGAAATTGAATAGATTGATTGATGATGGTGGTGGTGATGGTTAATAAAACGAGACTGAATCAACCTGCAAAAAAAAAAAATTTTCACATCTAATCATCAAATAGTAGTAGTTGTAGAAGAGTAGTGTTAGTTTCCTTTAGTTGAATGAAAATTTGGTCACACATTCAATCCTTTGTGTGTGTGTGTTTGTCTGTGTGATAATAATTATATTTGACCTTTTTTTCTTATTTTCCTTGTGCTATTTGATAATCGATTTTAATTTGAATGAATCAATGAATTTTTTCCTTTTTTTTCGATTATTTATCCTAATATTTATAGCATGGTGAATCATTATTACATTATTGTGCTGGTCTTGGACAATTGGAAATATTTAAATTTCTATGCAAAATTGATGCCAATATTAATGTTGTTGATGATGTAAGTATTGTGTATGCCATTACCGTATATATTCATTATTTGAAATACAGGCAAATGGACTTTGTTATATATATATATATATATAGAGAGAGATTGTTCTAGTTTGTTATATGGATTGAAATGAAATTGAAAAAAAAACAACTTTCACATAAATACAAAATGTAAATCATTATCGATTATCGTTAAAGATTATTATCGTTTTGCAATATTGAATGTGGTAAAAATGATGATGATTCAATCGTTTGTCCATTTGTATTTAGATAGATAGATAAATGATGATGATGATGATGATGATGACCAACATTATCATATTTATTTCTTGAACTATTGAATATTTATATTTTCTTTCTCTCCCCTTTTTCATCTGGTAAACCATTTCTATTTTTTGCTACCGATTTTTTTTTCTGCTGATCATCAGCAAGGAGATACCGTAGTACATTGGTCAGCAAGACAAAATCATTCAAATATTATCCGTTATGTTTATGAACAAACGGCTTCAATTGAAATGTTAAATAAGGTAAGTTTACCATTTGATGATGATGTCCACAAATTGATAATTTTAAACATTTTTATTTTCATCAATTTTATCGTTTTTTTAAAAAATCTATCCTAGAATAACGAAACACCATTACATGTAGCTGCACGTTATGGTCATGTTGAAGCTGTTGAACAACTATGTAAATGTGGTGCCAATATCAATGCCATTGATGAGGTTTGTTTACATTTTTCTGATCAATCATTTATTTACCAATCAATGATGATTGATTGATGAGTCACAGATAGATCGATGATGATGATCGGTGATGATGTTCATTGTTTTGTTCTATTGTGTTGATGATCCATATCATCAAAATTTACAATACACATAACTTGTGTGATCTTTAAATTTCTTTTGTTTTTTTTTCATTTCTTGAACAAAAAAAAATGAATACACTATTCACGGATGAATAGCATGGTGAGACGGCCATTTTGATTGCCGTATGGCATGGTTTTCCAAAAATTGTACATATCCTTGGTGAAATTGGTGCCGATACAAACATAATGAATAAGGTATGTATATGTTTTTCGAGCAATTTGTTTTGTTGGTTAGCGAAATGAAAAATCAATGCTAATGACCCATTTTCAGCATATTGAATACCTGTTGAATTCATAAGTTTTTTTCCATAAATTCGAAATTATTATTATCGTCGTTGTTGTTGTTTATGAATGCATCCGGTTTTTGAAAAGGAAAAAAATTGTTTTTTTATCGTTTAAAGTTCATCGCCTGAAGCAAAAATGAGTTAAAGAAACAATTTTTTTTTGAATGGAAATTGATCTCGTCTTGTTTGTTTGATGAATGATTGAATTTCAATGCCTGTATTTTCGTTATTTCAAATGAATTTTTTTTTTTTTGATCATTTATTCATTTAGGAAGAAGAATCCGCCCTTCATGTAGCTTCAGCTCGTGGTCATTATGAATGTGTACGATGTTTATTAGATGCTGGTGCCAACGCAAATCTTCGTAACAAGGTAATGATCAGTGATGATGATCTATTATTACAACGCCTTTTATAATGATGTGTTTTTTTTTAGAATTCCTATACACCATTACATTTGGCTTTAAAACGTCAACATCAAATGGTAGCCATGTTATTGTTGAAAGCTGGTGCCGATTATGAATTACCAGATGATAATGGCGAACGTGCCATACATTATGCTGCTCGTTATAATCTTGTATCAATCGGGCAATGGTTATGCCAAATGAATCGTTGCCAGGTTAATGTGCCAAATAAACATGGCCTATATCCATTACATATTGCAGCAAAAAGTGGTCATATCGAAATTGTTCGTACATTATGTTTAGCTGGCAGTGTTGTCGATCAAAAAGATAAAGATTCAATCATACCACAGATTTGTGCCATTGCTCAAAGTCATAATGATATTGCCGATCTATTGACACGTTTACGTAATGAAAGACAAAAAGAAGAATTCATCACACAATTGATGCCCATACCTTCAAATCAACCATTACCACGGATTAAACTGAAAATTTTTGGTCATTCTGGCGCAGGAAAATCAACATTAATTGAATCATTAAAATGTGGCTATTTTAGTAGCTGGTTTCGTCGCTCAAAAGGTCTCAATAGTACAATTTCATTGATGAAATTGAATAATATAAATACCACAATGAATGGTCAGTCACAACAACAACTAAATCGTTCGACTATAGAACCACCACCACCACCACCACATCAAAAGAATGTATCCAAAACAAATGGATGTGAATTGGGCCGATCAAATCTTTCAATCATAAGTGATGGATCAATGACCAGTCGTGATCATCATTCAACCATAAACAATAACAATGTGCCAATGATGAAACAGCAGCAACAACAATTGAATAATGGAATAATGACAAAAATGATGAATCGAACTGCAAATATCAATCATTATCAACATCCTACGCAGCCAAATCATCATCATCAAACACAAACAAAAGGAATCGATTGTCAACAAATGTATATATCGGGTGTTGGCGATCTAAGTGTATGGGAATTTAGTGGCCATCCTGCTTATCATCAGATCTATGATCATTTTTTGGGTGATGTACATTGTCTACATGCCATAGTATTTCGTCTTTGTGATGCAATTGAAATTCAACTTGATAATATTTTCTTCTGGTTAAATTTCATACAAAGTCGTATGCCAATATCGGAACCATTGTTATATTGTGGTAAAAGTCAACATTATGCTAAAATCATATTGATTGCTACACACGCCGATCTAGCTCAGCAAACATTTGTGCCTGATGAAATTGAACAAAATCTACAACAGATTATGATGAAAGTAATGGCCAAATTCAAAAATGTATTCGAAATTTATGGTAATATATTCATGATGGATGCCAGTGTTGCCGGTTCGATCGGCATGAAACAATTAAAACAGTATTTAAATCACGCCAAATTATCGATCGTTCAAGAATTGCCTCATACAACTGGTTTTCTTGATTCAGTTCTTACATTTTTGAATCTTTATCGAAAAGTTTCGCCCAATTTTCCTGTATTAAGCTATGATCAATTCAAAGACATGATCAGATCACAAATAAATCCATTATCTTCAGAAGATCATTTCAAAGAACTAGTCCAACAATTGGAAATTATGGGTGAAATTGTTTTTCTCAGATCAACAAATAACACCAACTATGATTCATTGGTGCTCAATCCTAAATGGCTAAACTGTGATATTGTCGGCACATTATTATTGATGAAAGATGATCCAAACTATATGATCAATGTGAATAAAACACAAATAATGGGCATCTATTCTATTGATGAATTCCAAGAACGATTCGATGATGTCGATGCATTGGATCTATTACAATTACTTGAATTACTTGGTATTTGTACACCGAATGATCGTTCTGGTGATATTGAATATGAATTTCCTTGTTTTATACTTGATGGTGATTGGGAAGAATTGTTGGATCGTTTCCAATATCGTGATAATTGTGTTTATCATGGAATTGTTTTCCATTTACAACATTCATTATCATCATCATCATCACCATCGTTTGGTTGCATTCTTACCAGTGTATTTCCAAGAATACAAGCCAATCTTCGTTCAGAGCTACGAAATCATTCTACCTATAATGTATATGATCTTCATAATTGTTTTAAATTCAGTCATTTTACAATTGAAGAAACTAATATCATGTTTATCATCTCATTGAATACAACTGCGCAATCGATTGAAATACGATTTTCTGGACCATATGATAAACGTCGTGAATGTTTTTTCTTCATGCAAGAAATGATACAGATTATTGAACAAACCGTTTGTAGATGTGCACCTGGTTTAAATGTTGCCAAATCCTATTTGTCACCTGTACAGATAAAAGATCAACGTGAAAATCTAAGCTTTTATTCATCTAGTTCATTGATGAAATCTTTATTGTTTGGTTCGAATAAAAGTACAACAAATTTATTGAAGAAAAAAATTCAAACTGATGACGCCGAATGTGAAGAACGGATTGGTGATATTCTTTGTTTCGGTATCTGTAATTTAAATGAAATCAATGTTTCTTCAAATGGTGAACCAACCTTAGCCAATGAACTTCATTCATCGAATTTATCATTGTTAACGAAACAAAAATTATGTTCATTATTGGATCCACCTGAATCGATTGGTCGTGATTGGTGTATGTTTGGCATATTACTTGGTATGACCGATAAATTACCTAAATTAGATCCTGGTACAAATGCTCAATTAAGTCCAACAGCACGTGTTATTGAAGAATGTGTTCGTAATGTAAATTGTACAATCAAAATGTTGGTAGAAAAATTATCCGAATTGAATCGTTTTGATTGTGTAGATGTAATATTAAACACTGGTCCATTATTACGAATGTTTCCATCAACATCATTACCGGAAGAAGGAATTATCTATAATGATGAATCATCACATACAAGTTTAGGTGTTAGTACATTATCACATACATCCAGTTCAAATCTATCACGTTGACATCTTTAATCCACATTAAAGTTATTGCATTGACACACACACACACACACACAGACACTAATCCTAATCATTCATCATCATCATTATTATTATCAACTGACTGACCACAAGATTGTGCCAAAACAAACAAAAATACCACTAATTGAACGATTCGAAGATGGATATTTGTTCTTTATTAAATGAAAAAAAAATGTGATAAAGATTGTGTTTTCTAGATTTTACAAAAAAAAATTCATCATTGACAATAATTGTAATGGGTGAATGTTTTTTGTTTTGTATATATCTTTTTTTACGACAAACAGAATTATGTTATACACACAGACATACAATCAATAATAATAATAAATAATAAATGATGATTCAATTCAATTAATAAATAAATAAAATGATCATCATTCCAAATGATGATTATCTTGATGATCATCAACAGCATCGTTGTCGATTTTAGATGTTTGTCCATCATGTTGCTTTTCGTTGTTATGATCCGTTTTACTACTACTAGCTACAATATCTAAATCATCATAATCAATTTCATCATCGTCTTCCATAAAATCATTATTATTATCCACATGGTGATGGTGATTTTGGTTTTCTTTCGTCGTCAACATTGTTATTGTTGTTGTTAATCGACCATTTGTTCCATCATCATCATCATCATCATAGTCCTTGTTGTTGGACATATTAATTTTCATTTCTTCAATATGATCTCGAAACAATAAATCGAAATTTTTGGCAGCTTGATCACCATCATCATTATTATCATTAATTTTTTCTTCTTTTGGCCGTAGTTGTTGATCACCACCATCATCGTCACCATCGTTATCTGAATTAATCGTATTATGATCATCGGCAAAATACAATTGTTCATTTGTACGTATACGATTGAGGAAATTTTTCACAGGACGTTTATTGCCAAATTGTTCGGTTTTGGCGACAAAATCCTCGAATGTCAATCCAGGAAACAGACGATGTGCCCAATGTTTTGTTTTAAATAACAATAATTTAAGATCTTCGAGTTCATGTCCTTTACCTTTGAATTTTGTCTGGCTTATGATTTGAGGTAATGCTGCAATACCACGACGAGAAACAAGATGATCAACACGAAGTATGTTTCTTGGACGGCGAATAATTGGTGTTTTGGGATTTACAACAGTGGATTTTGGTTGCGAATCATTTGTTGTGGATTCATTATTATCAACATTGGATGGTTCATCTATTAAATCATCGTAATCCATTGTTGTTTTGCACAAATCCAAGAAAATATCTGAACGAAAAAAAGAGCGCGTAAAAAATATATTGAAAACAAAACAAAACACACATGTGTGATCATTCATAGACACTAGGATTGAGTCATCGAACACTGACAATTTTTTTTTTTTTTTTGAAAATCCACAAGTTGCTACTGCTATCATCTGGTTCTGTATATTTTTTTTTTCATAAATTTTTTATTTTTCGCGCGTAAACACGAAAACAAAAAAAAAAAAAAACGGAAATTACCAAATTATTTCATACTACAATCTATTGAATGCATTGATTGGCCATATATGAAATTGAACCATACTTGAGAACAGCAACATCTCTGATCCGGTGCTGTCAAAAGTACTTGTTGTTGTTGTTGTTGTTTGAACAATAGAAAACCGTATTAATATCAAATTTTTTTTTCTGATGTGATCCGATTACTTTATTTCTTTATTGATAAATTAATATCCGATATATGGATGAATGAAATACATGACAAACTTTTACGATTACCAATCATCATCATTCATCATTATTATGGCAAGAAAAATACCGGAAATCAAATGAATCACATGAAATGATGAATCCATGAGAATAAAACCAATAATAAAATGATGATTCACATAAGTATAATGCGTGTGTAAGTATTGCAATTTTCTTATGAAATTGACATTTTTGATCCATTTAAATTAAATTTGTTTTCTTTTAATACACACACACAAACACACACAAATCAAATTTGATATCAAAATCAATTGATTATCATTCGTTGTACTGTCTGTGTATGTATATCGATATATCGAACACTTTTTGTTGTTTTCAATTCAAACAACATGTGCGCCTTTAATAACAGCATCAGCAACAATAACAACAACAACAACAACATTCGATTCAAATATCAAAAGATAAAATGCATTTTTTCTTTGTTCAACTTTTTCGATTGAAAACAATAATTCGAAAAATGAAAAAAACCACCATCATCATCATTGTTATTATTATTGATAATTGATTTCGAATGAATATATTGTCGATAATAATCAAATGATGATGATGTTTATTGAATTCAATCATCATTTGTATTTTGTTGCCTTGATCTCAATAATTCAATTATGATCATGATCACGATGATGATCAATTTTCATTCTTTTCTGGATAATTGTATTGCCTCCACCTTCTATTTTTTTTTCTTTATTTCCACACCTTTTTGTACATTGATTTTGTTTTGTTTCACAACAAAAAAAAAAACTTGATCATTTTTGTTCGGCCTAGCCGTAGAGTTGATGGATTTTCTTTTTCTTTTTTGCTAGATTCTCAAATTTTTTTTTTTTCTGATGACCTTCAAAAACTTTTTGTTTTTGTTTTTGTTGATGATCTAGAAAAAAAAAATTTGAAATTTAAATTCATTCATTTGTTATTGTACTTATCAACAAGTTTCATCTCTGCACGCACACACACACACACAACACACCTGTCTTTCAAACTTCCGAAAATTATTATTTTGTTCATTAACACAATGATGATGATTCAGTATAAATGAATTGATGGTAGAATAGAATAGTGAACTAAGCAAGTAGTGTGTGTGTGTGTGTGTGTGTGTATGATTACCATGAAGGGTAAATTCTAGCTAGGTCATCATTGTGTTTTTTTTTTGTCAATTGAAAAAATTTTTTTTTCGGTTTATAAGGTTCATATAATAGATCCGGGCATTATTATTATCGAACGAAAGTCAAACTTTTATTTTGAAAAAAAAGAAAAAAAAAGTGATGAAAAGATTCGATGTCATCGTTATCATCATCATTATCCACCATTGATTTTTGTTGTTGTTGTTGTTGTTATCATCATAATATAATTCTATTCTATAACATTGTAATTTAATCTTTTACAATTGTTATAATGATACAAGAAAAAAAATTAATGATCTTGATCATCATCATCATATTTTTATTATTATTATGCATAGACATGACCAAAAAAAAAACGAATTCAAATAGAAAACCAATCACATTCATTTGTCAAGTTTTGCTTTTCAAAACATATCATATTATTATACATATAGATCAATGGCCAAAATGATTTTTTTTATTCAATGAAATTGATCAATTTGTTATTACGTTTGGATTGCATAATAATAAAATTATCGTTAGGCCTGTTGATCGTATTTTTTTTTTCCAATGTAGGCGATATATATTGTCAATCGATTTGATTTGATTTGTTTTTTTCTTCATTTGGATACATATATGGTTAATGGATGAATTTTTCTATAGTAGTAACTAATGGCAAATATTCAAAGGGCGTCTACCTAGAATCTGTTTATTCTGATCAAAAAAAAAAAAAAAAAAAGTCACGTAGAATATTGTCCAACCACGCACACACACACACACACACACGCAACATTGAAATGTAACAAAAGTTCGACCGAATAAACTTTTTTTTCCTTCAATTCAATTATGCTATATCATCATCTAGCGAATTATTCGCACAGACACCCAGCCCTTAATTCGGGTTTTTGCCCTTTCATTTCTCCACACTATTTCATTCATTTGATTGCAATTAATCCATGTTGATAAAATAAATTATCGAATGCGTAAACACGAAATCAAAAAAAAAAATTTTTCACTTTTTTTCTGTTTTTTCTCATAGGTCGTTTGTAATGATTTTTATTGTGGTAGATGAATTCTCGAGAATTTTTTTTTTTGTTTCGATCTATCGATCGATAGTGGTAATTATTCACACAATGATGTTCCTTTTATATACCATGATGAGTTTAGTTGTTGTTTGTATATTAAAACCATATATATATATGAATGTTTACCACATTTTATCGAGTAGTAGCAGCAGTAGCAGTAGCATATATGTGTTTATATCGATTATTTTGGGTTGAATGATGTTGTGTTTGACTGATTGATTGATTGATTGATGAATTTGAATTTAAATCTATCAATACAAATAAACAATACTTGGTGGAATGGTAGGAAACATTTTCATAGACAACAACAAAAAAATGTGATATGATTTTTGGGCGATAGCAACAAAAACAACAACAAAAACAAAATTTTACCGATAAAATGATCAAACTAATCAGAAAATTCCAAATTATGTTTACGTTAATTTTCAATGTAATATGTCACTCACACACAAACTAACTAAATTGAATCCATTGAATTCATCAATTTATAGATGAATTCAATAGAATTCTGGATTCAACTCAAGTTTTATTTTTATTTGGGTTGTTTGATTGGCATTTTTTTTTTTGAACCGAAAAACCGATATTGATATCGAGTTGAAAAAAAATTGATAAAATGATTGCTGCTGCTGCTGTGACTATCATTTTACATTTTTTTGTGAATCGATATTGAATGATTGATTGACATTATTAAACATTTTTTTTTCAGGGTTCGCTAGATATTAGATAGATAAAATGGTTTTTTCTGCGTATTTTTTTTGTGGATGAGAAATGTCAAAAATAATTTCTCTCTCTCTCTTTATGTTCCAAATTGATGTTTTTTTCTTCTGTTTTTGTTTTCTGGTTGGTTGTTTATTAACCACCTCGTTCAATAACCACAAATGCAGCAACGAATGACAATCCATCATCATTGATCGATATACAAAAATAATACAGTTGTATCAGTTGTTGCCACATTCGTTGATGATGATGATAACGCATACACACACGCACACACACACACACAGTGGCAATTGTCCAAATCGTAAATCGAAACCTAAAATCGAAGTAAAACAATAAAAAAAAATCCATCCATTTCATTAATCCATTATATATTGTTTTTCATTTTCCACCTTCTTCAATGATGATTACTATAGTCGTTTAACAATAAAACAATTGCAGCAACCATATAAATAATGATGATGATGATGATGATCAATTGCAATTGATTATTACCACCACCACCACCACAACAACAACAACAACAACCACCGAAATTGTCATCATCATCATTATTATTATTGTCATTGTATACAACATAATCGGCAAATATACTACTGCTACTACTACGATAAATTACGATTCTAGCAAAAAATAAATAAATAAATAAAGCAACACCGGCAAAATCCAAAAGCCAGAAAAATTCGTCTGCCAAATTTTCAATTTATGTGAATGAATCTGATCATCATCAAATAAATGAATGATCATCATACACACGGCACATATATAATATATATATATATATATATTGTCATCGTCATCATCGTTTGTATTGTTTTTTTTTCTCAGTGTGTGTGTGTGTGAATGAATATAAAAACCCGGACAATTTGATTCCGGTACCGACCAGTGTTTTGTTTCGTTTTTGTTGGCTGGATCAATTTTCGGTTTTTGCTCTATCTCTGTTTGTGTGTGTGTGTGTGTGTGTGTCTATTCCTGTCATCTGGTCAATTGTTGATGTGTTACGGCCATTTTCAACTGAATTCTTGTGTGTGAATCAAAAAAAAAAAAAAAAAAAACTTTCGAATGAAAACCAACAATAACCATTATCATCATCATCATCATCTATAATCTTCATCGTCACAACACTATTTTCCGTCCATTGATGTAATAGTCATCCGTGGTTCTTTTCATAAAATCTATGCTTCATTTTTTTTATTTTCATCTCTGAAAAACAATTTGATTTTTTTTCTGTATAACAAAAAAAAGTGCCTTAAAAATTCAGTGATATTGTCGTTCATCGAAACACATCATCATCATCTTCATCATTATGTCGACAAAAGATCAAAATGTTGGCACCACCAATGGTGAAGAATCTCGCCCATTGATTGTGGGTGGTGGCCAAAATCCAATGGCATTAAAAAGTAATCTAGCCAAACCACGTGTTGAAGATAATAATGGTCAACCAATATCATCGGCTACTTCACCACCAAAACAGATTGCATTTCGTACTGCATCACATACATCACCAGCAGCAGCAGCGGCAGCGGCAGCTAATGCAGAGGTATGCAATTTGTCACAATGTGCATGTGGGCAAAAAAAAAAATTCAATTTTTTCTATCTTTTTTCAAAACAAACCCATCACATCATTAGAATAATCGATTTCAAGTGGATAAAGTTGATGATAATGATGATAATTCTGAAGATTCTGAAGATTCATATGGTGAAGGTCTTTACGGTACTAGTGGTGCCGGTTATGCAACAAAAAATCTAAAAAGTTTTCGCCATTATACACGTGAAGCATTACCACGTGCTGATCATTATCGTAATGTTGAATCGGTTCATGGATTTATGGCACGTCCAACATTGGATGAATTACATGGTACACAGGCTACAGTTTCATTTGATAGTAATACGGTAAGTGAAAATTATTATCAATTTTCAATTTTCAATTCAATATATCATAAAAATGTTAATGTTAATGTTAAAGTTCATTGGCAAATATCTTCTAAATTATGATGATGATGATGATGATGAGTCCACCCATAATGTACACACACACAAAAAAAAATTTACTTTTTTCTCATTCACTTCTAAATGTCATCATATCAAAGCCTTTTAGTAGTTGTAGTAGTTGTCGTCATAATTTTTTTTTTTTTTTGTTACTGATTATCTGAATCCATAAGTCAATCAAAATGAAAAATGAATTTGAAGTCAGTGTTTTAAAAGTCTGTGTGTGTGTGTGTGTGTGTGTGTTTGTTTGTTTGTTTATAGTCATATATATATATATCTCATCCGTTCAATTTTAATTGTTTTATTTTTTTATTTTATATTTCCATGGTGAAATCGAATCGAATCGAATCGAATCAACATGGCCTTTATTTGTCAAGAATATGATATCGTTTATTTATATATTACATGTTTAGTTGAGAAGAAATTTTTTTTCTGGATATGGATCTCATTATTATAATCCAATCATGATGATGATTACATTTCACAAAAATTTTTTTTTTCAAAATTCTTAATGAATCACCAATGGAATTTTTTTTATATATATATTTGATTTATATGTGACTGATTAATAAGACAGGCAAGTAATAATTTATCAATTTCAATGAATTTCAAAACATTTCCGTTTTTTATTATTATTTTTGGTGATGGTGGTAATAATCATGATGTTGCAACAACAACAACAACAAAAACAAAAAATTAAATTGAAAGACACCGGATATAGGAAATGATGTATTTGTGTGTGTGTTTTGTCTATTTTAATATTTATATTTATATATGTATGTGAATCAGCAACAGAGGAAAAAAAACATTTTCTATAAATTCAAACAAAATGAAGAATGAGGATGTATGTATGGGTGGTGATTGAGAATAATGAATCGATTGGTTGGTTGGTTGGTTGATTAGTGAAACAAATTTATCGATAAATAAAACTGGCACGTATTTGCCATCGATTGATTGATTGATGTTGTTTATGTCATCCTCATACATACATACACACACACACACAACTAGAACAAATAAAAAAAAAGAAGAAAAAAAATCAATTCGAAATCCAAGTTTAAAACCAAGTTATAGGCCAAGGTTGTATATATAAAGATGATGATGATCGGACGCACCTTGTTTCGAATCAAAAATATCGTCACCGTCATCGTGACAAGAGCAAAATGAACATGAGAAATAGTAGGAAAAAAATTAATAATTGAAATTCATCAATCCGAACGAGAATGAGAAATGAAAAGTATGATTTTTTGATTAATTCAATCAAAATTTTTTTTTCGTTCGAATCTATTTTGATCCATAAAGGGAAAGGTCAAATTAAAATAGAACCGAGATTTTTTTCTGTTTTTGTAATTTTTGCTCGAATTTTTAAATTTTATTTTTAATTTTTAAAAAGGGAAAAATTGTCATACAAAAAGCAGCGGAAGAAGAATCTAAGGAAAAGCAAGCTGTTAAATTCGGTTGGATCAAAGGTGTATTAGTAAGATGTTTGCTCAATATTTGGGGTGTTATGTTATTTTTGCGTCTTTCATGGGTGGCCGCACAAGCTGGTATTGTTCAGGGTACAATCATTCTAATGTTGGCATCCGTGGTGACACTTATAGCAACAATGTCAATGTCAGCAATTTGTACAAATGGTGAAGTAAAAGGTGGTGGTACATATTATATGATCAGTAGATCATTGGGTCCAGAATTCGGTGGTTCTATTGGTATTATTTTTTCATTGGCCAATGCTGTTGCTGTCGCCATGTATACAGTTGGTTTTGCTGAAACTGTTCGTGATCATATTGGGGTATGTAGAAAGAGAGAGAGAAAAAAAAAAAATTTTGCATGTTACATCACATTTTAATGATTTTTTTTCAATCCTAAAATCAAATAGCAATATGGAAAAATAATATTCGATGGTGGACTTAACGATATCCGTTTGATTAGTTCAGTCACTACAATCATATTGTTAGGAATCGTTTACATTGGTACTGAATGGGAAGCCCAAACACAAGTTTTTCTTTTATTTATACTTTTGACTGCTATGAGTGATTTTTTGATTGGTTCAGTATTGCCACCAACTGATACACAGATTGCACGTGGTTACATTGGTTGGAGCAGTAAGTATCTATGAATCTATAATGTCTGTATTTTTGATAATTTAAAATTTCTTTTTTCTTCGCTCCTAGCATCATTGATCTGGGAAAACATGTTTCCAGCTTATCGGAATGAAACATTTTTCACCGTATTTTCCGTCTATTTTCCGGCCGCTACCGGTATTCTAGCTGGTGCTAATATTTCCGGCGATTTGAAAGATCCATCATATTCAATTCCATTGGGCACATTTTTGGCTATCATCATCACAACAATCAGTTATGTTGGATTCCATTTTATGGTTGCTGCCAATGTTGTTCGCGATGCTAATGGTGTTGTGGAATTGGTTCATCATCCTGGTGTAAAAGATGTTGTACAAGCTATACGTAATTGTAGTCTTGCACCCGATGAAATTTGTCGTTATGGTTCAATGAATAATTTTCAGATTATTGAATTAATGTCCTGGTTTGGTCCAATTATTTATGCTGGCATCTATGCTGCCACGTTGTCATCAGCATTAGCTAGTATGGTTTCGGCACCTAAAGTATTTCAAGCACTTTGCAATGATAAACTTTTCCCTGGTATTGCATATTTTGGTAAAGGATTTGGCCGAAATAATGAACCACGACGTGCTTATATTCTTACATTTTTTATCGGTTTTGGTTGCTGTTTAATGGGTGAATTGAATGCTATTGCACCGATTATATCAAATTTTTTTCTCGCCGCATATATATTGATTAATTTCAGTTGTTTTCATGCTAGCTGGAGTAAATCACCGGGGTTCCGTCCAAGTTTTAAATATTACAATAAATGGATAGCATTATTTGGTTCATTCCTTTGTTTGATTGTCATGTTTATGACCGGATGGATTGCTGCATTACTTACATTTGTTATTGTATTAGCATTACATGTTTGGGTACAAAAACGTGCTACCGGTATGATTTTTTTGTTTAATCTCTAATCCATTGTTTATGTTATTAATGTTTTTGTTGTTTTTTTTTAAAATCAGATGTCAATTGGGGCTCATCAACACAGGCACAAACACATCGTTCTGCTGTTACCAGTGTTTATAAACTAACAATGTTACCTGATCATGTTAAAACATATCGTCCACAGATATTATTATTATCGGGTAATCCACCGACAAGATCCGATTTTGTTGATCTTGCACATTTGATCACAAAAAATGCTGGTCTTTTGATCTGTGGACATATTGTTACTGTAAGTAAATCTATTGGATGGATTGATTTGATTTTTTTTTTGATGATGATGATGATTGTTTTGATGTTTTTTTTATTTAAACAAATTGAATAGACACCAATTTCGGTTCGAGCACAGAATGCATTATTACATGATGGAAATCTCTATCTAATCAATCGAAATATGAAAGCATTTTTCACTCTAATACAAGATGCAAGTTTTAGTCAAGGTGTTCGTGCATTGATACAATCAACTGGTATTGGTAAATTGAGGCCTAATATTGTTATGTTGGGTTTTAAACGTGATTGGATTGATTGTGATAGAAAAGAAGTTGTTGAATATTTCAAAGCAATCCAGTATGTTGATTTTTTTTTAAATTCTGTTTGTTTGATTTCATTTTTTTTTTTTTTTGAACTTCAAAACCATTTTTGTTTTCATATTTTTATAGTGCCATTTTCGATTATCATTTCTCCATTGTTATTGTACATGTGCCGAATCGTAAACAAGTTACAAATGGTGATGTTAAACCGGCTGTTCCTGCCATTACCGATAAGAATAAGGGTTAGAAATAATTTGATTTTTGCATTTGAATACCAATTAATTATCGTTAATTAATTAACAAATTATATAGATATGGCTGTAGTACAAATGAAAGATGATGCTATACCGCTAGATAGTTTCTTCTTAGCAAAACAAAAGAAAGGATATATCGATGTTTGGTGGCTGTATGATGATGGTGGCCTAACATTATTATTACCATATATAATACGTAATCAATCACAATGGAAAGATTGTAAATTACGTGTTTTTGCATTGGTCAATAAAAAATCCGAACTGGATGCTGAACAAAGAAATATGGCACAATTATTATCAAAATTTCGTATCGATTATTCGGATGTTATACTTATCACTGATTTATTGAAACCACCAGAAGAATATTCGAAACGAGAATTCCGTAGAATGATTGAAAAATATATTGTTGAAGATTCCGAAGAAAGACATGATGCTGGACATAAAGATGGTATGACATTGACTGAAGCGGATTTGGTTCGATTTAGAGATAAGGTATGTGGTGTTTATATCTAATATTAGTTTCACTAATTCTTATTTTTATATTTTGTTTATCTAATATTCTAGACTTATCGCCATATTCGTCTTCGTGAAATTTTGCTCAATTATTCCAAGGATTCTAGACTGATTGTTATGTATGTTTATCATAGAAAATCAATTGATCTGATTTTTATCATTAAAAAATTTTTTTTTTTTTCAATAGCACATTGCCTATGCCTCGTAAGAATTCATGTCCAACTGTATTGTATATGGCATGGCTGGAAACATTGACCAAAAACATGCCGCCTATGATGTTGATGCGTGGTAATCAGACCGATGTATTGACATTCTATTCGTAAACGTTATCGTATGATTCCATTCAACAACAACAACAACAAAAGAAAATTGAATAGATTCAGACTGACAATAAAAAAAAAACGAACAAAACACCTACAATTATACATTAGCAATAGCAAAACATAAAAATCTACTTACAAACCAGCAAAAAAAAAACTTAGAAGGTGAATGATTCATCCATTCCAATTGTTACTTTTTGCTTAATATTTTCGTTGACAATCCTTTTTATTGTTTAAAATTCTAATTATCGTTATCATCATGATTATTATTATTATAATAATTTATTGTATGCCTTGAGAATAAATTATAAACAAAATCAAAACAAAACAAAAAATTTGATTGAATACACATCGTGAAAAAAATGTTTTCAACAATTTAATTTTGGCGCCACTGAATCATTATCAAATTGCTGGAAATATTTTTTTCATATTTTTTTCTAGATTTTCCCAGAAAGTTTTTGTTGTTATTTTTGATCAAAAATGTCTCAACAACAACAACCATCAGATGAATCTACGAAATCTGAAAACGTTGAATATCTAATCAATCAATTGGCCGATTTGATTGATAAAAAAGATGTGGACAAAATCACTGATATACAACGAAGTTTGTATGTTTTGAATTTTCAATGAAAGAAAAAAATTCATTAATTTGAACATTTTTTTCTGTTTCATCATCATTAGATTGAATCGATTTGAAAAATCAAATCAAATGCTTGTCTATTGTAATGAACTTTCTAATCAACATTATCTTAAATTATCTAAAGATTTTCGTTCACATACAACAAAATTGAATGAAATGTATAAAGATTTGGACATAGTATTTCATCGAATCCGGATGATTAAACAAAAATTACGAGAAAAATATCCTGATGTTTTGATTGAAAAACAGGAACAAGAAAATGTCATTGATGAAGAAAATACGAATATCATAACAGAAACGATGGAAAATTTAATGCTCGAAAATCAAATGACAACAAATGAAGAATCTTCAAACATTTCCGAAACGAATGATCAATGTCAAAAGAATAGCTGAAAATGACTGTTGAAGATTTTTATTCATCAATCAATATTGTGAAGATTTCTAATCAGCTACACGAATACATCTGGTTATAAATAAATAACATAAATAAAATACAATGTTCAACAACAAATTTAAAACAAAAAAAAAAATTCATTAATTGATAATTATTTACAAAATCAAAAAAAAAAAAAATTAGATAGAATTGAAAATGTTCCTGTTTGGGGTTTGTGTGAAACATTTTCATGTTTATCAATGATCGATTTGTTCATTCTTTGGTTTTCATCATCATCATCATCATCATCATCCTTATTACGTAGATCGGATCGATGTGGTAGAAATAATAATGGAAACATTCCAATGAAACAACCAATGGCAACACCGAATGCTCGACCAAATTGTGTTATCCATCTTGTTCGAGACATTTGAAGCTGCGCTAATGACAGTTTCGGTGGTTTGACACCAATTTTATCGGCTAATCTTTCAACATAATAAGCAGATCCAACACCGGCAATATCGGACAAGGCATTACCTAAACCAGCAGCTGCCATTGTTGATATGCCTAATGCAACACCGAGTGTTAGATCAATATAATCACCAGCAACGATCATAAGAAGATTGTCAAGAAAACCGAATCCAATAAATGGCAGTGATTGAGATATGAATAATTGTACCAATTGATTAGTGTTAGGCAGCTGTTTTGTTGGATCATCCATCATCGGTGGTGTTGAAGTCTCAATTACGGTTATTATTGGTCCTGGCATCAATTCTGGTTGTGATTGAAGCTCTTCATATAATATACGTTTTTCATTTACATTCAATAAGGCAAGAAAATCTCTGACACGTTCTTTATTCGATAGAAATGCACCAGATGTTGGACGTGAAAAATGACGAATTGATAATCCATTATGATGATGTTTCATCAAGAAAATATTCAAACATGGTGATGATGATGACCGTATTGATAATAAATGACGTTTTAATGTCATCAATAACATGATGATGATGATGATGATGATTTCCTGATGAACTTGATGAATCAAAAGAGAAAAACAAAAACAAAAATCATATGTTTATTCGAAATATACTAATATCACTCATCATCATCATCATCATCAATATACCGTTAGTCCGTTATAGAGTGTGTTATACAGACTCAACAACTACAAATCGCAATCCCGAAACGGTAGAAGCAAATGCCAATGATATTTTATCGTATGCGTGAATGGTGGTGTTATAAATTCAACAACAACTAGAATTTTTCAATTTAATTAGCGCAATGTTTGTTTCTATTTAATTAAAAATTAATAATTTGAATTTTTATTTATTTTTTTTTAAATTTATTGTGTGGCATATGAAATGAAATCAATATGAATGAATAAATTTTTTTTGTTTGTTCATGTGGACAATAATAATGTTTTGAAAAATAATAGTCAGGTGTTTGTATTAAAAAGCAAGAATTTACAATTAGCCAAGATTCGTTTAATTTACTGTTAGAATTTTTTACGTTTTGTTGGTGTTCCATTATTACGTTGATTTGATGATGTTGATGGCAAAAATTCCATTCCTTCTGCATTTGAATTTACAATCGTCGATGTTACTGTTGTTGGTGTTGATCTTGTCGACGATGATGCGGTGGCAGTAGTAGTAGTTGTCATACGTTCAAACATTTCAGCTAAACGTTTTCGATTTTTTCTCGTCGTTATATTTAAGGAATCAGACATACACGGATATTGAGTCAATTTTTCAACATCATTAAATATGACTTGTGAACCACCGGTTAATGATGGTATAACATCACCTTTATAGACATTGGTTTCAACATCACCTGTGTTGGTTGCCTGATGATGTGTCAATGAATATTTTGTGGCAATTTCATCTTTTTTTCCAACAAAATCTGATGTTTTTAAATTGGTAACAGATTTCTTACGTTTTGATTGTATATTTGGCTGAAATACGGTACCAAGATCCAATGTACCTGGTGGACGATGTTCAATCCATTTTGCATCATCCGTGCTCAATGATCGTTGATGGCGTGGATTTATAACAGGTGGTGATTGAATATTATTGCCTGTTGCTGTTGTCATCGGTTCATTTCCTGTATCTTGTTTTACTTTCAATGGTGACATCCACGATGGTCTAATGAATTCTAAATCATCATCATTATTAATTATTGTTCGTAATAATTCCAATTTTTCTTGATTTGTAGCCATTTTCTTTTCCATTTCTAATTCAGCTTCATGAACTTTTTGTATGAAATGTTTTTGTAAACGTCTAAATTCGGTTTTCCAACTTTCTTTAATAGATCGTTTATAGTGACGAAATTCATTATGAAGATCTGATTTCTCGATTTCAGTTGTAGCTAATCGATGATTAGTGGTGGACAATTCTTGCTGCAATTCTTCAATTTGAAGTTTCATTCGATTGACTGTTTCTGAATATTCATGTTTCATATGAATGAATCTATTCTCATATTCGAGCAGTTGATTTTCACGTGCTACTAAATCCATTTTCAATACAGCGTTTTGTTGTTCAATCAATGTATTATCACGATTTAATTCAGAAATATTTTGTCTGACATTTTTTTGATATTCATCAATAATCAAACTATTTTGTTCATGATTTTCCATCCGTTTCTCTAATGTCATAATCCAATTCATAAGGGTTTTATCATCCGATGGATCTTCAACATATTTATCCGGTAATGGTGGTCCAATATTGATTGATGATGCAATGAAAAAATTATTGATTGGTCGTAATGGTGTACGTTTGATAGGTGTTGAACGATTGGTAACCAAATCTTGCGATACTTCACCGAATTTACATACCTGCAGTGTTTCATCATAATCTTCAAGACCAGGATTAATGCAGATGACCATTTCAACTTTACCATCACCTTCAAAATAACTTTTAAACATATGTGTCAATTTATTATCACGATATGGTACCATTTTATTCGTGTTCAATTTCTGATTCTCACGTAATACATCAAAACAATGTCGTAATGTTAATAATGAATTATTAATGTTACTTGCTTCACGTAAGCGACTTCCTGTAGCTTGAGTTCTCGAAGTACGTTCACAACCAGCCAAATCAACAATCGATAATTGACTGATATGTATCAGATTATCATCATCAATAACTTCTACGCCGTCATTATCTAATGGTGCTTGTACTAAACGAATATTGAATACTGAATGTGATCGGCTAGATTCATTATTCAATTTGGTTGTGCCAATACGACGACGTTTCATACCTTTGATACAAAGATCGAATGCTTCTTGTGAACTTTTCACTTCAATTTCTTTAGCACCTTGAACATAATAACGTTTCTGGCAATCTTCAACAATACGTTTCGAACATTTATTCATTTCTGATGATTGATGATCACCAAGTAGATCATAAATGTAATTATTATAAACTTCAACATATGACACGAATACAGCATATTTATTATCGCAATTTATGTCTTTAACGAACATTTCTTCTTGCACACGATTTTCCCAATCATATGCATCACGTTTTCTTGGTGTTTTATTATTACTTGGTGTCGAATAGATTGCTTCATTTTGAATTTTCAAAATAGCATCCGGTGTGGAAATGATTTCAAAACCATTTTGATTATTTGGTTTAAAACCAAAACGAATATTTTGCAAGCCATTCTTATTCAATGTATTGAATATGGTATCCAATGTTCGTGGTATAATGCCAGGATTTTGTGGTGTACCGGTTATTGTATAGGTTTTTCCTGAAGATGTAACACCATAAGAGAATAAAAGCCCGTTATGACCATCAATCAGATCTTTGACTAATGGAAAAGCTGTTTGTTTGAACACTGAATGTTGATCGAATTGTGGATCGAAAACTTTTTTGAATTTATACAATTGTTTTTGCTGTCCAGGTGGTGATATTTGCAAAAGATGATCATCAATCTTATGCACAACAATTGTATCGGTAAGATTTTTTAATGGACGTAAACGACAAAAAACTTGTAATGGATCTTTTTCATTCGTATCCATTTTTGGTTTTGGTTTCGTTGGTGGCGGTGGTTTTTTAGCCGAATTACTAAAAGGATTTATTGATTGTAACATAAAGATTAATTTAAAATATAATAAAAAAAAATTTATTCATCATACCTGCGATGATTTACCATTGTTGATTTTGATTTTCAAAAAGAAAAATGACCAAAAATAAATCAAAATTAACAGATAGAGAGACATACAATAAAAACAAACGAACACAACTGACATGCACGCTGACAGTGAAATTCTAAAAAAAAATTCAAATAAACGGCCAATTTGAAACGACCGTTTGAACAAATTTTATGGACCCGTCATAAACAACGTTTTGGAATAAATTTTTTCATCTAAAATTCAAATTTTTTTTTTCGTTCGATCATAATAAATATTTTAGATCATAATAAATGTTGATTGACAAATTTATCGAGAGAAAGATATTTATTCAAAATACAAGAATCTATTTGCATCAAAAATTGATTTATGAATTATGAATTTTTGGATCAAAAAAAATGATGATGAAATATTGAAAATGGGAAATATTTACGAAATAATTCGAAAAAAAAATTCCCGAAACAAAGTGAAATTTTTAGGCCCCACCTTCTACGAATCAAACAAACCAATCATGAATGACCGTTGGAATTGTTTAAATTTTTTTTTTCGCTTCATTTCGATTGTCATCGGTTATCATATTCGTTTGGCATTAAGTTGGCATTTAACTTGAGTTTTTCTCATCTGCTGTGTGTTCACCATCAAGCATGTTGATTGAAATCGAAACGGAAAATAAATACCAAATTCAATTCAATTTTTCTACATTTTTTGATCATTTAATGATTTTGTTTTGTCTATAAATTAATGCCATCATCACCATTGTATTTCATTGTTGATTTCATAGACCACCAATATATTTGAGAGTTTTTTTATTATTTATTTAGATCTCATCATCATCATTTGATCTATGATCAACATTTGAAAATTCACAAATACAAGTTTTTACTACGTTTTATTTTGTTTTCGAGAAAAAAAAAATTCTATTCTTTCACGTTTGATTTATAGCAAACGAATTCGTCTTTATCATTTTGATCAATTTGATTTTCTTAATTTTCAGACTTTCATTTGATTCGTAACATAAAAAAAATGATTCAACCACTTCGAGCACGAACAAATGCTGCTGTTCCATTGCCATTAAAACCAACGAATACAATCAATGATCAAATTGCTAATCTAAAATTATCTCGACATATCAGTGAACAAGAAAATGGTCTGAATTTTCGTTCAAAAATTCCCGTATTCAAATCACGTATCAGTGGTGCTGTTGTTGCTGCTGGTGGTGGTTGTGGTGGTGTTGGTGGTGGTGGTGGTGTCGGTGGTATCCAACAAAAACGTATGGTTTCATCTTTATTACCCTCCGCTTCCTGTACGGATAAGATTGAACAAAAACAACAGCAACAACAACCAAAACGACAAGAGCCAGTTAAACCAAAAATTGAAAATATTGACAATGAATCCAATTGTTTTTATTGAGTGATTATGCTCCCGATATCTATCAATATCTTCATCAGCTTGAGGTAGAGTTGGATTTTTTTCTCTCACCAATTTTAATTGATCAAATTAATGATTTTGTTCTATCGTTTTCTTTTTCTTTCTTTTTTTGAAATAGAAATCATTGGCATTGGAAACAAATTTTCTTTCAATTCATAATGTTGTCACACCAAATATGCGTGCTGTTCTTGTCAATTGGATCAATGGTATACATCGTAGTTTTCATTTGTCACCTGAAACACTTTATTTGGCCATATCGATTGTTGATCGTGTTTTAGCACGTGAATCGGTGGAAAAAAATCAACTACAATTATTGGGTGCTACGGCAATATTTGTTGCAGCCAAATATGAAGAAATTTTTTATCCAGAAATCAAAGATTTTGTCATCATTTGTGATAATCTTTATACAAAACGTGACATATTACGAATGGAAATTCGTATACTTAAAGTGACAAATTTCGAATTAAGTGGACCATCACCATTGTATTTTCTACGACGTGGTTCAAAAGCCGCACAGGCTGATTCACGTGTACATATGATGGGTAAATTTTTTTGTGAATTATCCGTTATTGATTATCAATGTGCACAATGGTTACCATCATTGATTGCTGCAACTTCACTATATGTAGCACTTGAATTGAATAATAATAATGACGAAAAACCGAACGATCCAATGGAAACATCGATTTGGACACCAACTATTGAATATTATACTGGATATACAATTCATGATGTTCGTAAACATTCTGGCTATCTATGTCGTTTGATTATTTCATCCGAAACTTCTAAACATCAGGTAATTTCTTTCTGGTCATTTTTTTCCACTAATCCATGTTGAAATCTTTTTTTTTTTGAATACAGAATTGCCGTAAAAAATATTCATCATCCAAATGTATGAGCATAAGTAATCTATCACCAAATTCTATGCGTATCATCAAAAAATTGGCTATGTAAACAACGTATATAATTATCTCGATTTTTTTCCATTTCATTTTTGTATTTGAATTTTTCATCATCTATCACTCTACTTTAAACATTATGATGATGATGATTGATTAATCATCTTTTTTTTGATGATATGGAAAAACATTTGTGTGACAATGAAATATTAACATCGCTTATTGAACGTCTTATCATCATCATTATCATCATTTTTCCGTTTTATAGCAATTTATTATTTTTTTTCAATTCAATAAAATTCAATTTTCGTAAAAATTTAATTTTTAAATCATGATAATTTTCAAATTTTCAATTTTCGTAACGTCATTTCTGAATGGTGCAGGAAAATTTTCAAATTTTAAACGTGAATAAAAGTAGTAGTAGTAGTAGTAGTTAGAAGCATCAATGTATGTAGTGTGGTGGTGGATGTTTTTTTTTCTCACTAAAAAAAAATTGCTACTACCACACAAATGTGTTTTCATAAACGGCCAATTTAAGCGTGTGTGTGTGTGTATTATGGGCAGCTCATAACGTTTACGCGCCATTCGAATTTTAGTGTTTGATTTGTTTTTTACTCAAGCTTTGAAAAAAAAAATTTTTCGATCGAAACAAAAATTTAATCTTGTGAAATTTTTTTTTTATTGATTTTCAATTACCAATTTATTTGTACGAATCATCCATCAATCATGTCGTCTAATAAAGATTTCTACTATTCAGAACGTTATTATGATGATAAATATGAATATAGGTATGATGCAATGATGTTTTTTTAATCTAATCTAATTGGAATTTTTGTTTTCTATTGTTCCATAGACATGTTGTTCTGCCTAAAGAATATGCAAAATTAATTCCAAAAACACATCTAATGACTGAAGCTGAATGGCGTGCATTGGGCGTAACACAAAGTCAAGGTTGGATACATTATATGATACATGATCCAGAACCACATATACTATTATTTCGTCGTCCAATCACTGGTAAAACTACTGTACCATCACAAGCAAAACAGATTGAAGCGGATAAGGCAGAATTTCTTGCCAATTGATTGATTTTTTAAAACGTTCAACTTCAATCAATCAATTTTTCTCTTGCTTTTTTTGCCACAAGAAAATTGTATATCAAAAACATTAGAGAATAAACAACAACCAACAACGAATTTCAACAAACAACAATATGTGATTAATGAAAATGAATGAAAAAAAAAATTTAATTTTATTTTTAATCATCATGATTATTAATGATGATGATGATTGAAACACCTATGATATAAAACTGTTAGATTCGAGATTTTTTTTTATCTTTTTCAAAATTCAATTGATGATGAAATAAATTGAAATTATTTTCAAGTTTAATTATCAAAAGATGCAAAGATTATTATTATTATTATTATTATTGATTATTGATCATTATCTTGTTCGGATGCTTTACGTTTTCGATTCGATGATGATGATAATTTAGCCGGTTGTTCACGTACATTCAATTCAAATTTATATTCCTGATCACAACCCATATAACAATCACACATAAAATAAAGCATATAATTATAATGACCACTTGTTGCTGGTGCTTCAAAATCCAATTTAACTTTGGCCTTTTTCTGTAATGATATCCGTTTTATCGATATTAATGTATTGGTTTTTGTATCACCAATCACTAGCCACCATCCTTCTTCACGTTTCTGTTTCAAACAAAAATAACAAATCAATCAATTAGTGTGATCAAAAAAAAAAAAATGAAAATTACCTGTGGAAAGAATGGTGCAATCACTGGACCAACCATATCATCTTCACGTTCAAGATAGACCATAACATTTACAGGTGAATCACTAAATCATCAAAATATTAGAATCGAAAATTTTAGAAAAAATTCTCTATGTACAAACCTTTCGATAGAATCTTTATCCAATATTTCATGTTCTAATGAAATATTTGGATAACGATTACAGAATCTTGCTACATCCATTAATTTATTATCATCCAATTTTAGCAATTTAATTCGATCATCATCATCCATATCCATTAGATCGAATATAATGTTGATATCATTTCGAGTGCAACGTTCAATAATATCGGTTGTGAAATGTGGCAATTGTCTCAATACAGAATCTTTATTCCACATTGCCTGTGTGATCATTTGTGCCAATTCCATGGCAGCAATTGCCGGTGTAAGCCATCCATTCGAACTGATAACATCAACACATGCTTGAATCAGGCGAATAGTTTTCATTACAATCTCTTCGGAATCTTGTTGTAATTCTGCTGACAATGATATTCGTGATAGATGAGCTTGAATCAACAGATTAGCTTTCGTATGTGGATCAGACATTTTGGCTTGTGGTATTTTATTCGGCACTTTTGAATGTAATTGTTGTAGAATACCATCTTCACGATGTCTAATCGGTATGTTTTCATATTCAGATGCACTACTAATAATTTCAATTAGATTACGAATTTTAGTTTTTGCATTCAATGATAAACTAAACAATTCAATTGTCGAATAATGTATGTAATAATAAGCGGCAATCATTCCAAAATTCAATGGACTTAAATCAATATCATTTTCAATCGATATACATTTAGAATCTTCAAGATCTTTTAATGTATTTTCAACCAATTCCGAAAGATGATCCGATAAATGACGATGTGTTAGTCCAGATAGATTATAATAATTTGGATTCTTGGACATACGACGATATAGGAAAGTCCATGTTAGATAGTCCACTGCATCTTGTTTATTTTCAACTGTTCTGGTAACAATTTCAGCATTAAAATGATCATGTAATGAATGATCTAAATGTGATTCAATTGGTAATGGTTCAAGTAGAAATTTTTTGAAAAATTCTTTTTTGGTATTCTGACAAAATATAACACATTTAGAGCATTCATCATTACGCAATGAATTACGACCAGAATGTCCAACCATTTGTATAATATCCGATATTGGATAATCTTCATATGAATGTATACGTCCATTATAGAATTGTGTATCCATAATCAATACCAAATGGGCCGATATTGTTGTTGACCAACAAAGATTGGCTGATATGACAATAATTTGTATAGCTTCGGCTTCAAATAATGTTTCAATAATTCTTCGATCTTTCATTTTAGTACCTTCATGTAGATATGCAACACCATTGGAAATGGTTTCCCGTAGAGTTGGATCAGTTATTTCTTTAAGAAATTTTTGAAAATTTTCATCATCTTCTTCACAATGTAAAAAACGATTTGGTCTTGCATCCGCTGCTGCATATGTAAGCATATCGATTGCAGTTAATCGTGCCTGCCGACGTGATGGAACAAATATCAACACAGAATTCTGTAATGACCGACTTAAAATGGTTTGATAAACAGGCTTGGACATTGCTAACAAACGTGTTGCATTATGTGTTTGATTAAAACCACGTATATTAATCTCCAATGGTAATGGTCGAACACTTGGATGAAAATTAAATGTATGACCATGGCTACAACCAAGCCATTGTGCGATATCTTTTGCATTGGCAATCGGTGATGATAATGCAACTATACGTATAGATTTTTCAATCTGTGATGACATATAACGAATACGTGAACAAATGATTTCATAAACAGGACCATCTTGACCACCCAATAGCTGTAGATCATCGGCAATGAATAGATTAACATTTTGGACATGTTTACTTTTCTTCCAACGTCTTGATAATAGGTCCCATTTTTCATGCGTAGTGACTACAATATCACCTTTAGCCAATAATTTCAAATCAACAGTTGTATCGCCAGTAAGTAATACGACAGATTTTTCTAACGATGCAAATTTTCTATTCCATTGTGAATGAATTATTTGTGCCAATTGTTGTTTAGGTGTTACATAAACACATTTTGCTTCCTTTGCCACCATAAACAAACGCAATATGGATATTTCAGCACAAACAGTTTTACCACTACCATTTGGTGCACCAATAAATACATTATCATTCGTATTGTATAATGAATTGAATACCTGTGTTTGTATTGAATTGAATGAATGAAAATCATTTTTATAAAGACGTTCAAATTGAACATTACGAAATGCCGATAATGGTAATGGCTGAAGATCCAATAATTCAGTTGGTGGCGTAAATTTTTCCGGCAAAATTAAATGACGAAACGAAACAGGAAAAACGGTTTCGGCACCAATCCATCGATCGGATGTTACACGTATAAAATATTGTGGCGGTAATGGATCAAAAATTGGTATGAAAAATTTAACAATATGTTCATCTTGTGAATATTTTTGTTTTAGTAAAAAATATTCATGATGCAGTATAACTTCACTATCAACATCTTCGACAATGATCCAGAATGCCTGAGAATTTCCATGTATACGTTCATCCCATTGAAAATCTGGTTGTATGGTAAGTTCAACTTTCAATGTTGATCTTGTTATCGGTTGAATATGAGCAGAAAGTTCCAATTTTGGAAACATATGAATATATTTATGAACCAATTTGCCCATTTTCGGTAATCGTAATAATTCACCAATTTCATTCGGTCCAAGATCAAATAACCGTTCGAATGGGAAACCTTTTTTCTCCAATTTTTTTATCACTTCTTCTGGTATACGTTTAAATTGCCGTAATGGTGATAATGATTGCCACATACGACGATCAATCATTTTACATAATGATAATGTTTTATCAGCCATTTCTGCCCATCCGCTAAACAAAACAATTTCATATATAGCACGTACTAATCTTGCTGCTGATTGTGTTACATAAACCATATCGGACATTAATGCTAAACCTTCAAGTTTCAATTGTGATATGTATGCCTGTAACAATACATTAACCTTAGCTGATGGTTCTTCAATCGATTCTTTTATCGGTATCGGTACACGTTCCATTAATTTTTGTAGCTCTAATTTTTCTTCTTCACGTATGGTAATGTTTTTAAATTCTGCTGATAGAGCAAATACACGGAATAATTCAATTTCTGATAATGTTGGCTTAAGAAATTGATTATATATCGACATTGTTTCAGTAGAACAATAATAATGTGATGCAATACGACCCAATTCGGTGCCTTGAATATTACCGGATTTTCTATCAAAACGTATTAGATTACATTTATCCAAAACAGATGCAGCCGTATAGATAAGATTTGTACGATATTGTTCTAGTGTTGGATCTTCTTTCAACAGATCATACGAAATACCATATAATGTTGGATTGCGTAGCATACGAACATAAAGATAGGTATAACCTAACCAATTAACGGCATCTTTAACATTTTGAATATTGCCCAAAACAATTTCAGCATTCAATAAATCTGGTAATTTTGATATCAATTGTGATTCAATAGGTAGCTGTTGATTCAATAATGATAAATAATAATGTAATTCAGAATGCTGTGTAATCAGGATTCCTTCACCAAGTGTATCATATTGTGGCCGACCAGCACGACCAAGCATTTGCATTACATCCAGAGCACCCAATTCAATCCAACGACCTTTTTCTGGATTATAAACCTGGGTACCTTTGATAATGACCGTATGTGCAGGCAGATTGACACCCCAAGCTAATGTGGCCGTTGAAACCAATACCTGTATATGGCGATCAGCAAATAAATCTTCAACCAATGTACGATCAACACGTGTCATACCGGCATGATGGATAGCGAAACCATAGGTAAGTAGATCTTTTAATTCCAGATTTTTTACTTGTTCAGCTTCAGATCTTAAAACTTCGGTTGAAGCAGAATTTTCTTTCAAAAACATTCCAAGTGTATCATTTTCAAGACACATATCACGTAAAGCACGTGCCGTTTTTCCGGTTTCTTTACGTGAATGAACAAAAATCAATAATTGATTACGGCCAGCATGTTCCAAGGTTTTTTCATACAACAATTCATTCATTAATTGAAATCTTTTCACCGCTTTCTTTTCAGTAATACCAATATATTGTTGTTCCAATGGTACAGGTCGGAAACTATTGTCAAAATAAAATAAACCTTTCTTTAGATCAACACGTAGAAATGTGGCAACATCTTCATAATTTGGTAATGTAGCCGATAGGCCAACTAAACGGATATCTTCCTGTGTTGTTTCAATTGAACGAATCATACGTGCAACAAGACATTCCAGGATTGGTCCACGTTCATCATGAAGAAGATGAATTTCATCAAATATGATTAAACGTACAATTTGTGTATATGAACGTTCACCGCCTTTACGTGTGATAACATCCCATTTTTCTGGAGTACAAACAATAATCTGTGTTTGAACGATTTGTTCCGTACTCAGTTGATGATCGCCAGTTAATTCACCAACTTTAATATTATAACTGGATAGTCTTTTGGAGAAATTTGCAACCATTTCCTGTACTAATGATTTCATTGGTGCAATATAAACAATTTTAAATTCATCTGTATTTATTAGGCCAGTAGTTGGATCAATATGTTTACCAATTTCACGCATCATTGTCAACAATGCAACATTGGTTTTACCAGCACCAGTAGGAGCACAGACCAATAGATTTTCATCTGTTTCCAACAATGTTGGTGCTAAACGTGATTGGATACGATTCAATGTTTTAAAACCATCAAATGCTGATTGAACATAACGTGGTAATTTATTTATCGGCACCAATGTTTCATCCGGATCGAATGGTTTCGGTTTCAATGCTGGTACATGAATAATTTCACATCCTTTACGTTGTTGACGATAACTACCTTCGGGTAATTGACAACGTTTATTTGCCATAAAATGTGATCCTTGTTGAAAACTAAGATCTTCAAGATCTAACATTTTTACTTTATCAGAAAAAATACTGTCTTCTTCATCTTCATTAGTAGCCGCCGTTTTAGATGTAGCAGAATCTTTTGAATGATCCAATGATGATGACGATGTAGCTGTTGTATCTGTTTGACTTGTTTCAAGTTTTTTCAAAATTTCCATCAAATCTGGATCGCTTTTCATTTTTTCAATAATTTTTGCCTTTTCCGATTGACGTTGTGCTTGTGCCAACATTGTGCAAAATAATATCGTTTGTCGATTATGATGTAAAAGTTTAATAAAATCAAAAAGATCAAAACCAAGTAACACGATAAGCTGTATTTCTACTTCATGATCATCACGTGCTGTTTTCAGTATTTTCAACACTTCAGCTGCTTTTGATTGTGCAGCCACCGGATCATCAAAATATTTGCTCAATTTACGTTGAAGCCAATATGCATCGATTTCACGTGGATGAACATTTGTATCTTTACCTTTACGTATTTTAGCCATTGGTTCATTTGATGAATTCGTTGCCGAACCACCAACAGAAGAACTGGCAGTAGCAGCGGCTGTATTTGATGCTGCTTTAATAGCCGTATCTATAGCTGCTTCTTCACCTTCTTCTTCATCATCTTCATCATCACGAATTTCATTTGTCATGCCTTCGAATTCTTCTTCATCTGATTCTTCAAATTGTACATTTACACCATAGGTATCATCAAGATTACCATCACCATTTGCATGATTATTTTGATTATTATCATCTTCAAAATTAAAATCGGTTATCTTTCGACAAAGACCGGATAGCATGGAAAATTTTTCCGTCACTAATGCACCTAATAAAGCTTCACATTCTTTTTTCTTTTCCTTTTCTTTAGTATTATCTGCTTTCATTACTTGAAGAATTTCATCGGCAGCACCACAAAGTACATCTCTTGGTTGATCACCAAGCATTTCGGATATAAATGCCAATATTAACTCATATGTTTCACGTGTTTCGGGTGTTTTTGGATGATAAAGTATTCCCATCGATTCGGTTATATCTTCGGATAATAATGATTTCTTCATTTTCATCATATTACCATCCGAATGATGATGATGATGATGATGATTTTTTTCGATGATGGTTTACCTTCCATTTGTGGTTTTGTACGTTGATAACGATCACCCATTTTGATTGTAGTCAATTTACCGACTAATGATACAACTTCACCCGTTGCTTCATCTCGTGGTCGACGTTCAATGAGACGGGTATCAGCTTGAAGAACCAAATTAGAATTCTAAAACAAAAGAAAAAATTTGATTAATCAAAACAACATAATAAACAAAATGAACAATTTAAATTTAAAAACTCACGGCTCGATAATCAAATTGCTGCGATCGTGCAGCAGCATCAGCCATTTTGATAATAGAAAATTAATTCTCAATGATCAATGAAAATTTCAAAACAAAAAAAAATTCAAACAAAAAATTCAGATGAAAAAAAAAATTCACGGACCGGTCCAAAATCAAAATGAATTTGAGCAGCATTGAATGTGTTGTTCATATAGGACGTATCAGAATTCTGGAATTCGAATTGTTTGATTTTTACTGTTTATTTTTTCAAAAGATTTGATCATTTTAAAAGTAAGTTAATTCAATATTCTATCTATTTAATCATCTTTTTCATATTCACTTTCAAAAGAAATCTAGAGAATGATTTTATTTAGAAAATTTTCAATTTATTTTAACCGAGCAAAAAAAAATAAATTTTTTAAAAAGCCAAAATTCCAATTATATGCCAATGTATGGTATGAATATATAAAAATTATTAATCATGGAAAATCAGGAAATTGTTTTCATCGTCCAGCATTCCAAAATACTGATTTCGAATATCGAAATGGTCCGAATTTCGTTTCTTCTTCTTCTTCTTCTCGAGAATTATTGATGAAATTCAGTATTTACTTTATCATGAAACATCTAATGTATATAGAAATTGACTCGTTAATGAATTTTCAAATCAAATTGAATCTGCTCATCATTCATACCTGTCGATTTGTCATTTGTTGTTGTTGGTGATGATTATGATGATGATTAATAATGCGGCCATTTTCTTGTGATGATGAATTATTCAATGAAATACTTTTTGCTTGAATAATATCTGCATTGGCCAGGCTGAAAATATTATCACCATCCACAAATGATTGTCTCATTTTGGCCATATAAAAATAACCAATTGCACCAATTATTGCACCAGAATGCGGTGCAACAATACCGACTGCCCACCAGAAATTATAATTCAAAGGTCTAAAACCACAAGATGTCAAGAAAATTTAATTAATTAAAAACGAGAAAAAAAATCTGCGGAAACATTTTAAACATACTCAAACACTCTTGATTCGTAGCCGATGAACGATAAAAGAATCCGTGGAGCTAAATCTCGAGCTATGGAAATACAAAAAAAAAATGGTCGGAAATCATTAAACTTTGAATGGTATGTGGTATGGTCACTTTTTTAAAATTCTTTCTGTACACATGTGTTGATGACCTTTCTTTTCATCTTGTTTTAACTCTTTTTTTTATCGATATTTGTCATCAGATGAAAAATTTAAAAGTTCAAATGTTTAAAACGTCAGACCTTGACAATGAATTTTCAATATCGATTTTGGTTTTGTTTTTGTCAAGAAAATATAAAAACAAAACAAAATTTTTTTTATTACCAATGAATTATCGATTTTTTTTTTTGTTTGACAAATGTCAAATGAAATGGATGAGATTTTTTTTATTATTATTATTGAGATCAAAAACATATGACATATATCATATGCCACAAAAACAAACAGGTGTAAAAAATCATTTTTACATACCTGGATTCAGAATGGCACCACAATTATAATTGAAACCAATGATGAATGTAAGTATTAATAATCCAGTTGTTAATGTTTGCAAGCAATTTTGGTGTGGCCAATTCATCACCAATGAATAGTATGGCATAAACAAGCAATGCTGTACTGATTATTTGATCCCAAATTGCTGGTAAAATTGTTGTATGTTGATTGGCTGGCATTGTTATGAATATACCAGCCGTAATCATTGATGGTTCGGTTACGTTATCATTATTATAACCATTGTCCAGATCAAAACCATGAATCGCTTCAAAATAGATTGAATATGCCAATGCTGAACCAATAAATGAACCAATGTATTGTGCAATCAAATACACTGGTACTTTACGCCATTGAAATTTTCCAATCACTGAAAATGCAATTGTAATTGCAGGATTAATATGGGCACCTAAAGAAAAGTAAAGAGAAAAATTCTCAAATATAAACAACAACAACAATGACAACAAAAACCAACCGGAAATAGGACCAGCAAATATGGAGGCAATAATCACACCGAATGCATAACCAAAAGCACATGCCAGATTCATAGGTGCTTTCGTTAGCACTGTACATGCAGCACCGCTAATACCTAATAGCTGTAGCAATAAAATTTAGATTCGATTCGATTCGATTAGATTAGATATATTGGATTTTAAAAAATTTTAAAGTAATCATGAATCTCAAAATTAATTAGTGTCAATTGGATATATATTATCATCATCTTGAATGATATCGATTTTTTTTGAAATCATCACCACACCACTTATAAATCATTAAATCAAAATATTTTTTGATTGGAAAAAAAATTACAAACTTACCATAAGAATGGCTGTGCCGATTAATTCGGCAAAAAATTCTTTGAAAAGATTATGCATTTTGTTTTGTTTTTTTTTCGTCAGTTTGAAGCACACAAGATCTATGTAATGAAATGAAAGGCAAAAAAAAAAAATGTGAAAGAAAAATTTTGTTTTCGTCACAAAATGAATTATTCTGAATTTTTTTTTTCTTGTGAAGAAACAGTGAACAAATTATGTCATTTGACTAACGACAAATTTTTTTTTTTTTTTTTGAGTCTGATGAGAATAAAAATTTTTTTGTATTCTTGATTCGAATCTGTTTTTTTTTTTTGGAAATGGGAATAAAAAGGCAATTTGCGGCGGCTGCTGCTGCTGCTGTTTTGTTGGAATGATGATGACAATGAATGAATATAAAAATCGATTCTACATGATCCAGATATAGATTCAAGTCTTTTTTTGAAAAAAAAGATGATGATGAAGAATTCTTAAGTTCCTCTCACATATAAATACACAAAGATAGAGTTTATTTGCCACACAAGTTTTAAATTCAAAAAGAGAATCGTACACACACACACACACACAACATATAAACAACAACAAGATATTTATATATATCGCAACAAAAAAAAAAAATGAAAATCAATGTTTTGGCTGAAGATTTGGGTAGATGTGTGTGTTCAACAATAACAACAACAAAAATGCTAACCATCCCGTTCTTTGGAGACATCCCATTTTTTTTCACAGTATACATTGTGGATTGCGATAATTGTCAATCATTCATTAGCCGCAGCAGCATTTTTTTTTTTTTTATCAGGCATGAATGTGGTACATCTTGTGATGTGGTGGTTGACTGGTTGTTAGCTGGCTGTGGCTTAAAACACTTAAAATATATGGTAGAAAAAAAATATGAAAGAAAAACCGCGTAATAAACATTTTGATGATATAGAAACCAGGATATACCGTTGATGGATGGATGGATGGATGGAATGAATATCGGCTCATGTACACCACCACCACCAAAAAAAAAAAAATATCAAGATAGATATCATCAACATGTTGACATATTACAGGAAATATTTTTATAACGAAAAATAAAAACATTCATTCATTTCATTTCATTTTGATTCGAATTTTGAACTTTGAAAAAACAAAATGACAACCAAGATGAATAAAGAGAGAATAAAAGCCATGAAAGTGGTGATTTTGATTCTTAGTTTTTGTTTGTTTTTTTTTTTTTTTGCCATTCACCAGACAAACCACCTGAAGTTTTCGATTGAAACAATTTTGACAACAAATATAGTGCTGCCAGCTATCCACATAGAACGGAAACTTTTGATGGATTTTTTTGTTTTTAAATTCTTAAATTTTATTATTATTTGGGATGGTTATTATCATCATCATCCTAATTTTGTTACTGCCATCGAAACACATGACATGATTGATGTAAATTTTTTCTTTCTTTTTTTTGTTGTTTGGATGAAATGAAGTCCATTTTTTTTGGCCGTATCGTTATATATGAATGTGTCGCACTGTGAGAATGATGATTTTGATGATGTTGGTGATTCGTCCATTCCATTCCATTCAATGATGATGGAAAAAAACGTTTGGGTTTCAAAACGATACCACCATCATCAACATCATTTTTTTTTCGTTTTCAAATGAATCATCAATTGGATGGAATGTCAAAAAAAAAAAAACTACCATCAATATCGACACAAAAGCCAAAACATCGGATAAATAAATGAAACGCCAATTGCATCATCGACACACAACTCCCACGCACTTCAAATGTTTTTTTTTATCCCAATGATTTATGATTTTCTTATAGTTTGTTGGCTTTTTTTCTGTTTTGTTTTCATTATTCATTCATTATTCTGTTTGTTTCGAAATCAAATTTCATTGTTTCATTTGATCCATTGTATTCCAATAATGTTTGACCATCATTTACAATGAATCAAATAAACAAATCATCATACGATATTGGATATTGGAAATCATGGAATCAAATTGTATATTTACTTTATATATACAAGAATCATCATCATTATATACTGAGAAAATTCATCAACAATGTGAATTCATTAGCCATCATTTAATGAATTATTTATCGTTTTTCTCTTCTCATGTTGTTGCTGTTGTTGTTGTTTCAAGCACAAGAAAATGAACAGAAAAAAAACACGAGAAAAAAAAATTCAGTAGACATAACATATATTAGGCGTAACATGAATGTTTCGTAAGAATTTTTTTTTATCTCATTCTAATGATGATGATGATAATGATTATTATTTTTCATGGACCAAATGACAAATGATTCGATTGTATACATACAAATGTTAATTCACGTTGTTTACAATATCGAATCATCATCATGATGAGAACGAACGAATGATATCGATAGTTGACTATCGATAGAATCGATGTTTTTTTTTCTTTCGCAAGAATTTTGAATCGAATGTTTTTTGAAAGAAAAAAAAAATTTCCACAACACTTGACAACAACAAAAACGAAAAAAAAACTGTCATCAATCGATTATTGAAAGAAGATTTTTCTGAGTTCGAATTAAAATACAATAAAAAAAATAAATAAATTTGTGAATTGAATGTGAAGAAGAAAATCTCGTTTGACATCCACCACCACCAACACCATCACATCAACCATCAGCCAACAATTCACGATTCTATTCATCGAGAATTCGATACGATCTGAAGAAGAAATTCCAGAAAATAGAAGAGAAAATTTTTCGTTTCAAGTGATGATGAAATTATTAATTCTGTGTGTCAGTGTATGTGAATTAGCTATGGAGAAAAAAAAAATAAAAAAAAAAATTTTTTGTCCCGGGTAATTGATCACAACAACAACAACAACAACAAAAACAAGAAAGAAAATAGAAAACCAAACATTATTCTCAATGAACTCAATGAAAAAACACCATCATCATCATCATCATCACATGATGAAAAACATATCAATGTCCTTGTGTTGTTGTTGTTGTTGTTGGATCGATGATGAATAATTCTGTCAAGTCCTATATTTTTTTTTCTCATCTGTGTTTGTAGGAGTTTGAATATATTAAACCAACCAATAAACATTCAACAATGACAACAACAACAACAACAACAACAATGATGTCAAATACTAATAACTAAAAAAAAAAAATCTGGTTGATTGGTTTCATAAGAAAATTCTCTCATTCTCTTTTGGTGCATGTGTGTGTGTGTTTGGCTGTTGACATAGCTGTCAATTTTTTTTTTTTCGTTACAAAAAAAATTTGATTCTTCAACACACACACATGCACAAAGAATTTTTTGTTAACTCTACAGTGGTTTTCAACCATTTGTTTTAATCAAGAAAATCGTTTGTTTTTCATTCATTCATTCATTCGACAGATCCAAAGCAAATAGAAATTGGATTGTGCATAATCTTTGTCAATTGTGATAATTAAAAAAAATTTTTTCATGTTCCAGAAATTCATTTTTCTTCCTGAAAACATCAAAGGTTCATCAACATCAATCTCGTATTTTTTTTGTTGTTGTTGTTCTGGTTTAATCATCTATATAAAACCAGGAAACCAAACAAAATCATTTTCTATGTAATGTGTACGAATTATTGAAAATGTTTTGTTTTGTTGTTGTTCTTTGTTGTTGTTGTTGTTTTGTTGTTGTTGTTTTTTCATTTCATTTATAATTCCAAGTAAATCTCAAATGAAATGAAAAATCTGATGATGAGAAATCCAACAACAGAACTTAGCAACAGCCAAAAAAAAGAACCTAAAAATAAATGAATTAATGAGAAAAAGATGATGATGATGATGTTCAAACGTCATTCATTCATTCATTCATTCATTTTTGCCATATACCAGAAACCAGAAACAAACAAATACACAACGTGAGTGTTTGTGTTTATCCACATGTGGATTTTCATTTTTTTTCTCTCTTCAATCATAATGATGATGATGATGGTGATGAAAATTCTTCAATTTTTTTTCTGGTTTTCCATTTCATTGGACAGGAATTTTTTCTTCTCTTCTTTGTTTAATTGGAATTTCATTTTGATTTGCATTTTGATATTGCTGGTTGCTACGGTTTTTTTTGTTGTTGTTTGTTTGTCATCTGGTTTGTTTTCTACACATTTTTTTGGGTTAAAAAATCTAATTTTTTTTTGTTTGGTTCCCAAAATCTTTTGGTTCAAAATTTTGAATCCAATTTTTTTTTGCTGGTGTATATTGGGGTGTTTTGATTTCAGGATTTTAAAATTGGAATTTGAAAAATGTTTGTCTGTTGCCATTTTCTCAATTTTCTCTCAATCGATGGAATTTGTCAAAAGAAAAATAAAACAAAAAAAATCGAGACAACAATTTGGGCTGTCGAGAGAAAATATGACGAGTTTTGCAATTCGTTTTTGATCCAAGATTTCCAAATCGATTATTTTCGTTTTGCGAAAGGGTTTTGTTTTCGGTTATTGTTGTTGTTGTTGTTGTCGTTTTTTTTTCTTGACATTTAATCAAGTTACAGAAAAACAAACATTTGTTTTCAGTTGACAATTTTTCTCATCATCATCTCATATCATATGTATGTATACCAAAATTTAAAAGACAAACAAAAATTGGTTTACCAACAAATGTGGATATAGAAAAAAAAAAATAAACAAACAAACAAACAAATCTCTTCTGTGTAAATATAGTCGTCTCAATTTATTGTCACATTGTCAGTGGGGTGAAATGAAGTGATTTTTGTTTTTGTTTTTTGTGTTTACTTTCTTCCGGTCATCATCAGTGCGGTCTGACTTAATCATTGAAAACCGGAAATCATAATGATAATGGACGGACACACACACACGTTACATATAATTATTATTCATCATCATCATCATCAAATGGTTGATTTCGATGGAAAAATAAAGAACAAACGAACGAAAAACAAAATCAGGGTATGTAATTTGTAATCGATTCTATTTCCATTTATCAAATCATCAATTATCGATTAGTTTGTGTGTGTGTGTGCGTTTAGGTAGTGGTGGTGATTTCTAAATTTTTTTCCTTCTTCTTTGTGTGATCACTGTTGTTACTATGACAACCAATTTGATTTGATTTACAATTTTCAGATTTCAATTTCCACTGACATACACACACACACACACACACTGAGAGATTGAAATCAATTCGATTCACAATTTCATCATCATCATCATGTTGTTGTTGTCCAGCCATATATATCTGATGTACCGGTTTGTCATTACCGTATTTTTTTTTTAATGGTACGATTGCGTATACAAAAACCATTATCCATTAGCAATACATATGCAAATTTCATACCGGAAAAAGAACAACAACGTAAAATGATCATTATCATTATCATCATATGATGATGATGATTATTGAATTAATTGATCGATTTTTAATCATCATCATCATCATCATTTTCATGATCGTTTTTGTTTTTTTTTTTGTTTTGTTCAATCAAATGGCAACGGTGATGATGATGATCATGATTGATGATGGTTGTTGGTTATAATTATCTTTTTTTCCAATTGATTACGATGATGGTGATGGTGATCA